TTCACCCCCCACACTCCCACGCATTAAAGCAGCTGCCTACTCAGTTCTACTTTAGTCTCGTTTCTTAATTGCTTCTCTCTGTTTTTTTGGCAATTAATAAGTGAACATTAACGGATCAAGGTTAAGTCAACGTTTGGTTAGTCACTGATATTTGTCATCAGTTCGAACTGAGAACCACGTAATGAGATCAGATCACAGGGGCTGGTAGCCATACAGAAACTGAGCATTTATAGTTATTTTAAGTCATGAACTGTTGAAGAGTCAAATGGGATCTCTCTGGTATAACTTTCCTTTTGTGGGCTGTATGACGCCACCTCGAATGAACAGGGTGCTGCCCCATTCAATCGTAAAGATTCTCACTCCCCGGCCTCTTTCAAAGGTAAATTGCAAAAGCTACTTTGTGCACTATCGTTCTGCTTGTGAACTGTAATATACTAATATTATACAGTATATGGGTCATGCCAAACAGCGAAACCTTTATTACTGGTATTAATTATGTAGCAGAATCTCGTCTGCTTTTGGTCAATCACCATTGATATTTCATAAATGAAGTCATAACCTTCCTTTTCTTCTTCTTAGTTGATACTTTCAAGTTTCCACTGAAAAGAAAACAGCGTTAAAATTCTGAATAAGTACTGATGGAAAACGTCTGGTGAGCTGAACCTCAAAACAAACAAGATCTACGGAAACAACTCGGAAAGATGAACAGATCTAGTAGCCTCTTTCACATATCAGATGTCTTCTGAAGACAAAAGTTACAATTTCTAGCGAGTATGACACTAAAAGCACCTCCTTTAATTACAACCTTATAAGAGCTAGCGAGACAGGGAAGTTCAGAACAATAATACTGCCAAGACTTCTGTGACCATTCAAGCGTCGTCATAAGCTTGCTCAGTCCCCGCCACGCTCATGCCAACAAAGAAGCAGGGCTATGCAACGGCGAACAATGTAGAATTTTGCCCTCTGCTTCTTCACCAGGTGGCTGCACTTCTGCCCAAAGGACTTGCAAGGGTCGCAAATTTGCTGATCCTCTTGTGGACGATGATGGTGATGATTACTTTGGCCTGTGTTGCTCTCCTTCAGTGCCATGAATGATGTGTCTGATATGCCACCATAAAGCAGTAAATATATGTAGTGGTAGAAACATGAGAGCTTCAGCTTCGTTAGGGAGGCATTTATATAGCAGAGGAGAGATGATATGCATATGGGCAGGAAGCCAGTAATTCTGGGTCCTCTAAATCAAGTATGGACTGTTGCCATAGCAATCCACTAGTTGTCAGAAGCATATGAAAATAGAATGGGCCAAGGTTACTACAAGTTTTACCCTCCTAGCCAGTCCTCTGTACCGTATTGCAGTCAGGAAAAAAAAAATACACCGTTGATATAGATGGATTAAGCCTGGGTTCAATGCGATAAGGACACGAGGTTAACATCAAATTCAGAGATACCCTTCCTTAGTGGGACCTATCTTGTGCCAAGACCTGAATTGGCGTCACTTTTCTGTTGGATTTGAAAGATACCTTTTCCTATGAGCGGCCTTTACCACTAAAAATTCATTTCCAGCTTCATCATTGCAATCATTTAAATAAAAAAAATTTCTCACTTAATAGGTCAAGATACTACACAATCACTAATCAAACTCATTCACATTTTGCAGCTTGCACGCTTTGAGAATTCACGTACTTAAAGCGCTCGACCGGGGAAAAAAAAAGTGCTCAAGGTAAAAGCTGTTTACTTCTTTGTCGTTAAACCAAAAGCTATTTATTCTTTCTTATCTTATTTGTCTGTTTCTGTTTCTCTTTCTTGTCTAACCTTCCATCTAAATTTTAATCTGCGATGAATTATAACCAAGTAGTGAACCAAAGTGGATATGTAAGGTTAAGAATGAGGTGTGTCTATGGGCCCCAGATTGTTATCTAATGCCTAATCCTGAATCAGTAAACCAGATACACTAATATGCTCAAGTTAGCCAAGTCAAGGAAGTTTGGCGTTTCAATCATATCAAATCAGATTCCATCTAGTGATACTGACATGAATAGGCTCGCTTCAAAGCTAATCCTGAGAAATTATAAATGTACCTCCTGGATGGACTGCCCAAAAGCTCAGGATAATTTGTGCGATAAAAACACACATCATGCGGCAGCATTGTGCGGTGTGAGACAAAGAAATAGGTGTTAATTTACCCTTAAAGGGTGATCAAGAGTTAGTAGAGAGAACAATAATCAGCCTCCGATTGGGCCTAAAGATCAAGTGGAAAGTGGGCTGGAGCCTAAAATGGAGGAGCTAAACGTGAAAGGTTAGAAATTATGACGGCAAGCAAAAAGCAAACAACCAAACATGAAACTTTAAAGACGCAGGTTGCTGGAAGCATTAAATGGTCATTTTGCTGAGTCATCACTATTTCTCTGGACCCAAATGATTAAAAAAAGTTCCTGTGGGAGATATACAGTGAGCTGCGGTATCATGCCGAATCTGCAAGTGCTTGAAGAATGACATGATCATCACATGCACCAGTACTCCTAGTTTAATGCAAAGAGAAAGTAAACGGATATTACCACAGTTAAAAAGGGATCATGCACAAAACCAAACAGATATTTAGATAGAAACATGCGGGGCAGAGGGTGAGATGGTAAAAGTACTCTTACATCACCTCGACATTTTTTCTGAATGGTCGTCAAATTTCATGGGAACACATCCTCGTCATAAATCTCCAGATGAGACTTGAGCCGTGGCGGTAAAAACATCATTAAGACCGACACCAACCAGAATCCAAAAATAAGGGGCATACAAAAGCAGAGCATTTGGGCAAAGGATGTTACAAGATAGCTAACCTGCTTCACAACTTGTCGTCTCACAGTCTCCTGGTGCTCACGTGTGTGATATAATTGAACTGAGGAACCGACATGAAAGACAATCATTGTTAAAATTTGCGAATGAAGTGCAGATATATATATATATATATGTGTGTGTGTGTGTGTGATGTTAGGATATATAGTCAGCAAATGAAATTTAGAAAAATTACACTCAGGTCTCATAAAAAACAATTAATTTCAAAAAAGTCATTGGAAATTCCGAAATGATTCTGAAGTCCTCAAGAACCTGTGTGTAATTAATTATAATTATGAAATTATTTATTTACCCCCATTAATTTTATTGCAGCAATTTATTTACAACCTCAACAGTGACTATTGACAACCTGAAAAGAAATGGTTAACAACCTCAGCAGTGCTCTTGACAACTCACTCTGTGGGATGCTAGGGGCATTGCTGAGGTTGTTAACCACCTCTCCTCGGGTTGTCAACAACCATTGTTGAGGTTGTAAATGAATTACATTGATTCAAATTAATTGGGGTAAATAGATAATTCACAATTACAATTAATTACACACAGGTCCTTAGAGACTTAGGAATCATTTTGGGATTTCTAGGCACTTTTTTGAAATTAATTGTCTTTTGTGGGACCCAAGTGTAATTTTCTCATGAAATTTCCTTGGCACCTGTGGGTGAAAATAGTCGAAGCAACAACCCTGACAATTACCATCACGCTGTGACTTGTACATGTTCCACAAACTCATATACCTGCAATGTGTATGTCCAAAAATTATATATAAGCAGTTTAATTTGACAGGAACAGCGGATGACATCAAATTTCAAAGGAAACGCATCATACAGTTACAAGAAAAGAATAATGACAATCGACAAATTGGAGAGAAATCGCCGTGCATGGGAAAGAAAGTACTTCAAAAGAAGTTCTCTGCTCCCATGACGGCGGCTTCATTCATTAAAAATTTAAAACCGAAAGAATAAAGTGAAGTTCTCGACTTTGAACAATGACTGCATGGAAAAGAATGATCAAAACCAAAAGCTGCTTCAATTCATCCCCATGCATGAAGATTGATTAACAACAAACCTAAACGTTTTAAACTACGACGTCAATGCTAAATTTATACCTTAAAGATCTTGAAGATTTATTTAACCGTCAACTTAAGTCCAAAAAGGAGCAACGGCTGCTCGCTAAGTCGGTTGAATAAATAAAGGAGACGAAACTTTTAGGTATCTTGAATGAAGAAAAAAAATCTCCAGAGAGGTCCTAACCATGGAGCTAGGACACTAGTGTCATCATAGTATCCAGGGACACGTGGAACCATGGTGGCCAAGAAATTTGAATTCTAAGTTGCAACGAGAAGAATCCTCAACAGCAAAATAGACCTGCCCAGAAGAGCTATATGCATGAATGAATAAATTTGGAGCCTCAGCTGTAATAAAAAGTTATGACATTGACATCCAGCTATTTAAGAACAAATCATCATAGCTATTTATGGGCTTCGATCGGCCATTGTGTATGTGAGAGAGAGATACTGATGTCGAAATCTACCATATGTTTCATCAAAAGAAAAAAAAAAATCTCGTATCTAGCATAAGTCATGTTATTCCTTGGTGCCGTAAAGAGTAGGGTTCATTTTGCGTAAAATGATGAGACGGTCGTTCCCATTAATTCAACTTTCTTCTGCGGTGCCTCTTGTTCGTTTTGTGATTTTGTTGTGAGTGATGGAGCATTGATGCATTATTAGCTAGTTTATTGCAAATGGCTGTTCATTTTTGGAATGACAAATTCGAAACGTCTTTCGGCCCTTTTCCGTGGAAAGCTGACTTTTCATTCAATCAGAAAACTTTGGTGGATAGCATTCTGTATGAAGAGGTTTCTTGTGACCGGCATTAAATTTGGGAGAAGCCCCTGCGTTCAATGCATTTATTACGGGTTTTCAACTTCAGAATATGTTTTGAAAGACAAGCTTCAATTTTAATTATTTATCAATTTATAATTTAACTAAATTAAACAAATTAGTTAAATTAATATTTATAATAAATAAATACCGTCTTCCGTGAAATATTCTTACTAATTATGTGTATTAACTAAATTTACTATATGACTATTTAACATATACAACTACTACAAAGACTATCTTTAAAAAAATAAATAAATATGAAAAAAAAACAAACAAATTTAAATCCTATATTTATAACTAAATTGAAAGTCAAACAAGCATGTTAAAGATTTAAAGGTAGTATTTACAAGGCAGTTAACAGACAACGTATATCCAAATCCAATTATGTATCATTAACTTCAACAAAATTATGAAGAGATAAAATTACATTTTGCATGCAATGATCTAAACATAACTCCAACCGCAGTATTTTTACAATTCTCAGTATGATCCACATGACACGGCCCAGAACCAGAACAACAATCCGATAATCCATGTGATTCCCTTGAAGTTAACGAATCGTTCGTTACTTTCTTCAGTAGCTTTCCAAAACTTCCTAAAATTGCAGCACCAGCTAAAATCTTTATACTCATCGTTAGCGGAGAATTGCTGAATTAGAATGGCCGAACATCATTCTTATATGATTGCTTGGTCTTAAGAAATATACACGAGCTAATCATCATGGTGTCCAACTATGGTGATGGTAAATGATTCTTGCCCTAAAGAAGCCTTGACCCTGATTGGTTCATTGTCCTCAAGCTGTTAATAATCAACATACCTTTAAAAGCTTTGGTCTCCACAACCAAACAAACCAACTATTTTCTCCAGATTTAAGATCCATGATCCTTCTCTTTTTCTTAGTTTCAGTGCCCTGGGAAACTTCAGCGGATGCCGTACTCTTCAAGGGTATCTGGGGACTAGTGGCCGTTGAAGATTCTACAAGTCGATTTACCATTTCCAATACCTCACTCATTTTTGGCCGATTCTTTGGATTTTTGACCAAGCATCGGTTAGCTATAACGGCAAGTCTCTGTGCTGACTTGAAGAGGGGTTTCCTGTCGAGCCTAGGATCCAATATTAGTTGAAATTTTTTCCCATCTGATAGATATGGCCTTACCCATTCCAAGAGCTTTTGTTCACCCTTGGGACGGTTACGATCCACAGGGCGCCTGCCAGTTATGAGTTCATAGAGAAATACGCCATAACTCCACACATCACTTTTTGATGTAAGGCGTCCAGTTTGAATATATTCAGGAGCTGCATATCCCATCGTTCCAACAACCTGTGGAACATAATCAACAAGAACACAAGAAGCATATTAATTCACCAGATGCCACTGATAAGTGGCTTGAACCTGTTGTCTATGAAGTATAGAATATGGATTTAACATATAAAAGGCATATTCTAGCCAACAGAAAAGAAATATTGGCCATCAATTTGCTCATTGAAATCAAAACAAATCAACAACAGAGAATTTCTCCAGATTTAAGATCCATGATCCTTCTCTTAGTTCTTAGTTTCATGCCCTGGGAACTTCAGCGGATGCCGTACTCTTCAAGGGTATCTGGGGACTAGTGGCCGTTGAAGATTCTACAAGTCGATTTACCATTTCCAATACCTCACTCATTTTTGGCCGATTCTTTGGATTTTGACCAAGCATCGGTAGCTATACGGCAAGTCTCTGTGTGACTTGAAGAGGGTTTCTGTCGAGCCTAGGATCCAATATTAGTTGAAATTTTTTTCCATCTGATAGATATGGCCTTACCCATTCCAAGAGCTTTTGTTCACCCTTGGGACGGTTACGATCCACAGGGCGCCTGCCAGTTATGAGTTCATAGAGAAAACGCCATAACTCCACACATCACTTTTTGATGTAAGGCGTCCAGTTTTGAATATATTCAGGAGCTGCATATCCCATCGTTCCAACAACCTGTGGAACATAATCAACAGAACACAAGAAGCATATTAATTCACCAGATGCCACTGATAAGTGGCTTGAACCTGTTGTCTATGAAGTATAGAATATGGATTTAACATATAAAGGCATATTCTAGCCAACAGAAAAGAAATATTGGCCATCAATTTGCTCATTGAAATCAAAACAAATCAACAACAGAGAAACTTGAATTCAATTATAACTAACAGCATAAGGAAAAAAATGATTTCCTTGTTTATTATATATTTATTTTACCTATTGGACTCGTACAGTTCGACATCCAAGACTAGTCATCATTTCAAAAGTTAAAACTGGCAGTAGGTTTACTGGTGTCCCTATATTCAGATGCCACAGCTTACACTTGAAAAATGACTTGCAAAGGTTTGAAACAATAATCTCTACCTATATGTCAACTGTTAGTTACATATTACATACATCAATGCACAGCTCATACCGCTGTTGAAACATGAGTTTAACCCTTCAGATGGGCCCAATCTTGCTAATCCAAATCTGAAAGCTTTGCATTCCCACTGATCGTCCAAAAGGATGTTTGGAAGATTTGAAATCTCTGAAGATTATCTAATCATCTCACACATAAATTAGTTAGCAAAGCAATAATAAGCTGTCACGACAGATTTGAATAGCAAAGAGAGTATGAATAATACTCCATTTCTATTAAAGAAAAGCAAGGAATCTAGATGGATAGGCTAAAGAACAGTTTGAACAAACTTTTCAGTTATTGAATTACTTGGTTATACCCTTTTTGTAGGCCAATAGTAGAGTAGGTTGTACAATTATACCTGAAAATCCATTTCTTCATGAAGATATGTTAAGCCACGAGCTGCATCCTGAGCTATTTTTAATCTCCTACTCCATGAGAGAGGGATCTCTGATCGGGGATAAATGGTGTTCCACACTTCTGTTGGGCATATATTCATAAACCAGAAGCCGCTGGATTCCTCTTTCATCATCATCAGCACAGTAACCCACAAGTTTCACAAGATTAGGATGCTCAACAACGCCAAGAACATTCACTTCTGTTACCCATTCCTTATGGCCCTGCAAACCAAAAATGGAGTCAATTTACACAACATTAACATATGCGTTAGAGAAAAAAATATACACAAAAGTTAAGAAAGACAGAATGACCTTCCATCATATGAGCATCTTGCTAGACAGCAACAATCTCTGAGCATCAGGTAAGGTTTATTTACATGCCTTAACCGAAAAATTTACGCCCAGAATATATACTACTTTGGTAAGACAAACCCACACCTTTCAAACTTATAACTGTCTCCAGTTGAAGCAATTTATGTGACCACTCAGTCCCAAACACAATACTATGCAATGCAATATGCTTACTATGCCTTGCGCTATTACATAAGGTGACATAACTATACGCAGTAATGAAAAAAGCGCATCATGTCATATTTTACAATGAATCACCCTCTGCTCGCCAAACATTATAGAAACTACTAAATTTGTTAACTTTAAAGGGGGCGAAAAGGAGGGGAAACTCTTGCCTGCATTCCTCTTCTACCAAGTTGTTTAACTGCAACTTCAATTTTTCTGGGTGGGTCCTCTAAACTCTTGATCAATCCCTTGAAGACACACCCAAACCCACCCTCTCCGATCATCACAGTGCGGCCAAAATTTTTAGTGGCTGATTTCAGTTCAGGCACCGTAAAGACTCTCAGGTTGCTGGGCCTCTGAGACAAACTGGGAAACGAAGTTCTCCTAAGGGAGTCTGTGCTATAGTCGGAAGCATTTTGAGAATTTAATTCAGAGCCAGATCCTCTCAGATCACCCTCGCCATATGTGGAACTGTTGGACAGACCCGAAATTGATTTAATACTCTTCGGATCATCCTTCTTATCTCCGTAGTAGAATGAAAAGCACTTCATTGGAAATTATTAGGCTGCATTTTCAGAAAGGGAGAATACTTGAGAAACATAAGAAGTCTAAAAGCAATACTCCCCTCTGAAAGTCATAGATAATGAAATTAAGTTCTCTGCTTTTTCATTGATCAGAAAGCAAAAGGATCACATAGCAGCCAATGTCGCCCTCCGAACAACGCTGATTTGATTTTCAGAGAGTCGAACCAGAAAAGATTGGAAGGTAATGATACTCCACAGATTTTAGCAAAAGCAAAAATGTCAAAAACATTCAGAGAACCGGAGTGAGTTCTCTTCAAGGTAGTCAAATTTAAACTACGGAGCTCTGAAGCTGCTAACATGTACTATGCTCCGAAAATGAAAATCATTAGCAACATACCCGTAACCTCAGGCGTATTCTGAAAGAACACATGTTCGTAAACCTTTAGACATAATTAGGGTCATCTGTGATTAATCGGACGTCCTGTTTACAAACGGAAACTGCAAAAGAAAAAAGGGGGAGATTTCGGTGTAGCTTCTAACCTCTAGAATATGTAACTCGTATGATGCAGAGCGATTCAGCTTTGAAAGACAACGAATTCCCCGTTTTCGCAAGATTGTGAGAGAATTATGTTAATGGAATGCCCCCAAACGAGCTCCCAAAATTGAAAATGAAGAGAATATCCCCACACGGCAGCTACAGGTCAGCTTACCAACTAGCAAGAAAAATATCTTAAAACCCAAATCAAAGGATTAATCTAAAGAGGATCTTAAACTGAATTAGACAATAATTAATTTAAAAGGGAAGGCGGGTGTGAATGGGGGTTTCGGATTTGAGACCAAGCATCCCGCGGTGGGGAGGTGATTGAGGAAACAATTGCCACAGTGCTGTAATTATTGAGGGGACACACCATCATAAAGATGGTAAATTCATTTCGTGAACGCGAAAAAGACCGCGAAGGTGGGCCATCCGAGTTTTGAATGGATTTCTTGCCAGAAGCTCTTTAATGTTAGCAACAATTTATCCAGTTCAGAAATATGAAAATAATTAAATGCTTAGGTCCCATTTCGCAGGTGGCGTTGTTCATCATAAACCCGTGACTAATAAAACTTTCAATTATTTATATACTAGTAAATTGATAATAATCGCGATAAATTTATCATTAATTGCAAAAAAATCCCGACTGCCAGCTGGAAGCCTAGAAGTATAATAGCTTCCAATGTATAAACCCAAAGGGCATTCGGGCGAAAGAAAAGCTGGAGCTTATCATATTTCGTGGAACCTTCCGCCCCGTTGGCCACAGTTGACCGAGCTTGTTTGCCAGTCCCCGCCGACTATAGAAGAAAATTATAAACAGCTAAAATTTAAATAAAAAAAACCTTACATGGCACATAATTTTTTGTAATCTGTGTATTTTGCGTTAGATGACGGATACAGGAATCAAAGAAGCATTCATTCGATCCTAAAAATACATTATAAAATGAGTATTATATTTAGAATCGGAGGAGTAGAATTGTAGAATATATATATGCATATAGAGAGAATGCGTGTATATGCTATCATGTACTAAATATAAATATTATTTTTTAATTTTCATTTAATTCTTAACACAAGGTGCAAATTTATTTTGTCTCTAGTTGGCCAAAAAATTGTTTTGTCGCTCAGCTGAATTTTTTTAACATAATGTTTTCCCCCCCTCTCCGCGTTAAAATTTGATGTAGTCTCTCTCTTCCGCATGGGATGGGGAAAATGAGGCGTTCTCCCGTAATGTAACTAGTTAGGACTTAGGACTCAGGACATGCGAGGTAGGTAACGGCGTTTCTAGAAAAATGATTCGTTTCTGGCTCAGAGCATTTTTTAAATACTGTAAAAAATAATGGCGCTTAGTGGGAAACCTTCAGTCCGGTGTTTCAATTCATACCCAAGTTTTAGTCATTAAATATAGAAATATTGCTAAGAGAGCATTTTACATTTTTTTATACATTAGTTACAAACAAAAACAGTAAAACATCTAATTATTTTTGGATTTTATAAGTTGGATAACTAAATCTTATATTAAAAATTTGGAAGGAGTAGGCATTTACAGAATCACCCAATTACTCCTCCAGCCCTTAATATATGACTTAATTATTAAGTTGATTTTAATTCTAAATATAAGACATATTTATTATATTTATTAATTCTTTATAAATTACTTTTATGAATACTCTCTTACCCATAATTAAATAGAGGGAGGAGAGATGATATTAAAGAGGATGATTATCGTGTTTTAAGAAAAAGCATGTCATATTTTTTTATAATTAACTAACTTATCTAACTTTTTTAATGTAATCAAATTAGTTAAATAAGTCTTATATTAATGATAAAAGGAGCACCATTATTTGGCTGCCATGATCTGATTACCATCGTTTAGAAAAATCCCATAGATACTCACGAGATAGCTACGAAACACTCTATGGTTTTTTTCTTCATCTAAGGCACTAAAAAAACTAAAAAAGTCATACTATTATATATGTTTGCTTTATTCTGTTTACAATGGTATTTTTAGTTTCTACGATTTTTATTTGCGTTTTTATATAGATGGCCTTTGTCTGACTAACTTAGTATTAATCGGGCATCATGCCATGTGATTAGTGATCGGGGGAAAATAACTGAAAGTGTGTCGAGGAAGCACGTCGTTGTAATTACGTAACGCGATTGCACCAATATTTACGAACGGCGCTGAAAGCCTCAAATTTTGGAACTTGCTCACTTCCAGATGCCAATGCAATTGCAAATCCTTCAATTTAGCCAACCATTTCTCTCGGCCATCTCTTCATCCCGAAACCCGGAAAACTCCTTCAAATTGCTTATGACCTCTCTTTGACCCAAAGACGAATGCCAAAAAAGAACTGGGAAAAAAGGAGGACACAAAATTATACTCTAACTGCATTCAACTCCATCGTCCCTCATCACCTGCCTCCAAGCTTCATCATCGTGCTGATGTAAGTTACATTATTTCACATTTGGTTGCTGCATTCTCTGTCTTCAGAGCCAAAAGACTCGCGGTTTGCTTCGCGTTCGGATAATATTCATGTTTGAAGGAATCCATGTTAACGGAAGTTGTCAGCGATGACGCCATGGTTATTCATCACTTTAGCAGTGCAGAGCTAATTTCATCGCCCCAGTTCATCCTGATCTCCTGGCATGGTCCTCGAGGGTACATGATTTGGTGGGCTCTGAATTATGGAAATGAATGGAATTAAGAACAATGCCTCCTGGGTTGCCCTGGTTTTATTGTTCTATTTAGTTTCTTTAAGTCTGCTCCCGCTGACTCAATGTTCAGACGGGGATAGTACTAATCCCAGCGTGCTTCCAATAGTAACGCAAAAAATCTATGAACGACTCTCAAATGTTACCACAGATTTAACCAAGGATATCAAGGCTACCTTAGGCTTCTGCATAAAGGATGTGTGCGTCATATTGCCCTCCTGTTGTGGTCAGTTACCTGTTCATATTAGTCTCAGTTATTAACGATAGGTTCCCATCTTGCAGGAATAGAGATTGGGATGGAGCATTTAATTTCACGGGAAAACTGGACTTTTTGACTGCTTGTATTAAACAGATAAAAGGTATGAGTTTGCTTCCGAAGTCTTAGTTTCATTCACTCTAACTATTGCTCCTGAGGTTTGGAGTATTTCCTAAGAGGCTGCATGCCCGGTCATTCCAAGAACATTCAGAAGTAATACAACAGAGATCTGTCAATTGGAATTATAAGTGGCGTAGGAATTTCAGATCGAATTTCTCTCGCATAATGTATAGGGCACTTCACTTTATGTTTAGGGCGCCGGCAGGTTCCATGATTGTTCATGCCACTAACCTGCTCCATTTCACGAGTTTATGCGATGCCAAAAGCAAGTTTGTGCGGTGAAAAACATAGCTAGTTGTTGAACAGGGACTTCGTGACACATGCCAAATTCTGTCTTATCTTTTCTTCTGCATTCTTTTTCTCGAAGCAAATTCTTATTCATTTTCTCTTACTAGTTCTTAAATATAATAATATGGACTAATTGGCAGGAGATCTCACCTATCGAATATGTAGCACAGCCGAAATAAGGTTCTACTTCAATTCTTTCAAGAGTCAATCATCGAGTAGCCTAAGACCTAACAGGAATTGCAATTTGACCTCATGGGTGGAAGGCTGTGAACCTGGTTGGCATTGTAGTGTAAGCACAGATGTTGATCCTAAATATTTAAGGGAGTCAAAAGACGTTCCCCTGAGAAACAAGGACTGTCAACCTTGCTGTGAGGGGTTTTTCTGCCCTCGAGGGTTGACTTGCATGATACGTAAGTATGCAATATCTCTTAAAATTTTACCCATAGGTAGCATGGAATTATCTTAAATTTGATAATATTGTGCCCAAGTTTAGGAGTTGAGATAACGCTTTCCTCTGTTTGGAGACATATATACACGCACTGATAATCTGGAAGCGGTTATCAATTTCTTCTCATCAACTACTATCTGATGGCCATTGTGGAACTTTTGTTTTCTTCAAAATCTTCAGAAGCATATTTTGAGGAATGAAAATCAATTGCTCTAATATCATTACCTTCTCTAATTTTTTTGGTGTAGCTTGCCCACTGGGTTCTTATTGCCCCCTTGGAAAACTGAACAAAACGAGTGGATTATGTTCACCGTAAGATCTAATCTCCACCTTGCTTCTCTAATTTTTCCCATCCGCTTCGTCACTCAATGTGGTCATCACTAAAATCAATTTGCAGATATCATTACCAGATACCTTCTGGAGCGACAAATCATAGTTGTGGTAGCGCTGATATTTGGACCAATGTTGTCAACAATAGTGATATCTTCTGTTCGCCGGGATCATACTGCCCCACGACGACAAGTAAACTTTCCTGCAGTAAGGGGTATCGATTTATCCCATGCCTTCTTTTGCTTTTCTATGAATTGTTTCTGCTTTTGCTGCAATCCTCTCTTATTTACATTATAATACTTCTCCTTCCTATTACAACCTCCTGACATTAACAGCTGAGCATCTTTTTTAACTGATATCATGTTCTCTTTCAGACATTACTGCTGGATGGGTTCCTTGCTTCAAAAGCGTGAGTCCAGTTTCTTTGGCCAATTTATGCATATGCTATCATGCTTCCCTTAGATTATGTATCTAAATTAATGGTTGCTAAAAATAACTCAATTGAGAAAAAGGATCTCTTGCAGTTCAGTTGCATTTAGACACTTAAAATCCTTCCATATGTCGAAAGAAACATTAGCTATCAGAACATAAATCTAAGGCAAACATGATGAAGACCTGATATTATATTAACTTTGTATGTAGGCAATACTTGCATGACAAGGTACTGTCAATATAATGGGTTAGATTTAACATTAGCTATCAGTAGCGTCTTCTAAAATTATCGTCTTGCTATTATTATTATTTAATTTTGCTTCATGGAGTGGATGAAGTAAATCAGAATATTAATTTGCATGGTCCATCTTGCAGAATGCTTCAAGTTGAGTACCTGTAATCCAAATACAGCAAACCAGAATATTCATGCTTACGGGGCTTTACTTCTAGTAAGTGGACTACTGTCCAGAATATTTTATTTTGGGGTTAATTCTTGCCAATGGATTATTTCCCTTGACAGCTTAAATTTTATAGACTTTTATGTATATATGCATAAACTCATCGGTTCTTATATAAAGTTTTACATCAGTCTCATTTCTTGCCAACTCTGGTATTCTATATTGTAATTGAAGTTAAATGAAGACAACATGAAGTCAGCACAAAAATACTCCAAAATTCATCTTCTTTTATTTTGCATATACCCTGAGAGAGAACACCAGTACTTTGTCATAATTGGCTAGGCATTGGTTCTCTGTGAGCACTTATTGATCCTTCTTGCAGGCTGCATTAACCGCTGCCCTGCTCATCATTTATAACTGTTCTGATCAAGTTCTGTCAACTCGAGAGAGAAGGCAGGCTAAAAAAAGGGAAGCTGCAGCTAGACATGTGAGGGAAACTGCACAAGCTCGTGAACGGTGGAAATCAGCAAAAGATGTGGCCAAGAAGGGTGCAGCGGGATTACAACAGTCATTCTCACGCACCTTTTCTCGCAGAAAGTCTACGCAACAACCATCTGGGTTCAAGATCTTTAGCACTAAAACCAATACAAGTGACGCTCCAGTTTCATCAATTCCTCTGGATTCTTCAGATGAAGCTTCAAAAGCAAAGAAACCCGGCAAACTTACGCAAATGATGAATTCCATTGAGAATGATCCAAATAGCCATCAGGGATTTCATTTGAATATTGGAAATAAACATACTAAAAAGCAGACAGCAAAAGATTTGCATACTAAGAGCCAAATTTTCAAGTATGCTTATGGTCAGATTGAGAAGGAGAAAGCAATGCAAGATGCAAACAAGAACTTGACTTTCTCCGGAGTGATTTCAATGGCTGCTGGAAATGAAATTAGGAAGAGGCCTCCTATTGAAGTAGCTTTCAAAGACTTAACTCTTACTCTGAAAGGGAAAAACAAACATGTGCTTAGATGTGTGTCAGGAAAAATCAGTCCTGGTCGAGTTTCAGCTGTCATGGGCCCCTCAGGAGCTGGCAAAACCACATTTCTCTCTGCCATTGCAGGAAAAGCAAGAGGTTGTTCTGTGACGGGCTCAATTTTAATTAATGGAAGACATGAATCTATACATTGTTACAAAAAAATTATTGGTTTTGTGCCACAAGATGATATTGTGCATGGCAACCTGACCGTGGAAGAGAATCTTCGTTTCAGTGCAAGATGCAGGTATCTGATTTACCTAAATTTCCTGTCAAAACCTACACTCTTTACCTCTCGTGATGGTGTTTCAACTGTTATATTTATTTTTATTTATACCGTATTTGAACAGGTTTCCTCCACATATTTACCGTATTATTCATAATGCGTCTTAATTTCAGACTCCATGCAATGCTCCCGTCATATATACCTAACAAAGTGTTTATAGTGAAAACTACCCAAACTTAATCCATGATTAAACAAAATTACAAGATTCGTTTGCTCTAGTAACTCAACAATCTTCTGAATTTTGTTATGAAACAATGCACCAAGTGCCTCATATGAGAACTCGTATGCATGTGAAGTTTAATGAAAATTCTTAATTATTCGAGTTAATAAGTGAGTGCTTCACTTCTTTTCAGAGTTAATGAGTGCTATTTTTTGTTTTTGCTTCTTGCTAACTGTTTATTTCATTAAAATGGTTGTTTCTTTACAACAATGGAGATTATCTGCGGACTTGCCAAAACCAGATAAGGTTCTAATTATTGAAAGAGTAATTGAATCCTTGGGCCTCCAAGCAGTGAGGGATTCCATAGTTGGAACAGTGGAGAAGCGAGGTATATCTGGAGGACAAAAAAAACGTGTAAATGTAGGGCTAGAGATGGTGATGGAGCCTTCTTTGTTAATATTGGATGAGCCCACAACTGGTCTAGACAGTGCGTCTTCTAGTTTACTTCTTAAAGCACTCCGACGAGAGGCCCTTGAAGGCGTAAACATTTGCATGGTACTTCATCAACCAAGGTAATGCTCACTCCCCCTCTCTGCCCCAGAACGCCTATTTCCCATGCGCAAAGTGCTGATATAATTTTATCCCATGCAATGCTCGCACATATGTGAAATCGACACTTCTAGTATCTTACACTTCTAACCTGTTAGGGATTAGGCATATGTTGAGAATCAAGTTTATGTCCTCTTCCAAAATCTAATGTTTATAATGCTTTTGTTTTGATACAGCTATACTTTGTTCAGAATGTTTGATGATATTGTATTTCTAGCCAAAGGCGGCTTCACTGCATATCATGGTCCTGTCAAAAAAGTGGAAGAATACTTCGCTGGCATTGGAATCACTGTACCTGATCGGGTGAATCCTCCAGACCATTTCATTGATGTTTTGGAAGGCTTAGTAAAGCCAAGTTCAGGTGTGACTCATCAACAACTCCCAGTGAGATGGATGCTGCATAATGGATATGCAGTACCACCGGATTTGCTACATTTTGCTGATGAAATTGCCGCATCTGGAACTGCATCGACCTCAACTGCAAGTGGCACAAAAAAGGGTACCGATGGAGATGCTGATCAATCCTTTGCCCAGGAGTTTTGGCAGGATGTGAAGAGTAATATGCACATCAAACGAGATCATGTGGAGGAAAATTTAGTGAAGACCAAAGATTTATCTGGCCGAATAACTCCTGGTGTAGCCCGGCAATATAGATACTTCCTTGGGCGGTAAGAAATCCTATGATTAAATATAGATACTGTTGTTCATTCTGTTTTATTTACCAACGTAGACAGATTTCTAGTCCCACGCAATCAAGCATGTCTTACGTGTCTTCTGATGAGAAGTAAATAAAGAGTTGGACTAAAATAATAATAGCGTGGGTGACCAGTGTTAACAGTTATCCCAATATGGAGTTTCTACAGCTATATTTTTGTAATTCATATGAGGAACCATATCCCTGAAAGTAAAATATGGTTTACTACTTGTTCAATGCAAAATAATATTTCAGTAACTTTAGTCGCCGTTGACAACATTGATTAATTTTTAATCAAGTCCCTTTATTGCAGGGTTGGTAAGCAGCGGCTACGAGATGCCCAATCACAAGTAGTTGACTATCTCATTTTATTAGTTGCTGGTGCTCTGTTAGGAACTCTTACTGAATCCAACGATGAAACATTTGGGGTCCTTGGTTATACTTACACTGTCATTGCTGTCTGTAAGTTAAAAGCTTGTGATTGACTTTGAAATTTTGACCTTTTTTTGCATTTATATTCTGATAAAGCTTTCTGTATTTGTCTTTTCACAATGATATTGCATATTTGCAGCTCTATTATGCAAGATAGCAGCTCTTAGATCATTTTCTTTGGATAAATTAGAGTACTGGAGGGAGAGTGCGGCTGGGATTAGCACTTTGGCTCATTTTCTCTCCAAGGATACAATTGATCTCTTCAACACAATCATCAAACCTGTAGTATATCTCTCCATGTTCTTCTTCTTTAGCAATCCGCGGTCAAGTTTTACAAGTAATTACGTGGTCTTGCTTTGTCTTGTGTATTGTGTGACTGGCATTGCTTATGCAATAGCCATTTACTTCCAACCTGGTCCTGCGCAGCTGGTATGAAATAACTTTAAAAAACAACTTATTACACATCCATAAGATATTCCTACACAACTTCACCAATAGTAATTGGACTTGTATCATTTCTCTTGCTTTTCGCATTACCTTGTAGTGGGCAGTGCTTCTTCCTGTTGTCATGTCTCTCATTGCGAACCAGCCAAGAGATACTACACTAATGAAGATCCTGGTACAACTGTGCTACCCAAAGTGGGCTCTAGAGGCCTTTGTGATTGCAAACGCTGAGAGGTAGGTTTTGAGTCTTGACCACTACTGTTCCTTTCCCCTTCCTTCTAAATGAATTAATAGGGGGTGCTAGCGCATTTGAAATGAATATCATTTTTTCCAGGTACTCTGGAGTGTGGTTGATAACTCGTTGCAGTTCACTAATGGCCAATGATTATAATGTCAACGATTGGACTCTTTGTCTAGTTGTGCTGTTTTTGTTTGGTGTCCTCGCTCGAGTGGTAGCCTTCTTTTGTCTTCTTCTATCCCGAAAGAAGTGATTTTGGATATAGGATGCACTTCTGCCATGATCTTACTGTACAAATCATAGGTGTTTATAGCCCAACCCTATCCATCCATTTGTATCACTAATGTATGAAACTAGGGTCTAGGGACGCTGTCCATTTTTTCCTATTTCAATAAATTAATTTATTGATGATAAATTAACAGTGTAGGTCAAGCACCAGTTTAGGATTTCTATTTATTACCTTTTTGTGTTAAAAGCACAAGTATTGTAAATTTAACTCTTCCTTATCTCTCGTTTTTTAGTGAAATTAACCAAATTCAAGTTACGTGTGTGGGTTTAGTTCACATTCTGAGCTGCATTTCATCCAATTGATTTAAATAATCTCTTGCTGGGCAAATTGTATAGGTTCTTCTTTTTGGCATTTTTCAAAGACAAACATTTTTATAATTCACTAAGTGAATGTAGGAGAGCCCATTCAAAGAGAAAGAGAGCAGATATGAAAGGAAATACAAAGGAAATAACGTAGACTTCAAAGTGAAAACTAATATAAGGGACTCAGTCCCCAATAAATTGTATCAAAATTTATCATTTGTCAATAAAATAAATAATTCATAGCATAAGAAAGATCAAGATGGGCGAATGATCCTCCTTCCCGCCCCGAATCACTTGAGGTAGTCGGGCTGGGTTTCAAGTTAAAATTTACCTTGTTCGACCCAAAACACAAATTTTATTTTATTTCCCTTTTTTGAAATTGTTTAAACTAACAGTTTGATATTATTTGTTTATGATAATCATAAACATCTTTTATCATTTAAGTTTTTTAACCTTTTTAAAAAATTTCACATTACTAATCCTAATATTAATTTTATAATAAATACATTGTCAATGATATTAGTTATATTTTTCTCAATGAATGGTATTGTTTTCGAAACCCCGACCTAATTTTGGGCACGCAATTGGTCCGAATTACACTCCAGGCCGAACATCAAAGCCGAGGTGAAGTCCAACCCAGTACTGTGGTGGAGCCCCAATCAGCATCAAATAAAAATGGGTGTAATTAATAAAAAAGCCTTTCTCATGAGTCGGTAATTAAGATTCAAATTTTTATTAAGAGGGATATCCATATATAGTACTCGACAATATCTTAAATAAAATTATTTTCCTAAAAGGATACCTATGACTGGTAAAAATAAAAAAGCCTTCAATTTTTGTGAAGCTTACCAGCGTTCTATGAATCCGGCATTTTATTTAATTAAAAAAGAAAAAGAAAAAAGAAAATAACATGACCGTCACGTGATCTTTCCGGAACTAAGAAGTAACGTTTGGCGACAGTCGGTCGGCTCTCACCGTCAGCATTTACATTTTTGGTGAACTAAGAAAAAGCCATGCAATTTATAAGACCGGCGTTTCGTAACGCCTCTTTCACCGTTTCCCGCTCCTTAAACCCTAATCCCTATAATCCCTTCTTCCTCCTTACTCTCCGTTCGCTGCCCATCACCACCGCCTCACCCTCACCGTCGTACTTGACCTCTCATTTCGCCCTTGAAACATTCCCATCCCTGTCACCTCCTCGCTGCTTCTCTTCTTCAATGGCGGGTGGTGGCGACCACTCAGAGTCTCCTTCGTCCCATTCTCTTGAGAAGCAATTCGAGGACTTTCGGCTTCAGCTAGAGGAGTCTGGGAGTTTGCGCGAGCGAATTAGAGCGGTTGTTTCGGAGATTGAGTCCAACACCAGACTTATGCACGCTAGCCTCCTTCTGGTCCATCAGTCTCGTCCGACCCCCGGTAGCGAAATGCGATGCTTTTCTTCTTCCACCAATTTTCTATTTTTTTTTTAACTTTCTGAACTCTTGGGTCTTGACCTTTGTGTATTTTTAGTCTGTTTTTAGTTGTCTGAGAACGAGGCGAAAGTGCTTTGCGTTTTTTTTTTTTTATAATAATTAAGATGATTATGTTTTTGTGATGTTTGCTGCTTGGCGCCGAATTTTGGCTTCCTCGTAGTTAATGTTAGATGGCTGTATTCTATAAATTTTCGAAAAAAGGAATGAAGTTTGCTTTAACTCAGCGGGAGTTCCTAGGTATGCAGCCAAATCAACTATAGGATTCTACTTTTCATTTGGTTTACATACGTGGAGAAGATGGGGGCAGTTATGTTTCATTTCTGCTTTGGGTTTCCTAAATTTAATCTCGGTGACATCCAAGAGTCTGCTAAATAAATTGCAGCAAGTCACTAATAGTTTTACTTACCTCGAACTAATTTTACTCTTTACCATTTGAATAGAGCTTCTGGAGAAAGCAAAGTCCTATGTTCATGTGTTGAAGGACCATTACAAGCAACTTGCTGAAGTTCTTGGAGAATGCTCTGGCCAGTACTACAGGTAATTAAAGTTTCAAGCAAACTTTTACTGTTTATGAGTCTTGAAAATTTGCTCTGATGGTTTGTAATTTTCCCCCCATATAATCTAGGTACCATGGTGATTGGAGGAGCGAGACGCAGACTGTAGTTTCACTGATTACTTTTATGCATTGGTTAGAAACAGGAAACCTTCTTATGCATGCAGAAGCTGAGGAAAAACTAGGGTGTATGTCTCAGTACTCTCTTGTCATTGCTTGTTATAAACGTTTTCTACTTGTCATTAGGTAGGTATGCATGCACGTGCTGGTATCTTATCTTTATTTTTTAAATGGAATATCATTTATAACTTATAGCTTCCCGCATCTGACGATGCAGGGCTTATCTTTTGCAAAACAAATATGCAAATGGATTTTAGTTAAGGAAATATTTTATGAAATACTGATAAATCAAACTCTTCTAGTTCTGGTTCAGGCCTGATGTAGATTTTCACTAGCATTCCTAGTTAAACTTTGAATTAAGGAATAATGATTTGGAACTGCTTTGGGGAAAAAAGAAGGCCCTGTTTGGTGGTTGCCAGAAAGGAGGATGAGATTAAGATTTTCTAGGCTTTCTAGCTTAAAAGGAATTTGGAACTGAAAAGGATTGATTTTATGTTTATAATATTCTTCTGATTTAAGCTTTTTTGTTTGCCGCAAATTTTAACTAAATGCTCTACTTCTTGTTCAGAGTCATGAGATTGAAAATGTCTTTTTCTTAACAAATGCAGTGAACAGCTCTGAGTTTGGTCTCGATATTGAAGACTATCTTATAGGTGAGTGCACTAAATACGACTTACTTCGTAATAATCATTGATCTTCTCAGTTCAAATCTGTCTTCCTTTCATTCATGTAGATCTTTTCAGTGAGTAGTAGTGACTGATATGAAAATGGTTAGGCAAAAAAACTTATATATCTACCCTTATATTACTTTAAGTTTTGTTTCCAAACAAATCAATACATGTGGATTTTTTTTTATATATTATCTATCCTATAATAAACTCTTGTTGATAATATTATTCACACTTTTAAATCCACTTGTTCTGAATTGGTTGGGCAAAAGTATATTAAGCATACAAGGCTAAGTATCCAAGTCTCCTCCAAATGATTATGTTCTAACATGGGTGTAGACATGTAGTTTCATCATAACTGTTCTAAGGAGTCGAGAAAGAGGAGCAGAATAACTGAATATTCTGCTGAACAAGTTCTTGCCTATCATTGTGGTTATAAATCAACCACACTCACGCAACTCTACATTCAACCCCTTTGATTTTGGTGTAATATGTATAGTCAAGGCCATAGGTCGATTCTAGTGGTTTTTTCGTTTTGTTTTGTTTTGTTTTTTTTTTTTAAAGATGATTTTCTTGTCCACTGGGATGATAATGTTGCTTATTTTGCTATGTACACTGATATAGATACATTTTTGTCATGCAGGTGTCTGTTTTATGTCCAATGAATTGGTAAGAGAATTGTTTTCCTGTAAACTTGTTAACCTCTTGTGCAAGACAGAGAGGCTTGCGGTTCATAGACATAGAAGATCATGAAATTATCGGATACTTTAAGGAAGAGACTCGGTACAATTTAATTACTCTCACACACTAACTTGCAACTACCTGATCTTGCAGCCAAGGTATGTGGTGAATCAAGTGACAGCTGGGGACTATGATTGCCCTAGGAAAGTCCTAAAGTTCTTGACTGAGCTTCATGCTGCATTTCGCATGCTTAACCTTCGGAATGATTTTCTGAGGAAGAAATTTGATGGTATGTTGTAACTTTAGATCCTATCCTATACATTGCTCCCTCGTACGTAGTCATCTGTTTGAATCGTAATTTTCCCACGTTGGCAGGCATGAAGTATGATCTGAGAAGAGTGGAAGAGGTTTACTATGATGTCAAAATTCGGGGTTTGGCACCCAATGGTGAGCAAGTCGATGGTCAAGGTGTTCAAGGACCACCTTAGGTTGTGAAGGCTGACTTGGGGGGGTACTCTTGAGATATAGTCCGCAACTATGCATCGTAAAAAACGCATATACTTTTGTTCCTAATAGTCGGTGGAAGAAAGGAAAGGTAATCTCTTTCAATTCTCCACTGAGTCGACATGATGTAGATGCGGAATACATTGGGTGTGTGCCTGTGTAATTTTTTTGTTAAAAAAAAATTCCTGGTTACATCATTTTTGTTATTAGTTATTTTAACCTTCCAAATGCTCAAAACGAAGCCATCAGACTCTAGCTTCGAGAATTGCTGTCGAGTTGTTAGAAGATAATATTGCTGCCGGGTAGGTAGGAAGGTGCTAAACGGTGGCGTCATTGTGAAGCTGGTGAACAAAGTTTCATGCTGATTCACGTAGAACCGTCGATGACAATTTAATGGCGGTAAAATTATTTTCCAACAATAGTTAGATTAGTTTGCGGGAACAAATAAAATCCCATAGTTAAGAATTTAATGAATGGGTTTGCTTGACAAGCTGGAATGAGATTTGCCACAACTTTTTCTATTCCCCCGTCTGATTCTTTCTGATGTGCTTGTGAAGATCTCTGGCAAATTTTGTAATGTGATGTTTTTGTTAATTTTTTGAAAAAAAATACTTTTACTACTCTTTTAGTTTGTATCAATTATAAAGATTTCTTTTTTATTTTAAAAACATACAGTTTATTTGGGAATATTCTAAAAAGATTATCAAAATATTATTTTTAACTGAAATTTATATTGAAATAAATTTTATTTATTATTTTATCCCTCATTTTAATAAATTTTTAAATTATATTTTTACAGTTATATTAATTTTATTCAGTTAAGATAAACATTAAAGATTAGATTAAAAATTTAACTAATTTTTTAATAAATATATATATATACTTGACTAAATATGTTTATAAATCTAACAAAAATCTGTTTGAAAGTTTTGAATTATAAATTTAAATAATTTATAAAATCTTCTAAATTTATATCATTTAAACTTCATAATAAACAAAAACTATGTATTTGAAATGTTTTTACAATTTTAAAAGAATCGAAGTAAATAATTTCTAGTGTGATAAAATATTAAAATTGTAAGATTTTATGATTTAAATCAAAATTAATAAATTTTAAAAATAATTATTTTTTTATTTTATAAAAACAGTTTTCAGAAAATATAAATGTCTAAATGATTATTAAGTTAAAAAAGAGCATTTTGGCTTTAAAAAATAATTTAAAGTCAAATTTAACAGTCAAGTAACGGTTTGGATGAAAATAAAATCTTGAATATAAAAGGGAGGTTTATGCAACATATGTTTTAATTGTAAGGGAGGTTTATATATGTTTTCAAAATAAAATGAAAGTTTCTGTAATTGGGATAAAATAGAAGTGATGGGTATATTTTACTCTAATTCTTTTCATCTAATATCTTTAACTGACTATAAAATCTTTTGGCTAATTAATTAAAATTTTCTAATAAATTAATTTAATTTTTATAAAGTAAGTAACTAACTTGTTCTTATAAAAATAACTGGAAGGAGGTTGCCTCTCCATACGGCAAAAAGAGGCCTGGGCTTTAGGGGCCGAAAGAATGCTTGGTCCATGAGATGCGCTACATATTTTGGACTGTGGAAGCTTACCTAATTTGAAGCTCTACGACCAACTGCTAGCAAGTTGTTCCATCTTTTGGGAAAAGGAAAAAGCGATCCGCGCCACACGATTCAGATCTAATGGCGCAAGTCATTGGTCGCATTTCATGAAATCAGGTTGCACATGATAACTTCTCCTTGACGTAATACCTGCATTCCCAACTCAAATTATCACCGCCGGACGATGCCTCGACACAAACTTCTATCTATGAGATACGAAAGCTAAAAACTTCATTGAAAATTCGAAGACATCACTAATCTGTAATTTCAGTATTTCTTTTAGCTCACCTCTATATACAGGATCCAGTTCAAGTCGCATATGGCACCGACACCAAGATTTATGGTGAACAGAGTTTCGGAGAGTAGTCTGACGGAGACAGATTAGCAGAGGAGGATGCTTCTTCTTAGGAAGCAAGAAGATGATCCGATGGGAGGCACATGCGCCAGCTCATGGGAACCCAGGATTACACGTGCATGGTATGCTCGTTGCTAAGGCCGTCAAATCAAATCATTTAAGAATTTCATTGATTCATAAAATTTAATCGATGTAACGTTCCATGATGAGTCTTGAGGTGTTACCAAAACCAAGCCTTAGCGCTCATATCCCATGGGCCAAACCTCACGTTCTCCACTACGTCCCTTGCTCGCCTTACCTTTATGTTCCCTTACCTCACTGATCATTAACCTTATCGCTTCTCATTCTGCAAAATTGCCTCGTGAAGCCTCCTTGACTCTGTTAGATGTCATTCTTTCTCCAATGAAAACGGCCGATTGCTTCCTGTACCGATGATTGTCACTTTCCGTAGAACTTGTTGAATCAATCTTTTCTGGCGGTCAACTGTATAGGATGCAGGAGAAGTTGGTGGTATTTGCCTATATGAAATGCAATAAAATGGTTCTTCAAATGGTGATTGATTTGACAGCATCCACTGAAAAAATTATCAAACGAGACCAGGCAGAATACCCCTTTGTCTTAAAGGAGATGTATCACTGTGCTGGCTTCCCTATTTTCTCTGCCCATCACTGCATAAGATGCATGAAGCAGGAAAAAGGAAACGCCGAAACTTATCTTCTTCAACTATTTTAAATGAAAATGTTGAATATATTTCGGCCAACAGCAGTATATTTCCCTCACCAACAGAAAAAGGAAGTAAATTTTAATTCTCTAACTAATCTCTACTTTCTAGGTACCCAAGATGATTAGAAGTTTACAAGTTACAGCAGCTCTTCTTTCTTGACTTTTCTAGAGCAACACAAAGTGGCAATCTAATTTTGCGGTCGTTATTTCCTTTTATAACTGATATGTCAGACCTACTCCTCAAGCAATTTTTACAGAAAAACATTGAGAACTGGGAGTGGAATCATTGAATATCATAGTTGATAAGATTCCTAAGGTCAGTCAAGTATCATCAAATCTTTCTCAGAAATCTCATTTATCGAGGGTCAAGATTTTCAGGTTGAGGCCTTCTGAGCAACCCATGACATTTTGCAATGCATGTAGCCCATTCCCTGTATGCTAGAGTGAGATGGAAGACCAGTAAAACTTATCCTTAATCCATTCAAATTTCACATAACGGATCGGTTAGAAGACTGAATAAGATATACTTTTGTACGGACGGTACACTCTCAGTTCAAAACAATAATACTTTAACCGACAATTTGATATTGTTCAAAATCAGAGATGAGTTGAAACCAATCATTCGACTTGTGTGCTTGCTAAGAAAATGTGCTTGAATTGATAAAGACGCTAATATTATTGAGACATTACATAACAGACCCATTTTTCTGGCACTAAAACTACAGAATCACCGACGTTCTGCCCTTAATTAGCAATCCGAAATGTTCAAGAATTACGACTCGAAATATCTGAAGCCCTTTCAGGAATAAGCTGATATATCTTACGACATCCGTCCCCATATATTAGAAATAGGCGGGATCGCACTTTACCCAAGAAACCTATCCCATCCCTATATCTTATCTTTTCCTTTCCAACTTGTGGGGTCTTGACTTTGAAAACTTCGAAAGATCTGTGATCAAGCACTTTCCTTCCAGAATTACAGAGAAACAGGGTCCTCATTTCCTAGTAGAGATGTTAACTGACCATAAAATATATCTGAAATCATTGCATGCATGTTCCTCCAGTTTCTGCAATGCTCTAAACTAGCAAAGTAGCGAGTAAAGTCAGCAACTATCTACTGGACTATAATCATTGTATTGTAGCCATAAGCTACTAATGATGTCCAACCATTTATTGCTCCAATGCAGCGGCTCTTCCCATGCCACAATTATATAAACCTTTTAGTTTTCGTGATACCCACTACACCTTCTCTCCCCTTCTTCTTCCCCTCTCGTTCAGGAAACACCTGAAAAAGTGAACTATGAAGGGCAATTTTTTGCTGGGGTACTTTAACAAGTGGAAGAAGGAGGGAACAAGCGTCAAACCTTACCCTGCTTGTGAGTACTCCTGCCAATGGGCTTCCATGCATGAGAAGAGCTCCATCCCAAGTGATGTCCCAAAAGGTCACCTGGTTGTCTATGTTGGTGAGAACCACAAGAGGTTTATAATCAAGATCGCACAGCTCAATCATCCACTCTTCAAGGAATTGCTGGATCAAGCTCACGAAGAATATGGTTTTACTGCAGATTCAAAACTTTGTATCCCTTGTGATGAGCATCTTTTCCTCAGTGTCCTTTGTTGCGCCAGCTCTCCACAGCGCGAACGGATGTGTTTGTGCCTTTGAGAAATAATATCCGTTGAAACATTTGTTCAAACAGTTAGAGTTCTGACTAGAAAGTTGATGTGATGTGTGATGTAATATCTAGTTTACTGATGTAAATCTATTCTCGAACATAGGAGATTTCATTCTGTTATGTTGCTCTTATTTGCAAGATGTAAAGGTTGTAACTTTCAGCGAACCAATGCCAGCTCTGCATTAACTAGACTACGACCAAAACCCGAAGGCATGGAGGAACTCGAAGTCGAAGAAGGGGAAAAATATGCATTGGACCAATCTACTGCAACAACAAAGGAAAAATTGCTGAAGATTGTCTGCCATGATGGGTAAGACAGTTTTCGACCAGCCAATACGCTCAATCCAAGTAATACTGTAATATATTTAGGTTCATGTCTATTGCATCATTCGCTCAAGGATTTTCTTTTTTATTTCAGGTGAACGGAAACCCGTGACACTTATGTCACTTTGTTTCTCAACATTTGCTTCAAGAAACAACAATGCATTGCGAACCATGTTTTCAAGTGCGAAAGTAAGATATGTGATCCCAGGAAATCTCACATGGTTTTTTTTTTTTTTTTTGGGGGGGGTGTCGGGGGAGGGATTGCATTCCATCTGCCGCGTGGAGAGACTTTCTTGATTGTTCTTAACAAACATCACATATATGAACATCAATAGAACCAAAAGTTGTGAGAGCAACAGCAATCAACAATGCTGAAGGTGGAGTTTCTGGTTTTTAATCATGGAATTTCAGGTTAAAAAAGTGGAGAAGAGTTAAAAGAACAAGTCTAAGTGCAACTGCAAGGGTTATGACAGAGAGCGAATAGCACGAAAAAAACCGAGGCGAGGTTGATGGCGAGGGCTACTAGGGACCAACAGGAAATATGTGGAACTCGATTTCATTTCTGCAGAGGATGTGTGATAGGATGTGGCAGCCATACTGCATGAATTAAAAAGGAAGAAATGGCAGGAAGGAGGCCATTCATGATAAGGGGAGGACCACCTTGCTTTACACTTATAGCTCAACTCCGATTCTCTCTGCAACTGCCAATAATCTGACTCAAACTAGCAAAACTCAACGCCCTGCCTGGCCACCTATCTTCATTAATAGAGTCTGATAAATGTATATGGATATAGATTCTTCTAATAAACTCTTGGCATACCCACTATATAGTGCCTACGCGTCCCTCTCCCTACCTACTTATTTCCCAAGTAGTTTATAAAGAGATTCTTAACTAGCATAATTTCTTTAAGAATTGCACGGATCCCAAATCCATAACATGCATCCCCAACTCCATTTGGTTTCCCGAGGTCAATACCTGTCTGAAGACAAGCCAGTCCCTGTTTCGGTCACAGAAATTATTCACGCATTCAATAAGCAAATTATCATCATTGATTGTAATCCCGCTGCCTCCGTAAACTCTGTCCATAAGCAACCAATTCCATTTCTCCTACCAGGAGACAACAGATCGAAGTACCGATCTGCTCTGCTCGATGCTTGCGGACAAAAATAATATTACAAATAAACTCAAGAAGCCAACGAATTAACATGTTTTTTCCCTTCAAACAATACTACATATCATCAATATATCAACGAATTAACATGTTAATACATTACCAATATCATCAGCGTCGTGTAAAGTCAGGTGCTGTATTTACAATCCACAATCAGTATAACTTTTTAAATAGACTTCGTACAATGCAGGAGAAGCTGCCTAATTACAAAAACTGCCCACTGGAAAATTAGACTTGAATGGTGAAATTAAACTCGTAACTCATCAACACCTAATAGCAACAATCGAAATGGCCCTCTGATACGGCAGTATCGCTATTATCAGCCTAACTGCAAAACCTTCTGTGAAATTGCTGCGGGAAAAGCCTATGCACACAACATTGGCACCCCATTAGCACAAGGGTATGCATATCCAAAAGATGCTGAAAACCATGAAAGACAAATGTATGGTTACTTTCTCAAAAGAAATTAAAAACTAAATAATAGTTTTCTTTGTTCCGGTAGGTTAGTGCACTCCCACCCTTTTAGTATAAATCGAATATTCCAACTCATGCGATAAATTGTCCAGGTAAAAATAGAGTGGAACAGCAAACAGAAAACTATGGTTAATGCGGTCATGGCCACATAATTCCTTCATTGACAAGAATGATTACCATCCTCTACTTCTCATACAGCGTGACTAACCACTATCATCACCATCATTTTGTTCTGTGAACTATTAAATGACTGCATGAACAGTAATCCCCAAAAAAAAAGACTGCATGAACAATTTGTACATAAACTATCCTCATTCAGAATATACACAAGTAGTATATTTGCCTCCTTTGAAGTACATACAACACATAACTGGTCATAAAACTACAAAATGGTCGTGATGGTCGATAGGGACTACAAAAGGGGGACACGATGTTGTGGAACACTGCCGCAGAATAGGAATTATTGAAGCCTGTAAAGGAAACTACCAATCACCACCAAGTATCATCTATGACCGTCAATCAAGCCCTCAAGTTCCCTCTGCCCAAACCTCCTACCCTGTAAATCAGCACCCCTACACCTGGCCGCAAAGTAAAACAGCAGCCACGCAATCATGAAGTAAACTTCCATTGTTGACTGGAACATCTTGGCGAAAGACCTCCCACATATTCGAGCTAAAACCCATCTTACAAACGATCCACAACATATTGCTTCCAAGCATTTTAATTTTATGGCTTGGTTCAACAGTGTAGATATCAAATAACAACCTTCCTTCACGATTTCTCTCCCACTCCTCCTCGAGTCCACTATGGCAACCCAGGCATCAACAGAAAATATAAAAGCAACAAACGTATCAACAAAAAACCAAGCAAACAAGAATCCAGAAATCTGCTTCTCAAACCCTCGAACCCAAGGGGACATAACTGAGAATGGCATTAACTTCAATCTAACAAAAAGCTTGAAGAAAGAATACTGATCCTCGATATCACCGAAATACCACAGCCCCAGAAGCTGAGTCAACGCGTCCCTAATAGCCCACCTCATCAGAATAAACCCTGAAAGCCTCTTAAGCCCCAATCTGGAACCATCCCAAATTATCCCAGCAATTGAACTATACCTCCCTAACAGATCCTTAACAACAGTAATGAAGACGATGCCTAAGACCCATGAATAAGTAACAAGAAAAACTAAAATCACCCATCCGTAGGCCGCAGATAAGAAACTGATAAGGAAAAACAGAGTCGCAGCATCACGGCGGCCAAGCTCCAACCCCTTTATAAAGAAATGGAAATCAAAGGCTTTATCCACATCTTGGCCATTTCCCAAATCAACCTTGTCATTTCCGTCATCGTTCTCGTCCTCGCTGTCTTTATCATCAGTAAATGATAACCCTTCCGCCTTGAATGTAAATCCAGAGCGAACCACCTCCGACACCCTAATTCCGTTATCGATTACATGACCCGAAAACCCTGATTTCAAGTTAAACGCGCCCAACACCGCAAAAGTGCCATTTTCAGGGGCGTTCCTGTTGGGCCCGAACAAACTACGACCATCGTCGTCATCGCCAGAGAAAAAGTCATCGTCTAGGGTTCCAACTCGAGTGAGGTGTAGGAAGGGGCGGCGGCGGTGGCGGCGCAAGCCCGTAGACGAAGGATCATCGGGAGATCGGTGGCGATGCTGGTTACTGTTTCCGGCGAGGTCAAGGCGTGAAAGAAGGGCTTTGACCGAGGGGTCATGATCAATGAAAGAGGTAACATAAGTGGTACCGTTCTCAACGAAGGTGCGGAAGGACAAGATAAGGAGAGAAAGGAAGACGAAGGTGAGGAGATTGGAGGTAAAAGAAGAGGCTGATTGTCGGAGAAGTTGGGCAGTTGTACGCAGGTCCTGCAGCCGAGGATTATCGTTCATGGCGGTTCAGTGATCTCTGATGGAGCTGCCTCCTCGATCGGTTCTTTTTGGTGTTTCTGACTTCAAAGCGGCTTCCTCGTCGGTGCCACGAGGCGAGATGGCTATTCTCCTCGGGACTTCGGGGTAGGGATGAAAGCAGTACACGCGCAATCAGGCTGTGATCTGCACGCGCGCTCTCGAAAATTGGCGGTGGATGAACCGGAAAAAAAGAAAACCTTTTTCGCTCGAAATATTGATATCATATCATTATAATTTTTTTAACATGAATAATAAAATAATTACAAAAAATTAGTATTTTAATTTCATTTATAAAATTCTTACATTTCTCTATGTTGTCTTTTTTGGGCCAACCTTTTCTCTCCTTAACTAAAATATGTTTTTCTTTTTTTTTTTAATTCACTTAATTGGTGTTATCTTTGTGAGAGATAATATGCATATCATATTATCTAGAAATCACATTAGTAGTGTCATGAAAAAAATTTTAAAAATTTTAATGACACATTAATTATCTTCTGTATAAATATCAATAAATATTATTACACTTGATAAATAATTTAAGCTTTCTTAAAAAAAAAAAAGCCGAGTTCATTAAAATGCTTCTTCATATGTATAATATCCTAAATTTTATTTTAAAATTTTTAAAAATTCTAATTAATAATTAATAAAATAATAATATTTTAATATTAAAAAAAGAAAAAAAAATCAAATTTCAGTGGAAAGTTAGGAGTTGGAAGGAAGATTCATTGGGGGGAAACTCCTCCTAATAAATATGTGGAGATGTTAAATACACCCTCGACAATTCAATTCTTCCCGTCAGGCGCGAGAAGGAAAGAGAGAAGAGAGATAGAGTGTAGGAAAGAGAGCAGGAGTATATTGACGGTCATTGTGAAAGAGAGGATAAGCTTTGAATATATTTTTGGTACATAAAATTAACTTTTTTCATCGAAATTTCTTTATAAATATTTTCTATATATTTTACATTTCTTAATGACAATATTACTATAGAAATTTAGAAATGAATGAGTAGTTAATTTTAATCAGCTTATATTTGCCCATTTATTAGTTTTTAATATTTAAATTAATTTATTTAGTTAAAAAATCTGTTATATATGGCATATATCATATTTTTATCGATTAAATTCAAGTTAAATGATTTATTTGAGTTGTTTGACATATTATTGAGATTTTAATCAGTTTAGTTTTCTTTATGGGATGATTGGAGATTTTAAAATAATTATTTTAGCTAAAAAGTTATTATTTATGGAAAAATCTATATCTACATGATAGTTATATCATTAAAATTTGGATTAGATTATTTATTTATAAACATTTGAGATACTATTGAATTTTTAATGGTTTGGTTTTGAGATTTAAACTTTAAATGGGATTTTTAGAATTTAGAACATAATAATTTCATATTTGGAAATTTTGAAAAATTCTTTTTATTAAAATAAATAATCCCAGAGGATGTAAATAAATAATTTGACTTATTAGAAAATTATAAGCTAGTTTTAAAATACTAAATTTTGGATTATGAGAGTTACAGGAATTTAGAATAAAAATTAAATTAAATTAAAATTTTAACTAATATGTATGAACTTAATTAATTAATTAATTAGTTTATATTAATATGTGGTTATATTAATTGTGTAGATTAATTATTGGTTGAGCAGAGGATTGATCTTGTAGTAATCCTTACTATTGATTTGGCGAGAAATAACCACTTTTCACTCGTTATATGTGTTAATATGTTGTTTTTGAGTATTTTGCTATTTTAGAATAATGATTTGTTATTTGAAATTCGAGTAAATATGTTATACTTTTTGAACTATGAAAATTGTCTTGTGGGATTTTTAAATTTATGACTGAGAAGTTTAGAAAAGATATATTATTTATATCTTATGAATTATACTGAAAAAAGATTGAGACATTTTTTCGTTATATTGTGAATGATTGATTGTTATTTAAATTTTGGATTGAGCCCTATTCTACCACATGGTAAGGCTACCATTGATACACATTGACTGGTTTCTTCCGTCCCAGAGTAAGGGATAGATCTTTGTGACTTTTTATTCATCCCCAAAGTGTGGAATAGACCTATATGTCTGATTGATCCCATATAGTAAGGGATAGACTTATGTGGCTTATGTATTAACCCTCGTAATGAGGTTTTGGATGACTGAGACTATCTAGATATATATTTTTCTATTGATATATCTATATATTATTGAGATTTAATAATTATCCCTAGAGCCGGGAATCAGGGCCAGCCCTTCAAGGCTGGCGGGCTTAAAAGGGCCGGCCCTCCAGGGCTGAAATTTTAAAAATACCCCAATTTGCCAGGCTCGGCCCTTAAGCTACAAGGCCAGGGTCGGCCCACGAGCTTTTGGCCCGTTTAAGAAAAAATACTATTTTTTTATATTTATCATATTTTTTTATAAAAATATAAAAATAAACCAATGAAATTATTAATAAAAGACATAAATATGAATAAAATTAAGTCACAAATATAAAATATCATCATATATAAATATTCATCAACATCTAAGAACATCTAAAATATTCATTAACAAGATAACAACATCTAAAAGTTTTATCTATAATGCAATTGTCCAATAAATAAACAATATCATTAATCTTTTGAAACTTCATCATCACTATAATTAATTACTTTTCTTCATAAGTATGCTTTTCTTTCGTAACAAAAATATCAAGTTTTTCTTCTTTATAAGAATTTTATTTTTAAATTTTGCAATCTAACTATTATTTTACTTTAATGTGAGAAACATTGTTGTTAAAACTCATGAATTTCTAATTCAAATTATAGAATCACAAGTTATATAAGTATAAAAATATTCTATTATCAAATATATATATAGTTTAAAAATATCAACGCATATAATATAAATCAAATCATTATTAAAGTCCAAATTAACCTATTTTTTAAAAATTTAATTGGATAAATTATTGTCTAAAAATAAATTTAATTTTAAAATGATAATGATAGCTAAATATTTGAAATATTATTAACAATGTAAAAAATTAATAACATTAATATTATATTAAAAATTTAAAAAATAAAAAAATTATAAAAGGGCTTAAAAGGGCCGGCCCTTTTAAGCCCTCGACCCTCCAGGGCTTATTTATCATTTTAAGAGAAAAATATCAAGCTCGGCCCTCATAATTTCAGGGCCTAAACGGGCCGGTCCGATGGGCTTGGCCCGTTTTCCCGGCTCTAATTATCCCACTTAACACTTCACGAGCACATGTTAGTATGTATAATGAGTTGGAAAGTTGGTTATTGAGGCGTTTGTCTCACCCTGTGGTTTTTATTATCTTCAAGTGATAGTTCACGTGGTGGCCCATTAGGGAAGGCTCCAGAGGCATAGTGTGCAATTATAGCTTGTGTAGCCTTCCTCCTTTTGTTTTATGTGCTGGTTTATTATATATTGCTACATAAGGCTTATCTACTTTAATATTGTAAACTAATATTTTTAATTACTACTATCTGATATGGGAGGCCGTTAGAAAGCTAGAGGTCTTTAAGACTTTGCGTGTTACGCTATCTTAAAAGTGTTGACTTTTGACTAATAGGCTTCATAACTTATATTAAAACGATTTGTCAGTTCATATGTTTGAAAATATGAATCTGGATTTGGTTACTGGTTGAATGATATTTATGGACTGTAGAAGTCATAGACCCAAGTTAATGATCAAAGTTGCTCGTGATATAAATTTATTTCTTTTAATCATGATAGTGATTTAAAAATTTTAAGATTTCTTCTTTTCTATCGTGGTTAATTTTTTAAATAAACTGCTTGATTTAATCTAAATGGATTTTGGAAGAATAGTTGTCACAAGATGTCTTATAATCTTTTCTTCTGGTGCTCATCATCTTCTAGGGGCTTTATCCTTCTTATTTTTGAGTGTCAAATGTCACATTTGAAATAATTTATAAATAATTTTTTTAATAAATATGCAAAAAAAATTTACCTTGCTTTATATAAAATGGAGTTTTGAGCATTTTTAATCATGATTTTACATGAAGACAAAAAAGTATTTGAATGGAAATTAAACTATAGTTTTAAAAGTGATTTTACAATTTATAAAATAAATATATGAAGAAAGTACTTTTGATGGTTGTCAAATAACCTTAAGTCCCATTTGATACGAAGCATTAAAAATGAAGTATTGAGATTGCAATTGAAAAAAATAATTAAAATGGTATTTAGTATGAGTAATTGCTTATTATATGGGATTAGGCAAATTTATAGAGGTGCGATTAGGGAATACCACTTCCCCTTATGGTATTTTCTAATCCCACATATATAGGTTTAGCTAATCTCATATAATAAACAATCGCTTATATTAAACATTCTTTTAATAGATTTTTTTAATTACAATCACAATCTCAATCCCTCATTTTTAATATTTTTTACCAAACGAAACCTTAAAGTGAGTGAGATCGACCCGAAATGTAGTTCGGCCGGCTTAAAAAAAATAACCTGCCAAATTTTGCACTTTAACCGAATAAAAAAATGCCAAAATGATGTCGCTCTTTTAAGTGGACAGCACATTCCCGTCGGATTTTGATCAAAAACAGGAAGCTAGGAAAAGTAACATACATTGGGGTCCATGTTCATAACGAACCCTGCCTTCTGCACCAGGTCTGAAGAATCCATCAATTCAATAGGCCAGCAGTGTTACGCTTCAATTCAACAAATTCCTGAGCATTTCCGTTCTGCTCATGTACTAGGAAAGTGAAGAGCGTGCACATCAGCCAGCAAGACATCTCCCCTTGACTGCACTTTTATGAAATTCCACCAGATTTGTTGTTTTTTTAAAGCTAATAGGCTACGTGGTAGTGAACCTCGAATCAATGTTCCATTAAAAAAAAAAAAAACAAAGATAAAACCCACACCACAACCTCACAGTCAATGGTTTCCTGGAGGGGGAAAAATGAAAAAAAAAAATTTTTTTTTTTAAAATTTTAAAATTTTAAAATTTTAAATCAGTCATATTCATTACATTTTAATAATAATTAGTAACATTTAAAAAGCAAATAACAATATATTTTTATATTTATTTCTAATTAGAGGTTTTGAAATTTTAGATGTACTTTTTGAAGTTTTTTTTCTTAAAGGAGGCAACTAACAGTATTTGGTAAGAGACAATTTATTCATCAGAAATACTTGATAGAACAAGGCAAAGACGAAAACATGGTCTTGCTAGATCTAAATCACGTAGGGGAGATATTTTCATACTTCTTATCGAGCAATTATTGTCTCCATTCTCAGCAACTTCTTTCTAGTATTTTCTCCGGCCGGAAATTGAACATATCCCCAATGCCCCCGACATTATAAAGATCGGCAAGTAATTAGATGAGTACGATAGGATGAAAATCCAGATGACACAAACGACACTTAACAATCAAAATTTATCAAGGCCATCCAAGTTGGGGAAACTACATCTCATTGAAAATCAGGCTTCTCTGGGTAGGTGCAGCCGGACCTCTGGATGATAACATTAGCTGCATAAGACCCGGCTTTCACGCATGCTTCAATAGGCTTTCCCAGAACCAACTGTGAAAGAAACCCTCCAACAAATGCATCTCCTACACATTACAGAAAGAAGTGCATTTTAACATTATTTCACTAGCATATCAGGAAGATAATATTCGTGTCTCTACTTGCCCCCGATTAGTTTTCAGTCATAAATACAATTGCCTTCGCTTGGCTGCATGATATATTTTCGCAAAGTTGTAACAGATAATTATAGCTTCCACAACATTGTAAGCCTATATCTTGCCATGAAAAAGGAGTTTTGTATTCAAGAATTTAAGCAAATAATCATAGATATGACTTCAATCCACGGCAGTACTCCCCACAAGCAAAACAACAATTACCTGCTCCATTTGTATCGACCAGTTTCTCTTTAGGTAATGGTATTACTGGGAACAAGTTCACCTTGCCATCCTCAGCAATACACACAGGATCTGCACCCTGTGTGATAACAGTAATTCTTTTATGCGTTCCTGATGCCTTTGGCCATTGGGAAATCTTAACAGCTATCTCCTCCACGTTATCAGTCTACTCATGAGGAGAACATAAACGGGTCAGCATTTAAACCCGAAAGAGCATTTCTACATATTTGCTAAGCTATCATTACCTCCCAACCATGAACTTTAGCAAAAGTTCTAGCTTCAGTCTCATTTCCAAAAACAAAGTCCACATACCTGAATCCAAGAAAGGGCGCTCATTAGATAGATATGTAAATTTCTTTCATTCAAATTTAACATACAAAGATCCTTACTGCAGAGCCTTTTCCTGCACATCCCTGAAGAACTCACAGATGAATGGGGCAGAAAGGTTCATCAAGAAGAACTGCACGCCAAATTAACATAGAAACGTGTCAGAAACTGCTAGTAGATAGGGACCGCCACTTATAAATCGCATCTTACCTTGTTGTTCGCTGCTGCATGCTCAGCAACTAACTGAATGGATTCTGGTGATACAGTGAGGAAAAAGCCAGCTATATAGATATACTTGGCCTTTTCAACTGTTCAAGAAAAGATTGCACAATAACATCTTAGTGACAAGGAGTGAAGGGGAGGGAAAACAATATCCAGGGACCGCATAAACCAACAGGGTACCTAAAGCCCAGTTTTCTGGTTTCTTGAGATGGTCAGACTTGTAGCAGTTTGCAGCCGATAAATTGGCAACAAGAGACCTGTATTTCCATTTAAACAAACATATTAAAAATGGAAAGACATTTAGGCAAATCCCAAAAGGCTTCAACTATTGTCTTGCATTAAGTAAATATCAAGCAGATGTGCACTTCAAAAGTATTTAGCAAAGCATTGAAGGCCTGCTTATTCATCTGACCTTTCACCACCTTTGACGCAAACAGCACAAGTGCCAGTTGGTGCAGTTTCATCTTCATAGTAGTGGACCTGATAGTCAAATGAGTAAAGGTTAGTTCAAAATGCAAAGTCCAGGGTCCACTTTGGAGAGAAGATGATTCAAAGAAATAAAAGCCAAAACCTACATTGACACCAGCTGCCTTTGAGTTCTTCTTCATCTCTTCCCCAAACTTGTCCTTTCCTATGGCACCAATGTAACTTGTTGCTCCGGGCATTTGAAGCATCCACTAGAAGACGAAATGGAAAATAGTAAATCACTCTGACCCTAACTTTTCCGGGTTCTTCTACCACCTATGAAAGGGTATTACATACCTGTGCAACCCTGATAGAATTCTGAGTAGCACCTGCCAACAAGTATATAAACTATTATTATGCAGTGTGCACTTTTTTTCCTGGAACTTCGTCAATAAAATGAGTAGCAAATCAATTATCTTAAATCCAATACATCTGGCTAAATTAATCACCTCCAGCAATGTACTCCACGTTATATCTTGTAGCTAATTCTTCATACCTGAGATGATCATATTAACTCATAAAATACTATTATGACACAAGAGAAATTAGTCGAGGCTGAGAAGAAGGGAGATATCCAAAACTAGACATGAATAGAGGTTCAATGTCCCACCTATTTAGACCCCCACCTACACCCCGGCCTACTTCATCCTTACTACATAAACTAACCTCAAGTGGCCAAATAATTAATTTAAAATAAAGCAAAAATGCATACATTTAGAATTTAATCAGCAGAGAAGCCTCAAACATCACGGATTCCTTAAGTGCAATAGAGCTATTATAGGTAATGGAGCATATGTGTAGCAGTGAAATCTGAATAGGCATAACAATAGATCCAAGGAACCCAACAAACATCTCAAACTAGCATCTTTATAAAACACAAGCCACTTTGTCAGGAACAAGCTAAAGTAATAGAATATAGTGGCCTCCTAATGAAATGGGGAAAAAAGGTATCGTGCAGGAAGTCCTACTGGGTGAGGCGACACCAGACTTAATCAAGACCAATTAACCAAAACAAAATTGTTACATGTGTGATTAGGGCAATAAACCTGAATAACTAGTATTGGTCACATCTAACTAAACTTTATCAAGGAAACTGAAGCTTGCTGAATGTCAATTTTCAATCATAACTGATTCCAAGCATAACCCAAGCAATGAACAATTTCGACACAAGCTTGTAAAGTTGAAACCACTGTGGTCTAAGCATAGCATGAGATCTCTTACATAGGTTTGTGCTTGTCCTCCGCAAGAATTGCATCGTTCAACTTGATGCCATATCTGTGACATATAAAGCAAAATCACTCAGAACAGCAAGACAGAGCTTTCTTGAATATTCTTCTCTAATTTCAGAATGCTGGTACAGACGCAGAATGAAATAAATGCAAAAACAGAACCGAAAAAAGGTCACTTCTCAAAATAACAACGCGTGTCCATAACAATTCTAGAGAGTATCTAAGCCTTTCAAACACCAAAGGAAACACCTCCTATAATCTCGATACACGGTGGAAAACAAAATGATGACTTCCGACTTCTCTTCAATACATGAAACACGGAGGATCGCCAAACTACAGGCCCCCGATGTATATGCTGCAAAAATTCATTGTTCAACATTGTCGAGAGATGTAGAACTGCTACTATAATCTTCAAAACGACAATTAATCAGCAGAAAGCAATTTACGCGGAAGACGATGCTTAATCATGTTACGTGCAAAATGTAGCAGAGAAGATAGATCCGGCCCCAAGAAACTCAGCAGGACAAACCAGCTGAGCTAACCACCGTCCGTTTTTAATGGATTCGGAAAGACACATCGACGAGTGAACTAGATCTTTGAATATAGATGTAAAAGAGAGATTAAGGTCAAGGAACGAAGCAAGAAAATGAGTACCGAAGAAACGTACTTTTGCAAGAACTCTTCATCGACGACAGCCGAGATATCGAGGAGAGGGTTGCCCATCCCTAGGAGAATACCTTCGGACGCCATTTGAGCTAAAGGAGATCACACAACCGAGGGCAGGCGCAGGTTCGGCGAAGTGAGATGCACAGCGAGAGCGAAACGTGTGAGTAGGATTCAGATCTGCCGAGCAGCAAGCAGATGCCCATTTTTATAGGGGGAAGTGTTAAAAACCAAACACGAGAAAAAAGTCAGGCGGAAAGAGTTTAAAAACAATAATGTCCAAAAAATCAAATGGATCTATTGCTATTCTGACTGTCTGAATTAAAAACACAAATTAGTAAGCGTTTAATCGTCCCAAAAAACCTGTGATTGGAGATTGGCCAAAAGCCTATTCTGCGCGAGTGGACAGGGGAGTGCTCTGGGACCCACTTACTTCAGCTTACCCACCCCGTGAGGCCCACCGCTGATAACGTACGGCTCACCTTCCCCAGCTTTGGTCGCCAATTCACCAACCCCCATTTTAGGGCACCATGTTCCTGAAAGCACATTTGTTATCAGCTATTTTGGTTTATAAATATTTTTTTGATTTTATTTATAAATCAATTTCAATATATTTCACATAAATTAAAAAAAAACTTTAAACTTCATTAATTTTTATTTAAAATTTAATAACTTTTTAACTTTATCTCTATTATTATATATTATACATTGTGTAAATAAAATCAACATAATAATAATAAATAAATGGTTAAATCACACATCCATAAAAAAAATTTCTTTTAATACCCTGTAAATAGAACCAAAAAATATCTTCTTTATCTTATAAATAAGATAAAGGAGTAATTTTTTTAATAGTGATTTAAGAGATATGAGATAAATATGTAAACAAAATTTTATCTGTTTATAAATAATTTCGAACGTTGATTCCTAGCAGGGTCATGGTATCCATTACCAGGCCTTAATGAAAAATCCCAAATTAGGCTATTGATATTGATGTGTTAAAATGCAGAAAACCACATGAAATGGGAAATAATATATATATCCATGCTGATATTTCATTTTTTTCCCCCCAATAACGCAATAATGCAAGGGGAATTAACTTTATTAGTTGTCATAATGAACAATTATGCTAGCACGGCATTCAGCATCAGATTCATCCAATCTGACCAAAGGACTGGGCTTAGGTAGTGCGCTATATATCCCAGTCCATTCAGTTTCAACCATAAACAAAACAGATAACATGGTCTTTACCATGTTTCGGAGGAATTTGTTCATCACCCCCCCCCCCCGGTTCATAATAACCTTCAGGTCCAGAATACACGCATAAATCCATTTAGAGACGATTTCCCAACAGCATTGCAATATAATAACTGATGCGACGGCATTCCATTCGCTAAAATAAAGTGGTCTAAAATTACAAAACTTGCTTCGAACGAATTGTCAAACATAATCGTCAATATAAAATCATTATTCATTCCCGACCTGTAGAAATTCTCAGAGATGTCAGAAAAGCACAATGAATGGGGGCATCCTAAATAATAACAAGGACTCCGTGCCCTCTCGATGCTAGGCACAACATAGGCAGGCGGTTATTTGAAGCTGGTTTTGCCCCTCAACGACTGTGGCGTATAGTTCGCTTACTTAAATGCGCTTTCCATTGAGCTAATGTAATCCTACTATTCTTCAGTTCTTCCAAAAAAAACTGAGTTAAATCTCAGAGCTTGGATAACTGGGGCAAAAATTCACAACAATTCCTCCCAACACCAAGGCAAATTTTAAAGATGATCGCAAATTGCTTTTGTGAAGTCAGTTGTTGTGGAAGTGCCGCCAAGGTCAGCGGTACGGTGTTTCCCTTCTGCTATTGTGTTGAGAATGGCGTTTTGAATCTGCTCCGCTTTGTCATTGAGCTTCAAATGGCGCAACATTGAGACGGCACTCAGCAGCAAGGCAGTCGGATTCGCCAAGTTCTGTGAAAATCCAGAGTAAGCATGGCAAAACAATAAAATAGCTTTGAAAGAAATGTATATTTCAAAAGGAAGAAAGTAATGGTCATAGCCCATAGCATAGTATAAAATGAATATGTTCCAGGCAAATATAGTAAGATGCCAGTAACATTTTAAAAGGGACTTAAAATATTTATAACTTATCTATCTTGAAATAGCACTAACTTTAATTTTGGTTTCCCATTAACTAGCCTCATTTTGCCAATCAATGCTCACACACGGTCACCTTGAGAGCCCACAGGTAGTTATTGCTGCATTAGAACTTCCCTTTGTTCCACAGAATGCCAGAGGTTTGTTAGAAAGACAAACAATGCGACACGAATCCCAGGACTTCCCATATAGCAAAATACCAACTTGACCAAAACACACCCACCACGTCGACTTTGATTCACATAAATGACACAAGGAACGTCCAAGACCAACACCACAAGTCTCCACTCTTCAATAGACAGCTAATGCATCTATTCCCTTCACGAGTCTAAGCTCTTCTTTTGCAACTCTCTCTCACCCATTTCATCGGCCCTGCATATTACGATGCTCTTCTCCTTACCATAATTTCTATTATGCTAACATTCTATAAATGTTAGAGGGACTTCTGTAAATCTATTAATAAAATTTTGTGCAGATGATAGACCTAAGGTACGAAGGGGAAACTATCGATATTAGGGGTATAGTCAAGCAGAACTTCAAATGATAAAGCAACCTAATGCTTCATTTGGCTCGTCTTAAAGAAGCTTGAATCCAGATCATTGAGGCTTCATTTAACCTCAATATGAAAGAGGAGCACTCAATAAGCATTTCTGTAAATGATCTGAGCTTCTGCATCATGAATGTTCAGCCCAGGTACAGCTCAAGCAATGGCAACCATTAATCTTGTAGCCCCATCCTAGATCAGGACAGGATGGGGGCAAGGGCCTATGCTATTGATTTTGTCCAGGGTTAAAGGTTGAGGATAGATAATATAAGAGTGAACAAATTTTTCTACTGCCTACCTTTCCAGCAATATCAGGTGCTGAACCATGCACGGCCTCAGCAAGTGCAATACCTCCCTCACCGATGTTGCAGCTGCAAGAGATATAAAATCAATTAAGACAATAGATGGTGGCATTCTAAATTTGTTTTGCCTAAAACACTAAATTACCTTGGTGTTAAGCCCAAACCCCCAATCAAACCAGCGCAAAGGTCACTGATAATATCACCATAAAGATTGGGCATCACCAGCACATCAAAAAGTGCTGGATTTTTCACTAGCTGTGGATGGGCAAAAAATAACTAGTGTCATCCCTCTTATAACAATACAAGAGTCTGTTACATGAAATTGCATCACACATCCAATTCTGCATTATTTATATGGAACAACATCGTACCATCATGCAGCAATTGTCAATCACAACTTCCTCATATGTTATCTCAGGGTACTTCGCTGCAACCTCGCGACAGCACTAAAAATAATTCAATGTAAAATGTTAAAATAAGGATTTTGTAGCCAAATATCCTAAAAACTTTCCGCAATTACAGGTGAACCTTAAGGAAAAGACCATCCGTCTTTTGCATAATGTTGGCTTTGTGTATGGCAGACACCCTCTCTCTTCCCTGTGTCTTGGCGTAGTGAAAAGCATATTCAGCTACCCTCAGACTTGCTTGACGAGTAATGATTTTGAGACTTTCTACCACGCCTCTCACAACCTGCCATGATAAACAACAAGGAGGTCAATATTATATTTAAAAAAACAAAAAAATGACAGTATATACCATCTTCAGCAGGTAAACTCGCCTGATGTTCAAGTCCACTGTACTCGCCTTCCGTATTTTCACGGATAGTGATAAGATTTACTCCATCATATCGAGTTTTGTAGCCAGGAAGGCTGTAGCAAGGACGGACATTGGCGTACAAATTTAGTTCTTTCCTTAGAGTCAGGTTTAATGAACGATGACCTTTTCCTATGGGAGTTGCCATTGGCCCTTTCAAGCCAACCTGATTTCGCCTTACAGATTCTAAACTTTCCCATGTTAAAAAACTCTGTGTTCGCGGGTCAATTTGGTCCCCAGCGTAGTGCTCCTCCCACTCTATTGGTACTTCTGCTGCTTTAAATACCTAATTATTGCAATAATAACTGTATTTCAATAAATCCATATAGGACTATCACCAAAAATACGAAACCAGTAAAGTGGCATTAAGCTAGTCTCACATGATACGAACTACATTGACCTGCATCTCTCATTCAAGGTTCAGTACCTACTCGCACCTCTCGTTAAAAAAGAAACCGGGAAGAATGAAGCACATTAGGCTGCAATCACTTGCAGCGGCAACCAAATAGAATTCATACGACCAATCACAACATGATTTGGACTTTGAATTAAAATAACAACAGCATACAATTAGGACGATGACGTTCATAAACCATGATAAGATGAGAGAAGTAAAACATGGAATTTAATTAATTTAGTTCTCGATCGTCCCCATTACAAATGTGAAATTCATAAACACCAAGCCTTCGTTTGATCGAGGCGACTAATTTTAAAGAAGCTACCATAAAAAAAACTCTTGATATTTATTTCTCATGGCCAATTTAATTATCCTTTATATAGGAAGGAGAGAGGGATAACAGACAGACCTGTCTGACGGAGTCGGCGATCTCGGGTCCGATACCATCGCCAGGAAAAAGAGTAGCTCGAATCGGAGTAGAGACGGAAGAGAAGCCCCTGGGGTTCGAAGAATAGAAGATTTGGCTAGTGCGACTTCCAAGGGTTCGTCTGAGGAGGTGAGAAGCCATTGTTGACTATGACAAGGAGATAGGGGAGAAAAGTTATTACAGTTAAAGTAACTAACTAATACGTTCAAATTATCGGATGCCTCTAACGCGGGATCGCTAACCGTCTGGCGAATCGAAGTTCACACTTCACACCCGCCCTGAACCATTTTCCCCCGTAATTTTGTTTTATTCTTTGCCCCTGTGCTTGCTTGAGTTTCAACTTTCAAGAATATTGTCCTGCCATCGTCGCCTGCCATTCCCTACTTTCAGTTAAAGCGTTATATGCCTCGGTGCTCGTGATTCTATTCTCCGGTAAATTTTAGTTAAACTATTTTTTTTTTTTAGTTTCAGCATTATTGATATTTTTTGTTCGTGAATCACCGGATTGGGAGGCTATGATCCATGAGGAAGCATACGTATTAGGAATTTATGCAAATTTGGCAATATCACAATTTTTGTGCAGATAATGAACTTTTTAGCATTGGAGTTTGCCTAGGTGCTTTATTCCTTCTTATATTTTTCATTATTTCTGTAATAAAATAATGACTTTTTTGTTTTTTTAGTATTGCAATAGGCTCGGTGCGCAATTGTGCGGGCCAATGCCCAATACGAAGAAACATAAGTTGGGGTCATGATAATATCATCATCGCGGTCCCGGAGTAGAGGTAGGAAGTCGGGCTAGCTCTTCAAGACTGATAGGTTTAAAAGGATCGGTCTTTCAGAACTGAAATTTTAAAAATATTCTAATTTGTTAAGTCCGGTCTTTAAACTACAGGGCTCCGGCCGGAGGTGAACCTGCGGAAGAAAGAAAGGTTCAAGGATGGTTGTTTCTGCCAGTCTCATATCAGGCGTTTTGCCGCGTTTCAACTAATCCAGCACCACCCAATATTAATTTTATGTCACATTTCAACAATTAGTTTGCTTTTATTATCTAACGTTTAACCAAACCACCTCGATGATGTTTTAAAAAAACAAAATAATTATAACTAAAATTGTTATTATTCATTTGAATCGATTCAATCTGTCTTTTGAATTGATTTTAATTTGTCCAAACTGCTTTTATTCAGAATTTTGTACAAATTAAACATAAAACAACGTCATGGTAGAGTTTTTTTTGTTATCAAAATTTAAATAATAAAAATCTGGGTTAAAAATGAGCTAGTTTTAAAAATATCCTTTTTTATAGTAATATACACATGCGGTCCTAATTATAAGAATGAACATTGAGAAGTACTACCTCTCGTCCTAATTATAAAATCTAGTTGACTAATTTGAGGAGATTAAGGAAAGAATTAAGTTAGTTATTTGTAATAAAAGGTTGTTTTTTTCCTAAAATATCTTTATTAATCAACTATATTGGCTAGAATTACAATTATTAGAAGGACTATCTTGGAAAAAAATACATAAATATGAGAAACAAAGTGGATTGAAGTTTTATATTTAGGACAAAATAAATGTCAAACAGAGTCTTATATTAAGACCGGAGATGTGTAATATATTTCATTAACAATATTTTTGACAGCAAAAGCCTGGATCTGCGAGACGAGCAGTCTTTTAAACCACCCAATATTAATTTTATGTCACATTTCAACAATTAGTTTGCTTTTATTATCTAACGTTTAACCAAACCACCTCGATGATGTTTTAAAAAAACAAAATAATTATAACTAAAATTGTTATTATTCATTTGAATCGATTCAATCTGTCTTTTGAATTGATTTTAATTTGTCCAAACTGCTTTTATTCAGAATTTTGTACAAATTAAACATAAAACAACGTCATGGTAGAGTTTTTTTTGTTATCAAAATTTAAATAATAAAAATCTGGGTTAAAATGAGCTAGTTTTAAAAATATCCTTTTTATATATTTAAGTAAGTAATATACACATGCGGTCCTAATTATAAGAATGAACATTGAGAAGTACTACCTCTCGTCCTAATTATAAAATCTAGTTGACTAATTTGAGGAGATTAAGGAAAGAATTAAGTTAGTTATTTGTAATAAATAGGTGTTGTTTTTCCTAAAATATCTTTATTAATCAACTATATTGGTTAGAACTACAATTATTAGAAGGACTATCTTGGAAAAAATACATAAATATGAGAAACAAAGTGGATTGAAGTTTTATATTTAGGATCAAAATAAATGTCAAACAGAGTCTATTATATTAAGACCGGAGATAGTAATATATTTCATTAACAATATTTTTGACAGCAAAAGCCTGGATCTGCGAGACGAGCAGTCTTTTAAATTGATTTGCCGGAGGCTTTATCCTTTACTAGGCAAACCGTTAGTTTCTACGACTGCTTCACAACCAAAGACTATATATATGTGACAAGGAAAAACATTCCAAAGAGTAAATCCTGACGATATTCAAACTAACAGATTGGAAGAGGAGCTCCATTCCAGTCCCCGAGGCATTCCAGAAGAGGATCGATAATCTTTCCCTGACACAAAGCCGTGAACACTTTGTCACACTCTTCACCTGGTGACCTCGTCTTCTCCAGTAAGTAACCCAGTTCCCAAATCCTCCCTCACGAACTTGTACAGTGGGTACGACCTGCACTCCTCGATCTTGTCTGGGACCGGTGAATTGCCGTTCTCGTACGCAAGTCTTGCACCCTCTACCTCCTTTGGCAACACAGCCTTCAATTCCTCCTCGAAAGTTGCAATCTTCTGGAAGATCGACGAGCTCAGGTCCTTCTCGTTATCGCCGTTCTCTAGTGCGTGATCCACCAAAACTTGCCTCAGTTTTCATCTGCATCACTGTGGTGTAGCACTGGTGGGATCATCGATGTAGGCAAATACGTGCTCTCTGTCAACCACTTTCAGCAGATCTTTCTCACAGAATCTAGAAGGATGGAGTTCTCCGTTTACCCCTGTGGTGAGAGTTCTCTTTGCCACCTGACTCACGGTGCTCTTCACCGTGCTCTTCAAATTCTCCTCCAAATGCCTCAAGTCAATTGCTTGGCAGAGTGCGATGAGGTATGTCGAAGACATGAGCTTCAGGATTTCAATAGCTTCATTGGTTTTTCGAGACGAAATCAGACCCAATGAGTTCACGTCCTGATTGTGTTGCTCGGCACTTTGGACGTGGCTTGTCACAGGGTTCGCAAGATATTGAAGCTCAGAGCAGTAAGATGCCATGGCGATTTCAGCACCCTTGAAACCATAGTCCAAGCTGGGGTTTCTACCCGCAGAGAGATTTGAAGGCAACCCATTGTTGTAAAAATCGTTGACCAGCTCAGAAAACTGAGCGAACATGAGCTTCCCTATAGATGCGAGAGCCAAACGAGTGTTGTCCATGGACACTCCGATCGGGGTTCCTTGGAAGTTACCACCGTGCAGGGCCTTGTTCCTTGAAACGTCAATCAAAGGGTTGTCGTTCACTGAGTTGATCTCCCTCTCGATGGATTTGGTGGAGAACCTGATGACCTCAACGAGAGGACCAAGCCATTGGGGTGAAGTTCGAAGCGCATAGCGATCTTGTTTGGGCTTCTGCAAGGGATCAATCTCATGCAATTTCTGAGCTGCTTTAATGTAGGAGCTTCCATCAAGAATGTGTTCCATTATAGCGGCAGCCTCAATTTGACCAGGATGGTGCTTCAATTTATGTGTCAAATGGTCTGTAAATTCGGGCTTCCCTTGCATAACTTCAGCAAAAATTGCCGATAGAACTTCAGACAAGACGGCCAAAATGTTGGCCTCAAAGAGAACCATGGAGGCTAAGCCAGAACCAACTGCGGTGCCATTGACCAGAGCAAGGCCTTCCTTGGGCTGTAATTCGAAGAAGTCAGAATCGACGCCGGCCAAATGGAAAGCTTCCTTGGGAGTAAGGAGTTGACCTGAGGGTCCGACGGCTTTGGAGTTGGGTCGGCCGGTGAGCAAACCGGCGATGTAGGAAAGAGGAACAAGATCACCAGAGGCGGTGATTGTACCGCGAAGAGGCAGGCATGGGGTGGTATTGTGGTTGAGGAATTTGGTGATGGCTTCCAGGATCTCGAATCTGATGCCGGAGTATCCTTGGAGGAGAGTGTTGATTCTGACCAGCATGGCCGCTCTGGTTGCTGAGTGTGGCAGAGTGTGGCATGACTCTGTGCCGTTGCCAAATATTCCAGCGTTCAAGAATCTGAAATCCAAATGTTTCTAACCAAGTCAATTCTCTGCTAATTACGGGGCCAAAACTACAAATTCTGCTAGGATAAATTCAAGGCACGTGAGCGCAAAACAAGACAATCATTAAAGAAAAAAAATGGCATCCAGTTATAAGAGAAATTAATGTTGAAACATTCTCCTAACATATTTTTCTTATTTTCCAAAAAAATAAATTACATAATCGCAGCTCTAGGGCCACCAAACCAGGAGAGAGAGATGCACGCATGCACCGACCCGCCCATCCTAGCTGACTCCACTTACCTACAGCGTATCACGAACTTTCTCACCCACGAGCCTCTTCAATCACCATCCACTCCACAAAATTAATCACTTGTTCTTACTCAATTAAAATTTAAATTGTGAATTCTGAATTGATATAAATTCCTTTTGAACTTCGTCTTTATTATTTTAACCATTTAAAAAAATTAATCATTTTCAAGGAGAAAAATTGGTGACTAGCCCTTATTAATCTATTTGAGCCTAACTCTATAGAGTTATTCAAGAAAAATTATAGAAAATGATTTGCACTGACTTGTGATTTAGAAGTTCAGGATTAACTGAAGTTAAAATTATATAAATTAAATTACCGCAACTTAACATCCGGAGATTGATTTTGACGCCCCAAAAAAAATCCGGAGATTGATGAGTTATAACTTAATCAAAATTTTAAGTGCCAGATGATCATTCGCAAAAAAAAAACACCAGGCAATAAATACAAGAAAGCGGAACGCCCGATCGTGTCATTTCAACAAAAGAAGCAGGGAAAATAACGAAAAAGAAACTGGAGTTTTATAAATGCCAGACAAAAAATGTCAACAAAAATTTATTATCATTTGTAAATTCAAACTTGTCAATACAAAATAAAATTGTGTCATCAACCCTGATTTGAGATTTACAATTTCTAATTTTTTTTCTGTCATTCTCTCAGAGAAATAACTTTGATAGAATAGAAGTTTTCAAAGCATACATATTATCTGTATTATTTTTTAACCAATCGCCCCCCTGAATGCGGCCAAATTTATTTTACTAGCGCGGTTAACATGTAAAAAGAAAGAAAGATGGTGAATAGGCGTTACAGATTCACGTACCTGATAAGCTCTTTCTGCAGAGCAGCGCCTTGCTTGGTTCGTCTGTGAGAAGTGGCGCCGAAGCCGGTGGTGACGCCGTAGCTATCGGTGCCTTTGTTCATGCTATCCATGACCCAGTCACTGCTGGCCTTAACGCCGGCCCTGGCCGACTCCGACAGCTCCACCTTCACACCTTGGTCGTGGGCGGCGATGGCGGCCACCTGCGAGATGGTGAGGGTCTCGCCACCGAGGCGGACCACCGGCTTCCGGAACTCCTCCACCATGCGCTTCACCTCGTCCAAGTGGCTGCCCTTTAGTGATTCGGCGGCTACACCCCAGTTGAGTGGGTCAGAAGCAGCTCGTCCGCCGCTCAGGCAGAAGCTCTCGGCTGTGGCGTTAACGTTAGCAACGGCTTCCATGTCGATGAATTACAGATTCAGGGAATGCCTGGGGTTGAGAGAATATATGAGGGCCTTCTGCTAAGCAGACGAGAGGAAATCCTGGAAACTTACAGGTGAAGGCTTGGTTTTCCTGAGTTGGTGAGGTAGAGAAGTCGGGCTTTTATAGTAGATTCTGGGAAACTGAGCCATCTACCTAACTACTATTGTAGTTTAAAGAACTACGTTGGATCACGAGTTAAATAATACAGTATTCTGAATTAAAACGTACTCACGTTTTTAAAAGCTGTATTTGGAAAAGGGGAGAAAAAAAAAGTATGACGTCGGTCATCTTACTTGAAAAGGTTAAACTTAATTATGATGAACTCAAATCAAATATGAACCACTTAAATTTAAGGATTCATTCAACTATTCAAGAAACATTTTTCATGAATGGAGACATTTTATTGCTCGCATTAATTTAAGATTTTTTTTACGTAATAAAGAGTGTTTGGTTAAATACAATTAATGTTCCATGCCAAAATAAGAAATGGGACTTGTGGTGCGCAAGGCTTGATGAGCTGTGTGTGGCCCATCCATTTCATGGTTTTATTAAAAGAAGGTGTTAAATTGGGAAGTTTGTGAAGACTGAAGAGGGCCTTAATGGTCACTTTCCATTGAGAACATAAATACACGTGACAAAAATGAAAAGATAAAGACTCGAGAGGGTTGCTGCACAAGACTGGGAATCGTGGCTAACTACGAGTCATGGGAATGGGCGATTGCTACGCACTGTACTGAGTGAATTAATGTAGATACAGTGCCAGAGCACCGCCGGGGACGAGTGCACGCCCGATAAAGCCACCCCCGGTGGCATTAATCATTATAATTAATGAGCACTCCGCTAGACCTTTCATTAGCTGCAAATTTCGGTGATTTCGTGCCGCATAAGATAAATATTTTTACCTTATAAAACGTGAAAAAAAAAACCAAAACTGAGTGTTTGGTGATTTATTTTTATATGAGAAAATTACAATAGACCCAAACAAAAAAAAAAACAATTCAAAAATAAGTCCCAAAAGTTGCTTTCTCATTATAGGACTTGTTATTGTAAGCTGTTGAGATTGTTATGAAATTTTTTTTAGTAATTATTTCTCTTATATAGGACTTGAATTCTCCTTTTTATATTGTTAGGTCCAATTAAAGATAAAATTTTCAGAAATTTATATACATCCATATGTGATTGAACAACTTATACTTTTTAACTATTTACGTATGTTTTAAAATTTAATATTATTTCTAGTTTATAATATAATTTACACTATAAACCAAATTTTACATTCAGAATCAGAACTAACTTATATATAAAAGAAATGGTTCCACATTCAAGCGCAACAATAAATTTTAAAAAAAAAAGTGTGAGGTGCTTATTATTATGATGATAAGAATGATGTCAAGAGTAGAGCATTAGGCAGAGCTAACATATACATCGGGGGTGAAGGTGGGGGGTGGATGGATAAAGTGAGGATTCGGTAGGTGGGGTTGTGGAGGAGACAAAGAAGCAGCAGCACTAGCAGGCGGGGTTGGTGGCAAAGCAGGTACGCCGTTGGAGGACGTGCGCATCTAACGGCCACCGCCCGCTTAGGCATCTGGTCTTCGCCCCCCGGCCTTGATGCCAGCTCAGCTATTCCGTTCCTGGGCGCGCCATTCATGTCTGTTTCCAACGTGGCATTTCAGCTAGTTTCTTAACGTTTCATGCTGCGCAATTATTTTTAAATAAATGCATCTTATTTTTTTATCATCAACATGGGAAATTATTTTATTGATGAAAAACCTAATTAATATATGTAAGTGATAATGAAGATTAAAAAAATTATAAATTTGAGAAACAAATAAATTAAACTTTTATACTACCTCCGATTCTTAATATAAGACCTTATTTGACTTTTATTTTGGTTCTAAATATAACACCTCAATCCACTTTGTCTCTTATATTTATACATTTTTACAAGATAGTCCTTCTAACAATAATAGTTCTAGCTAATATACTTGATTAATAAGGATATTTTAGAAAAACAATACTTATTTATTACAAATAACTAACTTAACTTTTTTTCTTAATCTCTTCAAATTAGTTAACAAGTTCTTATAAATAGGACCCGAGGTAGTATTTAGTATCAAAAATCAGATCTTATATCCAAGATAAAGTATTTTTTTAAAATGTTAAGTGGGAAAACCTGTACCATTGATAGCACCATTATATCCTCTACGTTTCCCCACTTTAAATAAAACGGGAAGGTGCTTAGTGAGTGGCGAGTGGCGATCCCTCTCTTCCCCTCATTTTGTTATTTTATTTTTGGGCTTTGCCTTTTGCCTTCCACAGTCAAAACAAACCACCCATTGCTCGTGGCCGGGAAAAAAAAAAGGTCAATTACTGCTTATAGTATTGCATTTGTTATATAGTTATAAGAGATGATCATATATACCGTGCATTGCTTTTGCCTTTCAATTTCAATATATTGACTATATATTTATAGTAGTTTAATACGTAACTAATGCATTCCCAGGGCACATGCACACATATACATGCATGTTACATATACTATCTCCGCTCACAAAAATTAGTTTACTATTTGAGTTGATTAGAAAAGTTTGTTAAGTTCTTTTTTAAAATACTATGTTAATCATATGTATTAGATAAAATTATCATTTGATAGAATCTTTATATACGTAACTACTACAAAAACTACTTTTAAAAATAAATAAATATAAAAAATAGAATAAATTTGAATATTAATTATGATCAAATAAAAATAAAATAACTCTTATACTCCTGTCCTAATTATAAGACCCAATTGACTTATTTGAGGAGATTAAGGAAGTGTAAGTTAAGTTGGTTATTATAATAAATAACTTGTCATTCCAAAATATCCTTGCTAATTAAGTATATTGGCTAAAACTATCAATTAGAAGGATTATCTTGGAAAAAAATGCATAAATATAAGAGATAAAATGGATTGGTCTTATAATTAGGACCAAATAAAAAGTCAAATGGGGTCTTATAATAAGGACCGGAGGAGTATTAATTACATGAGATAATATCACATAAACGGAACATTGAAAATCATGCTTTTCAATAAAGGAATCACGGGAGAGAAAAAAAAAAAGGAATGGTTTAACTTCCCAAGATCCACCACCCACCCTCTGCGGCCAACGGGACGTTTTATTATCGTTGTTATTATTTTTATATATTCAAAAAAAGAAGATGAAAAGGCAATGTGAACATGGAAAATGAAGCAGGGAAAGAGAGCGATGTGATGAAAGAAGAGATAGTGGATGAAGTTGGTGGGAAGGGTGTTTGTTGTGGCCGGAGTAGAGGCTTGGTATGCACATGATAATTGACATCTAACTATTTATATATATTATATATATATATATTTTTTACCTGTGCACCGTGTAGAGATTGCAAGTCAAGCAAAGACTGTTTGGATTTTTTAAAATAGACAATTAGCTAATTAATTAATTAAGAGTGAATATTTATTCTTGAAATTCCACCAAATCGCCACCCCTGTTTGAACGCTGACCCAACTGATTTGAACGCTGACCCGTCTCTTCCTCCGGTCAGTCAGAAAATATACACATATATGTATAAATATATAAATATATATATATTGTGTGTGTGTGTCTATACATATTTATATATATAAAAGATAGCACTGAGACTGTCGCAAGTTTATACCACTCACTTGTCAACGCTCCTCGCTAAAAACACACTATCTACAAGGTTTGGTTTCGATCGTTTTGCGATTTTTTTCCTTTATAAATTAAAAACGGCATTTTAAATAAAATCAATGGTTGGTAAGTACATTATACTTGAGTAGAAAGAAAATATATAGTGTGCGTGTGGATTAAAGTTCGGAAGAAAAATAAATATGGTTGATAATACTCCTATTATCAATCGAAGCAGATAATGTGATAATAAGACTATAATATATTTTGTTTCTCATATTTATTTATTTTAAGGTAGTAATTGTAATAATGATAGTTTTAGCCAATACACTTGATTAGCAAAAACATTTCAAGAAAGACAACACATATTTATTACAAATAACTAACTTAACTTATTTCTTTAGTCTATTTAAATTAGTCAACTGGTTTTTATATTTAGAATCGGAGGTAGTATTTTATAGCACTTCTCCATTATTATTTAAAGTTTGAAGAGTTCAACCCATGATTATACCCAGTCGTTTAACTTGCTGCGCTGTATCACCATTTAATATGGGGAAATGGGCAAAAGTACCCTGTATAAAATACGTATAATACCAGTGTTTTCTGGTATAAAAACTTGTCAAATTATCATCATCAACAAAACAACAACAACAACAAGCCTTATCCCACTGGGTGGAGTCGGTTACATGAATCACACTACGTATTGTGCTTTATCAACAATCCAGTCCTTATATATGTTATTGATTGGAAGGTCTCGTTTTGTCAAATTATCATTGTTTACAAAATTTTAACGATTAATCCTTCCTAATTTTTTTCCTTTTTTTTGTTTTAACGTAAGGATGAATTCTTTATAATAGAATGAAAAATTACCCAATGCTTTCTTAAAGTTCACGAGTCTTAGCAAGACTAAGTTTGTGTTTTTATTTTTGTAGAGAGAGATAGAGAGAGGAAAGAAAAATAATTAGCAGAATAGAGGAGATTGTCTAGTTGTCTTTAACTCTTTATGGATCCAAAATACAGAGTCCCCAGGAGAAAAAGCCAGGTCAATGCGACTTAAAATGGACATTGTAACTACATGTATATAATGCTTTTATTGTTTATTTTGAATGGCAATAATCCTAATTTTTAATGCATTGTATTTGACGGATCATTGCAAATCAGATTCAACAGGAATATGATATGATATTTGTGGTGGCGTGCCCTTATATTGAAGATATGCAAGATACATCGATGGATCCATACTTTTAATTTTTGTGACTGAAATCTCATCGGAGAACTTCGTGGCCGGACCAAGCCTGTAAGTGGAGACTATAACTCCACGGTCAAACTGTGCAAAGCTTCCTAACTGCTTCTCCACTGGTACCAATTATTATCAGCCACACATTTGAAAGCCACTTTTGATCGAGCTTGGTAAAGAGTTTTAAACGATTTATAAAAGGCTGGAATATTCCACTCGTGGGATCCACGATACCCTTTTGTTATTCCACATAACTCAGCTGTAATACTTATCGTGAATTACAAGTGCTCCATACCATAGCCATTCCTAATTATAGGAGCTTTCTACCTAATTTACAAAGATTAAAAAATTAAATAATTAATTACTATCATCATAAACAAACAATCAAGGCAAATAATAATGGATGGATTTTATTCCCATGTATGTTCATTTATTTAGCGTCTGATTTATTAAGACACGTTTATTTATCTGTGTTACGTGAGTTGACATTTGATGTTTCACAGCGCACATATTATTGTCGTTTCAAATCATTTATTACATCTCCTGTGCTGTGTTCGGTAATATACTCCTCCGGTCCTATTATAAGACCCAATTTGACTTTTTATTTGGTCCTAATTATAAGATCCAATCCATTTTCTCTCTTATATTTATACATTTTTTCCAAGATAATCCTTCTAATAATATTTTTTAGCCAATATACTTAATTAGCAAGGATATTTTAGGAATGACAACACTTATTTATTATAAATAACAACTTAACTTACTTACTTCCTTAATCTCCTCAAATAAGTCAATTGGGTCTTATAATTAGGACCGGAGGAGTAAATGAAAGGTGGGAGTGATGAGGAGGGGGAGATGAAAGCTGGCAAGGTGAATTTTGTTTGGTGCAGTGAAAGATATGTGAAAGTGGGAAGAGGAAGGTGGAAGAAGTAACGTATTGTCAGAATGTTCATTAATATCTGAAATGGTTGTTAAAAAAGCTTCGAAGATAAGGGAAATATAGTTTACTGTAGACGATATATAAACAACATTATTCTGCATAGAATTAGCTTAAACTATTCGATAAACAATATTATTCTAACGTTTTGTCAGATTGTTCATTTAATCTAAAATGGGAATAGAAGAAGAAGAAGCAGCTTGGGAGGTAAGGAAGATATAGTTTATGATGGTGGGTAACAATATTCCATATCGAAGAGCCTGAATTATTTGACAAACAATATACACTGAGGAATATCTCTTTCCTTCAGTTGCATGACAATATTGAAAATATTAATTTTCATGTCACTCGGCATGGGAGGTGAGAGCCATTTGATTGTTTGGTCACCAACTATTTTTGTTATGTTTGCTGTACGTCTTTACAACCAAATGCTACAGGAGGTACGATGATGTCGAGCGTATTGGTTGGAAGAGTTCCCAAACAGCAAATCCGATGACCTATTATGTGGCAAAACCAAAAAAAAAAAAAAGATGAACTTTTATCTCCTTTAAGGGGTGTTTGGTTTGGAGGGGAGGGAGAGGGGGGAAAATGAGCCCCTCCCCTCATTTGGTTTAAAATTTTGGAGGGGAGGGAGCCAAAATGTCCCCTCCCCTCCCCTCCCCTCCCCTCCCCCATTTTGGCTCCCCTCCAAATTGGGGGTTTTTGGAGGGGAGCCAAAATTTTGGACCATTATACCCTGTAGTTTTTTTAATATTCCACTTCTACCCAAAATATATTATTATAATATTTATTTCAATAAAAAATATATTATCCAAAGTAAAAAATAAAAATATATACATTATTATATTAAAAAATATATTATAAAAATTATTTAAAAATAAAAAGTATTTAAATAAAAAATTATAATATTATATTAATTTTTTATAAATATATTATTTATTAATATATTTTAAAGCTGGAAAAAAAGATAGCCTAAAGAAAATAAAATTTCATTTTTCTTAGAGCATATAAAATTTGTTAATTTGATTATTTTAAATATATTATTATATTAATTAGAATAAAAAATTACTGTACCAATTTTTTAATACACATATTAACATGATAAGACTGAATTTTTATTAAATTATATGATTAAATTAAGATGTAAATTAATTTATATAATATTCAATAAAAAACATAAACTAATATGTAAGGGTAAAATGGTAAATTGATTATTACTATCCCTCCCCTCTCCTCCTTGAACCAAATAAGGGATCATTAAATACCCTCCCCTCCCCTCCTTTTTAATCAAACCAAACAAGGTGAGGATGAAACCTCCCCTCCCCTTCCCTACCCCTCCCTCCCTCCCTCCCTCCCCTCAAACCAAACAGCCCAAGTTTTTCAGCTCTCTGCTCTCTACAAGTGACCCCAGACATGGTCAGTAAACTATGCAACTAAACTAGAGTCAAAATATTAATAAGTGCGGTCAAACTATTCAGTTCTAAATTTTAACTGTAGACCTCTTACGTTTTTTTTTCTTTAAAGAAAAATTGTGTAGCACGGTTCCTTTAATTTGTCAATTTCTTTGTTCAGAGCCCTAACATTACCTGTTCAGATATGATTAGAAAATACTTACAATACGAAGATTATATATATATTTTAGTATTTCGCCGTTTTGTTATATTGAAAGATCATGAATATGAATTTTTGTGACCGTGTTTCAAAGTTTATTAAAAAAGGAAGTCAACTACACAGTTCCATGAGAAGCACTCGGCCTTTCCTAAAATCTAATTCATCGAACCGTCTGACGATTGAATTGAAAACAAGGCTGGCGTCTCTAATTATGTCCAATGGGCCTTATATGGGCCGTATTTCTAATTATGTCCAATGGGCCTTATATGGGCCGTATTTCCTGCACCTGAGCTGTTTACATTGAATATGGGCTCCAAGAGAAGGCCCATATCGTTCACCTTGTTTTTTCTTTTTTTCTTGTTTAAATTAAATTTTGAGGCGGCGGGAGCATGGGGGCAGAATTGTGATGCGCGGATGATTTGAGAGAGAGAAAGCAACAATTTATGTTTTAAATTTAATTTCTTTAGTTCCATCTGTAGATAATCTATGTATGATAAGTAAAAATGCTGAGCGGTTTATTTCAGAGTAACTTGTAATTATTAAAAAAAAATTCGATTTGATTGTCGGGAAATAATGAAATAAAAATGCCAAACTTTATACGGCGAGAGCAAATGAAACTGGGGTGAATAGATAGAATTTGGAAGGACCAAGTTAGGGCACATCGCACTTGGAAGTATACAAAACAAGAAGCTTCACACGCAGATGTCCAATTGCCCACTTACAATCAATTGGATCTCTGCCCATTGGGCCATCACTACAAGACAAAATATTAGCTGTTCGTTTTCTTTTCGGCCATTTCAAAATATCCTCGGTTCGCCTGCGCCACAACCAAGGGGGAAAAATATCTCAAGGGGCAAAATAGTAAATCCAGTCACCTCATCCCCTTTCAGTCCATCCCTCCTTGTCTATCCTTCAATAAATATCCTCTTGCTCGCGCAGTTACACTCCCGCGAAGAGATTTATATAATCAACATCCCTCGGAAACCCTTTATCTTTGGGAGCCTTATCTCTTGTTGTAGCGCCGAAGCCCCGAAACCATGTCTACCTCCGCCGCTTCCTTAGCCCTTCCTACATTCACCTCAGGGTTCCGGTCACTTAACTTTGCCAGACAAGCCTTGTTCTTTCCACATTCTGAATCTTCCTCGTCTCTCCGGTTGAATTCGAAGCCCCTTTCTTTGTCTGTCTCTTTTCTTCCATTCCACGCGCCTTCTGCCTCTCGATTTATCCCCAATGTTGCTCTCTCTTCTGAGTTCGAACAAGAGGAGATGGTGACTGATGAAGACGAGCCTAGCTACTCCCCCGACCTCAAACTCTTCGTGGGTAATCTTCCCTTCAGCGTTGACAGTGCCCAACTCGCTGAATTGTTCGAGAGCGCTGGAACTGTCGAGATGGTTGAGGTGTATTTTCTCTTCAGTTTTTAAATTTATTGCAATCGGGTATGCCAAAGTTGGCGGAAAATTATGTTCTTACTGACACGATTTTGAGGTCTCAAGATTTGATATCGTTCTCTTTATGTTCTAAACTTGTTCGTCTTACCGCAGGTAATTTATGATAAAGTGACCGGAAGAAGCAGGGGGTTTGGTTTTGTGACCATGTCCACCTCCGAGGAAGTTGAAGCAGCCGCTCAACAATTCAATGGCTACGTAAGTACTTTATGTTACTGTGGTGTGGCGGTCATGCTCAATTTCTTTTTTCCCATCGGAACACAATTTTTTCTGACTTGATAGTTGGTTTTAGAGCATTTCTTATTTTGTTTAGATTGCTGTGTGCCTTCACCAAATTTAGGAGTATTGATTGTTTCAAATTGAAATTGGATGCCGAGTTTGTTTTCTTATATCTCCTGTATTTGAGCTTTTTTTAATCACATCTAGAGTAATGTGTGGTGGTAATTATTAGGAACTTGATGGGCGGGCATTGAGAGTAAATTTTGGACCTCCTCCCCGGAAGGAGAATGCCCCCTTCAGAGGTTCCAGAGGTGGCTTTGCTTCGGATACTGGAAACCGTGTTCATGTCGGTAATCTTGCATGGGGTGTAGATAACTTGGCGCTTGAGAATCTGTTTGCTGAGCAGGGAAAGGTTTTAGAAGCGAAGGTGATTTATGACAGAGAGAGTGGAAGGTCAAGAGGATTTGGATTTGTGACTTACAGCAGTGCTGAAGAGGTCAGCGGTGCTATTGAGTCCTTAGATGGTGTGGTAAGATAAACGCCAAACCTTTCTACCTCACTAAGTGCATGTTTAATAATTTTGCCGTTTGCCTTTTGGTCTGGTAGATGTGAATGTGATTGACATTTAAGACAATAATAGGCAGCAGCATTTTCAATGAACGATATGATGTATTCTTCTCCGTTGAAATCTGATGTTGCTACACGAGCAAAGCTTTATATTCAGCATGAAAATTATGAAATTATCCGCTTGAACAAAGAGGAGTTAATTATGGGATAAATGCATCTTTTAGATGTCAAATTTTTTCAAGTGTTTGATGTCATATCTGGGTTTAATCCCGATTCTTAGCACTGCAGGGTTGCTTGCGCTGACCTACACTCATTATGCGGTGTTTAGATAGATATGCTGAGAATAACTCCATGATTGTAACTCTATCACAGTGAATGCACGTTATGCATGTTTTAACTTATGAATGAAGCCGTGAAACACCATGTTTCCACTCAGGCTGAGGCGTCATATATTTATAAATTATAATCTGCATTAGCAATGACATCATTTTTTGACCGTGCATGTGACTTCCAGAATCTTATTTTTGTATGTTTGCTGCAGGACTTGAATGGCAGAGCTATTAGAGTGTCATTAGCTGATGCCAAGCCAAGGCGTCCGTTTTGAATATTCAACCACTAATATGTAGCTGGCGAAGCAATCGCTCCATCTGGGCCTATCAAATAGGTGCCGTTTGATTTTAATGCAGTGATGCCTTGAAAGATCGAACTGTGGAGCTTTCTGCTATTCTTTCTCGTCAATCTATATTGTGGGTTCTTGGTATCTGCTTAAAACTGCGACTGGTTGTTGGGGGATTTACGTGGACGCGGGTGCACTTTATTTGATATTTTCCCACAGTTTGCTAAAAGCACTACTCGCTTTGCAACTGGGTGCTCATGTGTTGCCCGAGGAGTTGATTAGTGTCTCTTTTTGAAGTTTGATTGTATTCGCAAATATAAACCATTTTGCTTGTGTTCGTAGATGAGTGTTGTGATATCTTGGCTACCTGTGATATTGTAGAAGGATTTTATTTCTGCACAGTTGCAAGGAGAATTATTTACTGCTGAAACTGTAAATCCATTTATTTGGTTGCCGAGGAGTGCACCTCGTCTGCGAACTTTGTGACGACAATTCTAGTCGAGTTTGGGAGTGAGAATTCTTTAACATAAATCTGATGACTTCATGACTAGTATATATGGGCCATCATAACATGTTAGCGTTACTAGTCTAGCTTTAAGAGAATATGTGGAAGTACAAGGCAAATTAATTTTTTGGGACCTGATCTTGGGGCTTCGCATTAATCTATCTTGTGCGTTACAGGATGGGAGGTATTACTGAAGTTAAAGCCTTTTATTTGGAGGGTAATAAATGGATGTTTCTACAACCAACCGCTGTTCCTTATCCACATTTATAATCTGTGCGTACCATATCTATAATGAAGCCAGTTCGGCTTGGTTTGGGTGGGGTGGTGTGGTTGTGGGGGGCCTGGTCTTCAATGCCATGACTTGTGCAATTTGCATTCGTTTTCACTTTTGACCAAGCTCACGATTTTTCTGCCAGTCCCTCTCTATCCACTTTCTGTGGACAGGGGCAACTTGTAGTCCACAACTTAATAATACCAGGCACACAATATAAAACATGTACAGTAAATAAATTACGACAACTCCAGAAAACTCTCTTTATGTATCCGCTATATTTAGTAATCCAAACTGATATGTGAGAATTGACCATTTGATATGTGTGATTTATCAAAATTTGCAAGTATTAATCATTCCTTCCTCCATATGTCGTCCACACAAAAATGGAAATAAATACAAGTTTATATTCTTGGTGCAGTCTCGTTCTTTACCATGAAGACATAGGATCCATTGTTGTGGCCACAAGTAAAGGGATCACGTGCATCTCCCCGCACAAGTAATACTCACTAATTAACGTCTGTTCAGACCTCAGGCGTTTTAATTACTTTTAGTGACATGTTGTTGTTATCACATTTCTCTCGACCTTTTTGTCATAATTGTCTCTTACAGTTGGTATTCTTCTTTCTTCTCATTTCACCGGGCAGTCCAATGTGCCATTTTTCAGTTCGTTGCCCTTCTGTACCTTAAAGTCATGCATGGTAAATACAAAAAGCAACAGCTGGATAACAGGTAACTTTGTGGCTCAACTGCCCTTGGCTCTACTGCACTGACCGTGAAGGCCAAGCAGCGACTTTGAATCCTTCCTTATGCTTTTAAAACTCACAAGTTTTTCCCGCACTTTAATGGAAAATCCCGAAAGCGCTGATTCTACTTCTCAATAGACGGAGTTGTCCTACTTTCTGTTCACATGATTTCTGGGGACTGCACTAAGAAAAAATTGACTTCATTTTTGTGTGGTCCATTTTTTTAAATCACGTCTTTTCCTGGCGGTAGACAGTAGATACACTTGTATATATGGGTTTCCATTAAGTCTCTTTCCCGGCAAAGAATCAGAGTCTGAAGTATGGCGTTTGGTGAATCAAGAACTGTGAGGTTTGCCAATTCTTCCCTATCCCATATCCTACTGGATACCAATACCTTTTGATTTAGTTTTGATGCTGACATTCTTAGTTAATATGTGCATTCAGGTTTCAGGATGATCTTGAGACTGAGTTGAGACTAAACAAAGAAAGTCCCATGTCAAAGCCGGCCTATAAGATGAATGGCAAACAGATGGATTTATGGAAGGAAAGGGAGCTTTCTAGGGTCTTCTCTGAGGATTATGATACCACAGAGAAGTTGGTATTGGATCCCAGGGGACCAAGAGTGAACAGATGGAACAAAATCTTCTTGATAGCATGTCTGGTTTCTTTATTTGTGGATCCCTTGTTCTTTTACTTGCCAGTGGCTAAGAAAGACAAATGCATTGATTTATCCCCTCGCCTCGAAGTGTCCCTCACCATAATTCGCTCCATGGTGGATGCCTTTTACATATTCCAGATTTATGTCCGGTTTCAAACTGCCTATGTTGCTCCTTCCTCTCGCGTTTTTGGTAGAGGAGAGCTCATTATCGACCCTTCCAGGATATCATCCAAGTATCTTCAAAGAGACTTCTGGCTTGATATTATGGCTGCCCAGCCCTTTCCTCAGGTATGTTACTCCTTAGACAATACCTCAGTTGTGAGCATGCATTTTTCTCTCATTGGAACACTTTGAATATGTACATATATATACGTGTAGGTGTTAATATGGCTTGTAATTCCGAATCTCAAGTGTTCACAAATGATTACTTCAAGGCATATACTACGCCTTGCAACCATTTTCCAGTACCTTTTAAGGTTATATCTCATCTTCCCTCTATCATCACAAATCGTCAAGGCGAAGGGGGTAATGATGGAAAAAGCTTGGGCTGGGGCAGCATATCATCTCGTGCTGTATATGCTGGCAAGTCATGTAAGTCACTATTACCGATCATTATCTGCATTAAAATTTTGGATAGTTTGGTGACAAAACTAATTTTCTTTTAGAACAGGTTTTAGGGTCGTGCTGGTACCTCTTAGCCATTGAAAGGCAGGAGGAGTGCTGGAAAAAAGTTTGTACTCTTCAACGCCCACATTGCCAGTATTATTATCTGGAGTGTGGCAGCGTTGGTGATCCGGATAGGGTAGCTTGGTTCAGAGCAAGCAATGTCTCGGGTCTATGTGATCCCAACAATAATTTCTTTCAATTTGGCATTTTTGCTGATGCGCTGACTCTGGGAATCACGGGCTCCGAGTTCTTCATCAAATACTTCTACTGTCTTTGGTGGGGACTCAGGAATCTCAGGTAACTCCAAAGTTGGTATCTGATGTTGTATAGATATCAGTGACAGAGAGTACGATGAATTCATTGAGGATCAGAGACGATAGTATTCATTATTAGATTAGAAACTGATTAACCATTCCACTATATGTTTTGCAGCTCTCTGGGACAGAACCTCTTGACAAGCACTCATGTTGCAGAGATTAATTTTGCTGTGATCATAGCAATTCTAGGCCTGGTACTTTTCGCCCAGCTTATAGGCAACATGCAGGTAATACAAGACTAGAAGATGGCCCAAATTTCCTCTTCATTATCCTGACAGGCAGCATATATATAATTACTATTATTATGATATTAAAACCAACAGATGTACCTGCAATCGACAACCATGAGGCTGGAAGAATGGAGAACAAGAAGGACAGATATAGAGAGATGGATGCGCCACAGGCAGCTACCATATGAGCTGAAGAAAAATGTTCGGCGACACGAGCAATTCAGATGGGTTGCCACACGTGGAGTTGACGAGGAAGTCATTCTCAGAGACCTTCCTGCTGATCTCAGACGCGACATCAAACGTCACCTCTGCCTCAATCTAGTCCGACAAGTAGGTCATTCCAACATATTTTACATCCTTTGGTTGCCACAAATCTGTTGAATTGAACTGACATGGTGATGCCGATATGTCAGGTACCACTATTTGATCAGATGGACGAGAGGATGCTGGATGCGATATGCGAAAGGCTGAAGCCATCTCTATGCACCCCAGGGACAAGGCTCGTTCGCGAAGGTGACCCACTGAATGAGATGCTCTTCATAGTTCGAGGTCGCTTGGATTCACACACAACCAATGGTGGCAGAACTGGGTTCTTCAATTCCTGCAGAATAGGGGCAGGTGATTTCTGTGGCGAAGAACTGTTGCCGTGGGTTCTGGACCCTCGTCCGAGCGCAGTGCTTCCTTCATCAACCCGCACAGTGAAAGCCATAACCCATGTGGAAGCTTTTGCACTCATAGCTGAGGACCTACAATTCGTGGCAGATCAGTTCCGGAGGCTACACAGCAAACAATTGAGGCATACCTTTAGGTTTTATTCCCAGCAATGGAGGACATGGGCTGCTTGCTTCATACAAGCAGCTTGGTTTAACTACAAGAGGAGAAGAGAGGCCAGAGAGCTCAGGAAGAAGCAGAATCAATTGGCTTTGTCCACTGTGTCTCCGGGTTATACCGCCATGGAATACTTCTCTGCACCTCTGCAACCCCACATGGAATACTCCACTAATCTCACAAGGTCTCCCCTGAGAGGTGGGAGCTTGCGATATGGTTCTGATCTTGACATTCTTGGTTCATTGAGGAAGCCTGTTGAACCTGACTTCACCATGCAAGATCCACGAAGCACTATATGAGTTACATACATATGTGTGAATAGCGGGCAATATAATAATCTCCGATCAAGGCCAAGGGCCTTTAATGGAGCTTGTGATAGGGTCAACGGCTCTCAAATAAAGTAAAGCTCAGGCAAGTTTTTGCATCTCTTAAAACAGTTAGCTACTTTTTTGTTTGTTTGTTTGGCTGAATGAGCGATATTGACGCGGAATATAACTTGGTTCATATGTATGAACGGCCCCTGGCAACACATCCCGAGTTGTTATATCCAGTGAGCAGCGCCACTACAATTTTTCTTTTTTTGGAATAATTAGTGTAAGCCTTATATGTTTTCACGTTAAGCATTTTATAATTTTAAAACTATGAAAAAAAAAATTGGTGTCTGGTATTTAATTTTTATTCAATAATTTGTTATTTATAATTCGTGGACGTGACCGCTGCACGGATTAAACAAGAAACTACGAATAGGGTTGGGTGGGCATGCCATGCACAGTATGGTTTGCATGATGAGCAGAGAATGGCCAGCCGGAACGACTCATTGTTTCGGGTCAAGTAAGGTCCAGGGCCCGAATGAATTGGATTCCCCTATTGGGCCAGGTCGTTTCACTTGGTTGTTGGAGAATTATTTAATTGGAAAAAAGGCCCAAAAGAAAGAGAGAGGTGACGAGTGGGATCGCAGGCATATAGAGGAAGGGAACGCGTATTCCGCAGGACAAGGTGGGGTCTCAATAGAGAACTAGTGTGTGGGCGGCAACTGGTACTTTACACTTGTTTATGTCAAAAGTTTAATGTCGGATTCCACTTAATTTTACCAAAGAATATTCCAAATCCATTTCTCCTTCTAAAAACACCATGTTCTTCTTCTTCTCCTTCAAGAAAAAAAGATCCTTCCTTCTTCGTGAATTTAGTTGGTAGGGTCAAAAATTTCATCCTGTTTGTTGTTTGTCCTATCCTCATCGTCCCATGCAATTTCCTAACCAACCTCTCCATCTCCGTTTGTTCTACTCATTGACTTTAGTTAACAGGGGTAATGATTAGCTTCAGACATATCATTTGACCCTGCCAAATCTGTCTTGCAAGCCAAGCCAACACAGGAGAATTACAGACATGTTTTAACCTTTTAATTCCCTTCCGCTACTATCGATGCAACGACTTCATTCATTCTTTCAATATCACGTCAAGCATCATAAGCCATCCATGCTTCCACCATTTCATGCCTGCCTTCTTAACCCTATATCTGTCTCTCTCTCTCTCTCTCTCTCTCTCTATATATATATATATATATGCACACACGCAGTAACACGACATTAGCATATAACCTTTAACTTCGACCACATGTCTCTGCAATATTTTTGTTTCCACTTGCTGTTTCTAGGTGTATAGCCATTAGTTAATTACCTCAAGGGGAAATGCTGAGAGCAAAATATAAAGTATTCAGCGATGAACATGAATAGGTACGAGTAGTACATTATAATGCACGCCAGCTTGTTGGGAAACTTAATTAGTACACGCAGCATGTAATTGTTTTATAGTCCTATATAGAAAGAGGGATGAAATTTCCTAGAAACACTTTGGGCGGTGGTGGCTCATGAGAATGTCATCAGCTTGTTGTCTGGGAAATGGGTGACACAGTTTCCTGTTTGGGGCTTACGCAGGTTATTGCTCACGGTCTTTGAGGAAACCATAGCCCATACACATACACACACGAACAACACCAATATAGTAATTCATGTTTAGTTATTAATGCCACCTTCGTCTTTTCTTCCCCACTAACAACGCTCTTCAACAAACACATCAGTCTGGGTTTGATTCCATGCAACTAAAACTCGGTTTTTATTAGTTCTGATTTGGTTTTTGATCGCTTGCAAGTATCAGTTTCAGGCTTTCACAGCACAGCTTCTCCTGTTCGATCTCAATCTGTAATGCGGGTTTGCTATATAGATATACAAATGACGTGGGGCTCCTGTTCTTCCTTTAGTTTTTAAAACAGTTATAGCCACTGTATATAATGCTAATCGATTAGATTGACTGAATATCTGAGTCAACAGAATAATTAGTTCTAAACTCTTAGGGTTACATTAATTAATTATCTCTTTTGATATGTGTTATTTTAAAATTTGGAATAAATTCAAATTATAGTTTTTATCGTTAAATAATTAATCTGAAAACAAACGTTACAAATGTATTCTTGCCAAAAAAAAAAAATTCTTACGGATAATGTGACTATTTTTGTTTTTAGGTAAATCGCTAAAGAAAAATTCATTGTTGGTTAAATGATATTGCTCCCAGCTCCAATATACTCCTCCGGTCCTTAATATAAGCTCATTTAACTAATTTGATTAAATTAAAAAAGTTAGGTAAGTTAGTCAATTATAAGAAATGTGACACATTTTTCTAAAACACCATAATCATCTTTCTTAATACCTCTCTCCCTCTTCTACTTGATTATGGTTGAGAAAGTATCCATAGAGGTAATTTAGAAAAATTGATAAATATGAGAAATTGGTCTTATATTTAGAACCAAAACCAATTCAACAATTGGGTCCTATATTAAGGACTGGAGGAGTAAGAATTAGTTGATTAATTTGAATAGATTAAGAAAATTAGTTAAGTTAATTATCTGTAATAAATAAGCGTTGTCTTTTTCAAAATATCCTTATTAATCAAGTGTTATTTAATAAAACATTAAACATATGCAACTACAATAAAGACTACCTCAAAAAAAATGAATAAATCTAAAAGTCAAATTAGATTGAAATTTTATATTTAGGACCAAATTGAAAGTTAAACTAACTGATACTAATAAGGTAGTCATAAACTTAAAAGGGCTGGATACGGTAGAAGTCAAATGAACCGTTTTAATTGACCGAGAGCCACTCTTGAAACTTGTGTTCGACTTTACATTACATTTTGGAATGCTGTGTTCGGAGAGCAATCAAAAGGAAGCGCAAGTTAATTGATTGCCCATCATTGATGATCTCTTTTTCTGGCTTCGCAGTACTTTAATTTGTTTGACCAGAGCCTGATTAAAAGGTAGTTTCATGTGCGAGCCAAGTGTGTGTTGAACAGAACAAGAAAGAAAGGAAAATTAAAGAAGTTAGTCATTGAATAATGGATCTCGCTTTTCATTCATAAAGTTCCTCATTTGTTGAATAGCAATACAAAAGATCCATGTCCCCTCCATAATAAACTTTCCATATAATAACAAAGCTTTTCATTCTGGAGTAGTGTTATCAGTAGATAACATTTTCAAAACCAACAAGGAAAACAGGCAAGTCCTGTTATATGTGTGTGTGTGTGTGTGTGTGGATCAAGAAGTAATAGTTAAATTTAGATTTTTCTGTGATAGGGAACCAAACCCACTACAACATTGATGCATGCACGATGTTTCATATTGTGGGGATACCAACCTTAATCAGTTTGCATCTCTAATTGGATTGATATGAGAGGTTCCCAAGCTAGGCTCTCACACACGCGCGCACACACGTATATATATCAGTATGCATGATCTGTTGCATGCGCATATGGTATCATGAGATATAAAAATATGTATGCATGCATTTTCATGCTGAGTGTGAATAATGGTGATGATATATGATAGTAGTGGACGGTGGATAAGTGAGGTAGCGATGATAAAGTTGCAGTGTGATAGAGACAGGATTAAGGTTTAAGGTGAAACTCAATTGAATGAAAATACTTAAAGAGGTGGCCTGTATATGATTAGGTATGACGTATAGGGGCCTGAAAGTCAAAGCACTATAACGCAGAGATGGCAGGCCTTCTGTCTTCTTCTTCCTCCACTATGCATCCAGCCATAAAATATATGATTCCTCCGGCCTCCCTTTTGCTTTTTCCTGTCTATTTCATCCAATCCATCCAATTCATATCACAAGCTCATAATAGTGTGGTCTCAGTATTCATATTTGGGACGAGACAGCTTTAAAACGATGTCTTTGCTTTTAAGATCTTCAGAATTGACTTCTGATCATGAATTTTAATTTCTGCAGCAGTTTGTTCAAAATGTTGCAGTAGCTTGGGGATGAAGTGTAAATGTGTAGTTGCTGCTTTAACTCATTTAGTGAAGTATAAAGATGAGAGACATCAATATATATTGCATCTTGTTTGCCTGAAACAATAGATAGATAAAGGATTGGGTTTTATTGCGAAATGTGAATGCCGACCTAATCATAACGATTAGCCTAGTTAAAGTAGTGAGGAATGAAAGGTCCAAGGGTGTTACAGTGAGTATGACTACTGCATATGTATTTTTAGTTCAAAGGAATCAGACTAATAATAGGTATTTACGTAGTTGCCAGAGGAAGTTGAAAAGCTCACAGCCTCCCTCGCACAGCAGAATAGCAAAAGCTAATTAAAAGCCACAGGTGGTGGAGAGAAAGTGGGAAAGGAAGATCCATGAAAGTTGAAATTACCAAATTGCAAATATGAAAAGGGGTGTGGATTAATATATATACACCTTTGCACCGATTTTTTTTTTTTTTAAATTTCAAGTTCATGTGGCCATTTTGTAAAATTAATGCCCTCGACGTAACTTAAATTAAAGCAGTTAGTTAAGAAGGAAAACAAACTTTTGGAAAAAAAGCATCGGCATGCAGGGGCCTTAAACAACACAACTTTCCAATCTGATTAATATTTGCTTCGCAACTTCAAACTAATCAAAGACAAGCTAAAAGCCTGTTGGTTAGGACATAGGATAAGGAATATTAGGAGCACAGTCAAAAAGGCATTAAAAAAAGGGGACCAAATTAAACAAGAGTCATCATTTTTGTCAGCGACACCTTAATTAAGACCTTTTTGGGAAGACCCCCCCGGGGGGGGGGGACGACGTTGCAAAAATCAATGAAAGACATCATCCTAAACGTTTCATTCATTAACTTGTTATCATGGCACAGAGGAAATTAGTGGTGAGATTACGCATAAATGTGTGTGAGACCCAGAAACGAACAACATTATTATTGACACGGATCGCAGTTTATTTAGTACTACCAATTCTATATGTAATTGAATTCTACGAACTGGTTAAAACTGATAAAAGTCTTGTTTGGGGAAAGACTTGATGGAACAGGTATGAAAGGAGAAGAAAGAAGGATGGTGTTTGCGGCTAGGTGTAGGGGCTACTCCATGAGCATATGGGACAGAAAAGATGGAGGGGCCCATATGCCACCACGTTTCGAAATTCTGGCCTCTTTGCCTGTCTACGACGTTCCACTTTGCACCCCGGTCTCAGATTATTCTATCACCCCACCACCTTTCTCTTGCAGAATAATCACTCCCCTAAAACTACCATGAATACAAATCACTTCTATCTTTTCAATGTAGGGGTGTTTGGTAACCTTGAAGAGTGCTTCTCAGAAACATTTTTCTGCAAAACGAGACAAACTCTTCTATATATTTACTTCGTAAATCGTAAAAGCACTTTTAAAATCATGGTTTGGTTTCCATCCAAATACCCATATACTAGAAGATAAAAATAAATTCATTGCTTAACTTTGCATAATTTGTTAATGTTTCTCTTTTACTGTCGCCCCTGAGGATTTAAGTTCTTTCACAGAATAGTTGGTACGCGTTTTAAATTTCAAAATTTGAGACCCTACCAAGTCAGTTACAAACATTCTTTTCTAAAAAGAAAAAGGGGTTCCCTACTGCTGAAAGACGAACACATATATGTGGACTGCTTAAAGGTGAAATAAAAAAGTAACCGAAAGCGAGTATGTGTGTGAGAGAAGAAAAAGAAACAGAGTCTTGAGCAAATAAGGACACTCTCGAACCAGGCCAAGTCGAAATATGCAAAACGCAATGCACAATCAGGGGATGTTGGGCAGCTCGTGATGATGGGCGATAACAGCTAGTGTTTTTTTTTCTTTCACATCAGCTCAGGCCCTTTTGGAAATTCTCTTTCAGATACCCGGTGGCATAAGTAATAAGCATCATCATTATTGTCATGTCCTTTCAATATTATCGAAGTATGTACAAGAGATCAAAGAGTAATGGGTAATTTGTATTTGGGAGGTGAAGTATTTGTCTTGGTTTTCTTGTCACGTGCATTATCACTAACACACAAAAACATACTTTTAAACGCGCATGCAGGCATGGGAAGAGGTTCAAATGAATTTTTATACAGAAGCTCAATCCCCCATTCAGAAGGAGTGATAATGAGTTCATAATCTCTAAACATGGGAATGGGCAGGAAGCAGACAAACAGAGCTGTTTCTAAAGCTAAACAAAGAACAGGCCAGAAAGGCCGTTTTGGGATTGGAGCCTCAAAACCAATATAAATATATAATAACCCATGTAGCTTAAAGGCCGGAACTGTTTGTGTCAGCAACTTGATTTAATCCATAAATAAAAATAAAAAAAACCCCATCAAAATATTAAGAAATTTACGAATATAAAATAATGGGTTTTTGGAGAAGGAAAATCCACAGGCGTAGAAGAGGGCGAATGCAATGAGTGAGGATGGAGAGGACATGGGAAATGGAAAGAGGGCGTGTGAAATGAATACCAGATGTTTCCTGCGACTACAACAAGTGTGTCGAATAATGGAGAGTGGATGTAATAAGAGCACTACCAAACCCACTTATGTTTTCTTATTCAATCATCAATGCACAATGCTCAATGGCGCTGCAGCTCCATCTGAACTCAACCTCTGCTAATACCCATAACTTGCTCAGTGTAAACAGTTCTGTTTTTCGAACACAAAATTGCAAATAAGAAAATCTCTGTCAGAATAGCCCATATAAACATCAATTATTTAATTATCCCACCCTCACATTTCTGTCTAAAACCTGGGCTAATCATAGGTAAAAGTAACGAGGGTGAAATTTAAAAAGCATCCTTTTATTGTAGGCGTAAAGCAGAGACACTCAAATTCTGCACTTTTCTTTTGTTGCATAACTACACGTATATTTACTATATTTCTTTCATGGTGGGGGTCTTTGGAGTTAAGAATCCATTGATTTTGGTTAGTTGAAAAGTTATTAATGAACCACTTTCTTAGTGAGGCAGCACTGTTTCTAGATAGAGTCTAGAATATGATTTACTCAACAACACTTTAAATCTAAGTGGCAATACAAAACAGCACAAGTGGAAGGAGAAACAGGGCAAAGTGGCAGTGTTGCCCATACATAATTGGCGCCATGTGGATTTGTGACTTGTGCTATGACAACTTTGTTTGGGGATAGGACCCTCTTCCATCTCCTCCTTCGCACTAATGATCCAAAATTTTTATGGTGGAATTCTGCATGAATGGGTTTCCGGTTCAAGGGATAGAAAAATGAAATAAGGAGGTATTTACATGGGTATTTGACTTGATGCGTTTATCTGTCTGGCACTTGACTTTCTGATTTGTGGTATATATCTCATGCTTGTCCTGTTTCACGGAAAAGTATTTAATAAACAGCGCTTCCCTTCCTGGCAAATTGAAGAAAATAAAAATATAGATTACCCTGAGACAAACACGTACAAAACAAAACAAAGCAAGAGGCAGTTTGGCCTTGAATTATCAAGCTTATTACTAATTGAAAAACAGTATTGAATATAATAATATTGGGATGAAATATATTCTGTATGCCCACTGAATAATCCTACGAAATTAGGTGGGGACCACAGGAACAGTAGGCCACGCGTGCCAAGGGTAAATGTGTGGGTATGGGGGTGAGAGCGTGCTAGAGCACTCAGGTGTAAAGGGGGGGCGGGGGTGGAGTTTATAAATTGAATGGGCAGAAGGAGGAGGCACTGAGAAGAGTAGGAGCGAAGCAAACAAAACATCTAGTAGTTGATACAGTGACACATGCATGAGTTTGTAAGAGTGAGGTTCTAGTGCTTCTGACTTGTAAAGCAACACACACGCATAGGCAAATAGAGTGAGAGTGACTGAGTGAGTGTGATTAACAGATAAAACGATGGAAATGGAGGGTGAAACGAGGCAGTCAAGATTTAAGAGGATTTGCGTCTTCTGTGGGAGCAGCCAGGGCAAGAAGAGTAGCTATCAAGATGCCGCCATTGAGCTTGGCAAGGAATTGGTAATGCAATCTTTTATGCCTTTTTTGAACTTCTGTTCAATCTATATCAACCGATGCCTCTTTTCTCAAAATGCCCAAAAGGATTTTGTGGGATAATTTATGTGGCTTGGTTTTAATCTGGGTGTGACGGAAATTTGCAAAACTTGATCGTATAACATTCTCCAAATATATTCAGCATCAACTTAGGGCTAACCTACTGTGTTCATGACATGTTTGTTATTGTTCCTGGTTAACGTTCGTTCTGTTAGCTCCAAGCTTCTCTCTTGGTTGAGTTTATCCCTTTTTACATTTCATGCAGAATGCGATGTCACCTTAAACCTTTGTCAAGTTGACTTTCTACTCTTTTTTTCTGATCTTTGCTATTAACCGAGAAGCTCAGCGCTTCTCTAAAATTGGACATTTCTACGTACGCTTCAGTTAAGAGTGCCCTCTTGCTTAGTGAAGGTTGGGCCGGTGGGGAACCATTTTGAATGTAGAGTTTTGGGATTTTCTTTTCCAGATGGGTCATCATTATTCCATTTTGTGTCATCATAGTGTTTAAGCTACATTTATTTGCTTCGGTATTGGATCCTTATGGCATATTGGGCTTGATTAAATAATGGTGTCTGAAGGTCTCAAGGAACATCGATTTGGTGTATGGAGGGGGAAGCATTGGTCTTATGGGTTTAGTTTCTCAAGCAGTTCATGATGGCGGTCGGCATGTCATTGGGTATGATTACTTTTCCCTTTCCTCAGTCCTCACTCTGTTCTACATTTTTCTCTCTTTTTTCTCCCAAAGATGTTGGTAGAAAGGAAGATCAATGAAACAGAGTCAATGATCAACCACACTGTGCTGATGTTGTTGTGTTACTATTTTCCACCATTGACGCTGATTTGTCATTGTATTGTCTCATGCAGAGTTATTCCCAAGACGCTCATGCCTCGAGAGGTATGTCTGCTTCAGCTAAAAGCTTAACGTCTTTTTCCTTCTCATAATAAAGTGTTACGCCTACAAGTGTTTTTTTTATTTATTTCTTTTTGATCAAGGATCAGACCAACTTCGCCCCCTTTTTTAAAATTAATTTCTGATTTTGATTCCATTCCAACTTGCATCATCTTCCTTGTCCCGTGTCTTCTTCACTTTCATCCAGGTCCAGGCAGTCTTCTTTCTTTCGATAATGAAATAGCAGTCTTTATTCTCAAATACAACTGAGCTGAACCGCAGCATCAGCATCTCTCCTTTTTCCTGTTTTATTTCAGCAGTAAATGCATTCAGCTGAGCGGCTTTATGCAGTTTCTTCAGTTTTACTTTGTTGGCCATTAATAGCTTACATCTTCTTGTCGTCTATTTCTTTTTAAATCATTTTCAGTAATAATAAATGGTACAGTATAAAGCTGGACTTAAATAATTGTATGGGATTATTCTACGGTTCCTGCAGGCTGCGATGCTCATCATTACTGAACAGCACAATACTTCAAAACACCTGCCTTCTTTTTTTATCTCTAAATTTGGGTTTACTCTCCTGATTTTATAATTATGTTGCGTATGCTGTGCCTTTTGCAGCTCACTGGCGAAACAGTGGGAGAAGTGAAAGCAGTGGCAGATATGCATCAGCGAAAGGCAGAGATGGCTAGGCACTCGGATGCTTTTATCGCCTTACCAGGTTATACTGCGATTACTCTTTTTGTATTCAAATCCTTTCCCCACTCTTCATCACCCCAAAAAAAAAAGGGGGGGGGGGGAAAATTCCCCTCTTCAACCAAAAGTAGATCCCTTAGAAATGCTTCAAGTTTTCTTAATCTAGTTTGAAGCTCCCCGGCTTCCAGGTACTATACAAGTGAAGGGTGAAACTGTTAACTAAATAGAAACATCCGGCCAAGCCTGTTCGGCTAAAAATAATTGAAAATATTAAATGTAGTGAGATTATAACAGAAGTGACTGGGAAGGGCAGAGCCCAATGCAGCTTTCCTGATTTTCTTTTACATGCCCCGAGGTCATGATTAGAGAGGAACCCCTTCCTTTAACTTGTTACACGGAAAAATTTAGAGCTCTCGAGGCTCTCTGAGCAACTGTGCTTCTCGTTTAAGACCATTTTCCCATCTCCTACCTGCGAAACGTGACGTGATGGTACTGAATTCACCGCCGAGGCTAGGGAACTAAAGGAAAATGACTTTCACAAGATAACCCTTTTAAACTCGTACCTGCACCTGACATTAGAATAATGCTTTCCTGGTTTCAATGACCGGTCAGGGTAGTTCTTATCGTCCTAAGTAATCAGGTGCGTAACGTTTGTGTCAGAAGAAGCACGCAACCCCACATGGCCAAATAACTTGTCACTTGTTCTATAAGGGCGCCCTCGTGTCATTTGAAAATCGACTTCCCAATCCCTGCCCCCCAGTATTGGAAGACTAGACAGGAGGGACGGTGAAAACTGAAAAGACCATATCAATATTAATTAGGACCTCTCTGGTGCTCCAGATATGAACGCTTGTCTGATGAGTGATGATAGCAACAAGAAATACATGTGGCGGTGGCTCGAAGAAAAACCAAATCTAAAACAGAAAATAACTGGTGATACAGAGAGTTCAAACGTGAATCATTTTTCTACTCTTTCATACCTAGCTGATATTATAAGAAGAGTTAATTTGATATCCTTTTTTTCATTTATCACTATGTCATGAATGGCCTACGTTTTTTTATAATAAAATCTGGAAGGAACTCATGGGCTTTCCTTACAGGAGGTTATGGGACTCTTGAGGAGCTTCTTGAAGTCATAACATGGGCTCAGCTTGGGATACATGACAAACCGGTAACTGACTAATCCCGTCTTGTTGGAATCTGTAATTTTGTTCCCATCCGTAGAATTGCCAAACCAAGGTTTGGATTAATTTGTAGGTGGGGTTACTAAATGTTGACGGGTACTACAACTCTCTGCTATCGTTTGTTGATAAAGCTGTGGAAGAGGGATTCATTAATCCAAATGCCCGCCACATAATTGTTTCAGCACCAACACCAAAAGAATTGGTGAAGCAATTGGAGGTAATCGAGTTTATCAAATTAATTGCATGTTCAACCATCTAAGAGTAAATGCAAATTCTTATTCACCAATATTCCGTGACAATATGAATATGTGAGGTAAACATGAAATATAACCAGGGCGTTTAATTCACAGGAATATGTTCCCTGTCACGAAAGTGTTGCTTCCAAGTTGAACTGGCAGATGGAACATGTGAGTTATGCTCAAGAGTATGATATGTCAAGGTAGCTGCATTTTCAAGATATGCAAGGAATGATGAGAGCAGATTGAATTTTGGAAGTGGAAGAAGCTAATTAGGAACATCACTGATATGTTTTCTTTTGTCGTGTAAATTAATGATAATATATTGACCTGATGAGTATGTGAAAGGAAATCGTGTTGTTCCCCTTTTGTGAAACGAAGTTCCTGCTTCAGTTGTAAGTACTAGTAGGGACTTGCGATGTAGCGTTGAATGTCAAGTTTCCAACTAATTTATCCTGTTCAATCAAAGCTGTCCATCTGCCGCTTTAGAACAGCCAGTTACTCTTAACTCTAACAAATCCTCTTGTTAGCCAAAATGAGTGGGAAACAAAAATGCTGAGAATCCCAGGGGATCCTATCTTCCAGCAAATGGTGGGGTCGAGCTCATGCTGATGCTTGATCTTGATTGGCGGGGGATCATGTGACGCTAATGAAAGGCATCAATTATTGGGTATGCCTGCAACAACTGTTATGTGCTAAGATAATTTCCCAAGCACTGGGGCATTGTGTTGTCCGTTGTAATCAACTAGTGTGTGATGATTCCGAAAGCATGATGAGGAATTCGAGGAAGGAAAGGAAACACCTCCTCATCAAAACTGTGATATCATAAGAACGAAGGAACCAGACAGTAACACAGAGGGTGGTGATGAGAAGGAAGGTGAAAACATTATGAGTGGTTGAGGGTGAAATCAGCATCATGGGGGTGACAAGTTAGGCAAACATCCATTAGGACCACAAAGAAATTGTTGGGTATTTGTCGGGCAGGACCACATACGGGGGATGCATTAAGTGTTGGGACCCTAACAGGGACATGGCCGCTAGTGTACGGCTTAATATCAGATTAACGACGCTTTCTGTTAAACTCGGCCTTCGTAACTCGTACGTTTGGGGAGGAAGGAATACGTTTGCCAACGTCAATTCCTGTGTGCTTCCCCTCATCCGGCAATCATCTGTTTAATCTTCAATTCCCTAGTTATGCTAGTTTATGAGTAAATAAATTGATGCTCATTCTGTGTTCAGCCCGGGGTCGCTGGGGAGAGGACTACATTTTCCCTGCTCAGACTATTCCCCCGTCCCCGTTGGGCTTTGTCTGAGGATTTGAGAAGGATACAGCTGAAACTAAATTTTGCTTCACTTGTCACCAAAAATTAATAATTTTTTACTTCTTAACAAGTGTGGATCTTGATTTTATGTTTTGGTTGAAAACGTGTGTGAGCATTGAGGACAGCCCAAGTGACACCCCAATGTTGTTTGAACTTAAATACAAAGATTACGTTTTGATAGGGAGTATTAAAAATAAGGGATAAGGATTGAAATTAGGATTAAAAATATATGTTAAAAGGATGTTTAGTATGAGTGATTTTTTTTCACATAGGATTAGACAGTCCCATATAGATAGGATTGGAAAATACCACCTCCTCTCATAGTATTCTCCAATCCCACATATATGTGCTTATCTAATCCTAAGTATCATACAATTATTCATATTAAACACTCTTTTAATATAGTTTTACACTTTCAATCTCAATTCATATCCCTCATTTTTAATGCTTCGTACCGATCGAGACCAAATAGTTTTGAGATGAGGCAAGACCTGGAAGACCTTTTCCCCCCAGATTTTGGGGCCTTCAGTTGAATTTTAATTAAAAAAGTTTGACAATTAAATAATGATATAATATTATTGAGAGTAAGCTATAGATTTTTCACAAACAAAAGTCTTTAATTCAGTGACATTATATCACATTTTAATAGTTAATGTTCCTTTAATAAGGGAATCCAAATATGTGATGCATGGACAGAATAATAAATTCACAGAAACAGAATAAAGAAGGCATAGAATGCGTAACATGAGCCACAGAATTCATACGACCTATGAATGATAAAATAATAAAGAGAAGTCACATTGTTTTACCATTTATATATACATACATGCCATCTTGGAGATCCTTGGACTTATAGATTTGGAAATACTACCTGTTTTAATTATAAGACTTTATTTATAATTACAAACGAGGTTTTATAATTCGAACCAGAAATAGTATTTGAGCAGTAAAATTGTAAGTGATGACATGTAGTGTCCGATCCTTTGAAAGAAAGAGCGGATGTGTAAGAAAGCAACATCTAAAACACTCGGGGAGCAAAACAAAACAATTTTATACATAGCATGCAAATTTCTAAGCTTACGATGCAAGTTGGGAGGCACGTGAGCCTAGGGGTATAATAACGCTTCACGTGCCCTAACTCTGTAAGACTACGCAGTTATCGTTTTTGGTTCTTTTAAGAAAAATCATAGTAAATAATTTTTAATTCGAAATGATTCATTTTTTAGAGCGCTGGGAGAAGGAGTAGGATAGGAGGCGTGAGGATGGGCATGGAGGGCACGTGAAACTTTTGCCAATGAAGAGATAGCGTCACATTGGTTTATAAGAGCACGGCAAGGGCACCCACGACACGCCGCCCCTCATTAAGCTTGAAATGAAACTATGTACTTAATTGTCGTTTAATGATTATAGTGCTTCCTCGTGATATAGAAGTTAATTTAATATTTAATTTAATTCCAAATATAACAACTTAATTTATTTTGTCTCTTATATGCTATGTCTGATCCTAATTATAAGATTTTATTTGTAATCTCCAAACGATGTCTTATAATTAGAAATGAAGGTAATATGTTTTTCAATGTAATTCTTATACTAGTTATACATATTAAAAATTTCATCAAATAATAGTTCTAACTAAAACATATGATTAGTAATATTATTTTTGGAAAAACAATACCTATTTATTACAAATAACTAACTCAACTAATTTTCTCAATCAAATCAAATTAGTCAACTAACTTTTATAAGATCTAGTTAACTTAGTTGAAAAGATTAAGTAAGTTACTAAATTATATAACTATAACATCTATTATATGATTTTTTTTTTTAAATACTTGTGTATCATTAGATCATATCACTCTATTTTATTTATAAATCACTTATACCCCAACCCTATAAACCAACAAATACATTAAATTGATTTTTTTTTTCACTTTTGGCCCTTATTCAAGGAAGGGTATCAGAAAAAATATATTTTATATTTTTTGTTACTTACTCAAGTCAACAGGATAAAATTAAAAAAAACTCATTAATTATTCTATAAGTTATTTATATTCAAGAATAAACAAATGACTTATAAATAACAATAAATATAAATATTTTAAAATAATTTAATAATCTTTTTAATCTTTTAAATTAGTTAATTGAGTTTTATATTAAAAAACACAACGGTGTATTAAATGGAAAGCAGAAAATGAGATGTATTACTCCCTCCGTTTCTTATTATAAGAGACATTTGATGCTCATGGTATGTTCCTATCTATAAGAGACAATTAAAAGTTGTCTCTATTTTTTTGTGTTGATTTCCTATTTTACCCATATTTATTGTCTCTAACTCACACACTCTCTCTTTCCCATTTCTCTTTCTTTTAAGAGTTTACCATTGCTCTCTCTCCTTATTAATAAGGGCATTTTTGAAAAAAAATTATACTTTTTACATATTAATTGTTCTTAACTAATTTTAACTGTTTTTTTATCAACATAATTAGGTTATTTGTCTCTTACAATAAAAAACGGAAGGAGTACAGTACTAGGGTGGAATGCGACGCAGGGATGAGGGGAGCACGGGGTGTACTAAGAGTTAGTTGGAAGTTATGGGCGAGAGAATAGGTAAAAGAGGGGCCCACTTCATACAAAGTAACATGAACAGTCGCATTAGATAAGGATGTCTGGCGACGAGCTGCGCATGTTTGATTGACGGCCTTCGTTGGTGCCCAGGATGAGTCATGCTTGCCTCGCTGAATTTTACTTCTTCCTTTGTTTTTTTTTGGGTGGTTGGGCTGGCAAAAACATGTTCAGGGTTTAGGGGGAGCCCCCCTTGACGTGGAGCGTGTAATCACTCATTACTCGCTCAGAGACTGCCAGTTTCATCCATGTTGCGTTAAATCCGCCCTTTCATATTACCCCTCCATTTTATCATTCTCGATTCTTTTGCTCCTTCGTTTTTCATCCATATCTTTTTTTTTTCAACATCTTTTTGAATTTAGAGCATGATTTCCCAGTAATATATCCAACTGAATCGATTTTTTAACTCTATTTTTTCTCTTTAAGTTACCGATCGAGATATTTTAGGTCTTCATACTTGGATGTCAATCCCTAAATCTGCTCCACTTGGGCAGGGCTGCTTTTGCTTAATCCCTTGTCCATTATGACCTAATGTTGGGTGTGAAGTGTTATAAATTCATTTTAAAAAAATAAACAAAAATGTGCAACGATAAAATTTTTGTGAATATCATTGGATTATAATTTAATGATGATTAATAACGCTCGTTGGTTGTTCAATTAAAAGCATCTAAATTTATACTGGTGAGTGAATATAGGCTGTGGCATTGGCAAATTTCTTTCTTTCTTTTCTTTAAAAAAAGGAAGCGTCTTTTTAAATTTTAAGTATTTGTTAACAGCTTCCATGAATATCTACGCTGTTTTGCTGAATCCCGGGGGGGACCCGCGTTTTTATCTGTTTCTAATTCGAGCAAAACGGAAAGAATCCCACTCAGGAAGGGTTTAGTTGACCCGTAAAAAACCAAAAAAAAAAAAGAAGAAGGAAGGAGCAGACTATTAAGCTGGCTCTCTCTTAAACTTCGACTAAGTTAAATTATCGATGACTCTCCCAACTCCCTTAGAAAAATATATTTACTCTCATAAAATATATATGTTCTGAAAAAAAATTCTCATACTAAATTAAAATGTGCCAACATTCCCTCTATTCCTTCTATTTAACATAAAATACATGGAGCTCCGTTTTATTTTGAAATCATATATAAACTTTTATTAAAATCAAAACATGTAAAACCTCGTTTTTTATTTTTGACCAAAATGTCTTTCCTAACATATATATATATATATGTATATGTATATTACTTAAGAGTCATTTAATTAAACACCCATATTTGTCCAAAACCAATTTTAATATATATATATCTCAACTATTTTTTATATTATTAAATTGATTTATCATGATAATACTACAAATTTAATTAATTTTATAATTCCAAATTTTTATTTCCACACTAGCTAAAACATCCTTCAAGAGCGCGCGCACGTATATGTTGTAAACGATTTTTCTCTCGTTTTTTGTCCTATTATCAAAAGATAAATTAATATTTTAGTTCGGTGATGAGTAAATTAGTAAATAATTTATATAGGTTGGAAAAAAATATAAATTTAAAGTCTTCTTAAAATATATTTCACGGTATTAATAGTTCCGACTAAAAATGATTTTCTTTGTTAAAAGAATACAGTGAAGTAATAAAAAACAGTTTGGGAAAATAATCTTCTTAGTGAAGAGGGAATATTGGGAAATGTTTACGTAATTTTGTTGGGAAAATAATCAGGAAAGTAAGCGATAATTTCAGAGGGAAGGAAAAAAGAAAAGGAAAGATCATAATTTAATGTGGAAAAAGAAAATGGGGAGGGGGGCACAGAAAAGGAAAGAAAGCGTTGCAGTCGGCAACATGAGTTCGTGTTAAGTAATTACAACTCACTACGACCACAACCATGCCAAGTAGCTGTTCAAGAATGGTCCATTTGTTTGCGTTTTGTGGTGTTTTTGGACTCTAGCTGCGTTGCCCTGTAATTGTGAGCGCGTGTGTGTCTCTAGCTTGCCTTTTTATCTCCTGCTTCTCTGTTGCAGATGGACTTCGTCTCTTGCTTTAATATCTTCCTACGCGAAAATTCAGTGACCCCCATTTTTAATTTTTCCACTTCTTCTTCTGAATTTTTTGGGGAATTACCAACAGATATTATTGTGGAGTCAGTTACGGCTTTTGTTTTATTTCTTGTTCCATCTTCTTTACTTCTCTGTCCTTCTCTCCTCCTCTCCCTACTCTGTTCTTTCATCTCTTCTGATTTTTCTTTTCAACCCTGTCAGTCCATTCCAATCTTCTATGTCCCACCCCCGCCTTCCATTCTGCACTCTTAGTTCTGTTCAGTATAATTGCGCTGTTCTTGCTTGAATGAGAATCATACCAGATTTCAGAATCTGGTGGGAGCAATTTTTCCACTGAAGACGCCTTCAAGCCTTCGGAGTTCTCGGGTGTTGAGGATGCGGACGTATTGATTGAGAGCCAAAAATAAGAAGCTTTCGAATTCGGAAGGAATTGTTTCGTCGCTCGTCAGGCCAATTCGGAATCACAGCAACCGAGACCATCGACCTGGGATTATGTTGTTCGGTGGAAAGATCTCTTACTAAACGACTTGGAATTATTTTCTGAATTTTCTCTGATTCTCTGTGGACAAGTGGCACCGATCCTAAATCCACCTTTGCTGTGGTCCTGTATGCTTTCCCAGGTTAGAAATTCACCCATAAAATTCACTCTACAAGCTTTTTAACTCTCCTCAATTGAGGAAATTCACCAGGCGGCAGAAATTTTGCAGTGAAACGACAATTTTGAACTGCTATACTCTATTCTTCTGAGAGATGATTACATTCCTGGATGTGAAGGAGAAATTGAAAGAAGAGGACAAATGTTTGGATAGTCAACTGTGGCATGCTTGCGCCGGCGCGATGGTACAAATGCCGCCGTTGAACTCCAAGGTGTTTTACTTCCCTCAGGGTCACGCCGAGCATGCAAGTGGGCCCGTGGATTTCAAGAAATGCCGGAGGTTTCCTCTACCACCTTACATTGTATGCAGAGTCGAGTCTGTTAAATACATGGCTGATCCCGAGACAGATGAGGTATACGCAAAACTTAGGCTTCTTCCATTGAATGGGAAGGAGGCTGATTATGATGACGACAACGTTGTTGGAGGAGGCACCGATGGATCTGAAGCTCAAGACAAACTTGCCTCGTTCGCAAAAACTTTGACTCAGTCGGACGCCAACAATGGCGGTGGTTTTTCTGTTCCTAGATACTGTGCAGAGACAATTTTCCCGCGTCTGGACTTTTCTGCGGATCCACCCCTTCAATATATTGAGGCTAAAGATGTTCATGGGGAATCGTGGAAGTTCAAGCACATTTACAGAGGCACACCGAGGCGGCATCTCTTGACCACAGGATGGAGTCCGTTTGTGAACAAGAAAAGGCTTGTTGCCGGGGATTCAATAGTATTTCTAAGAGGACAAGATGGAGATCTCTATGTAGGGATTCGACGAGCTAAAAAAGGAAATGGTCGTCGATTTGAGTCCTCATCAGTGTGGAATTCAGAGGGTGAAAATTGTCCTCTACCTTACGAAGGATTGTCGGCATTCTTGAAGGGAGATGACGGCAAAAAACTGGCGATCAATAATGGTACTGGCAATGGAATGATTGGCACGAGAGGGAATGTTGTGGCCGGTGGGAAAGTGAAAGCCGAAGCAGTTATTGAAGCTGCGACTCTCGCTGCTAATGGACAACCCTTTGAGGTTGTGTACTACCCTAGAGCAAGCACTCCCGAGTTCTGTGTAAAGGCCTCTTCAGTTAAAACAGCCCTTCAAATCAGGTGGTGTTCTGGAATGAGGTTCAAGATGGCTTTTGAGACAGAGGATTCTTCTCGCATAAGTTGGTTCATGGGAACTATATCTTCGGTGCAGGTCGCTGATCCTCTGTTCTGGCCAGATTCACCTTGGAGGCTTCTCGAGGTAACATAAAGATTCACTGAACTTTAATATCTCTCTTCATGCTTAACTAACAGTATGGTACTTCACAGTGATTATTGTGCTGAAATAGTCATATTAATGTGCAGGTTACATGGGATGAACCGGATTTACTTCAAAATGTGAAACGGGTGAGCCCGTGGTTGGTTGAATTGGTATCCAACATGCCTGCAATCCCTCCACCTTTCTCGCCACCACGGAAGAAAATGAGGTTGCCTCATCATCCAGATGTTCCGCTTAATACTCAGATTTACGTGCCCACGTTTGGTAGCAATCTCTTAGGTCCCATGAACAATCCCTTTGGGTATCATCTACCTGAAACCACTCCTGCTGGCATGCAGGGAGCCAGGCATGCTTATTATGGTCTACCCTTACCAGATCTCCACCTCAGTAAGTTGCAGTCATCGCCTCTGTATTTGACTTGTTTTCCACCACTTGGCCAAGCTTCTATGCAAACCAGGGTCTGTTATAACTCACCAATGCAGAAGCATGGCGTGAGTGAGAATGTCTCCCACTTGATTTCCAATGAAAATTCTGCCCACTCTTTGAAGGAAGAGGATGATAATAAGGCACCCCACCTTGTGCTTTTTGGGAAAAAAATTCTTCCTGAGAAGAAGATCCCCACGAGCTGCTCTCGTGACGGATTCTCCCAAGTCCTCACTCGTAATAGTTCATTATATGGAAATGCTCATAACGGGGCCAATTTTTCTGATGGTAAGCGCCGGGAATCTGATCAGACTAATTTGGACGGGGGTCACTGTTAGGTGGTTGTTTTAAGATTCAGAACATTTAGGTCGGACTGCGAACCAACCTCTCGTGGCTGGGATTTTAAGATGAACTTAATAGGGAGCTGACATGTTGGAAATTTTTTATCTGATAATATGCTGAACCTTGTCCTTTGCCAAGATATTAAGAGTGCCGTCAAACACATTGAAGATGAATGATGCAGTCAGGGATTTATTGTACGACTCGTAGGATTTAATTTTGTAAGTCGCCTCAGAGTCTAACTTGAACGTGTCAATTGCTTTTGCAGCAACTTTATGTATAAAAACGGCTAGGAGGTCGACGATTTTGATAGACTCGAGCAGTGACAGTGTAGGAGGAATAAGAACATGAATCATTATTTTCAATGTGTAAAGCGGTTGATCAAATCCTTTATTTTATTATGAACCTGCGGTCACTTTTGAAGCGAGGGAAAGAGACGATCTCGTCTAATTCAAGGAGGTTTACCTCTTCGGGATTTGTGTCTCTCTTCGTTCCCAAAGAGGGAATCAGGAGTTTAGAATTTTATGTTATGATGGCAGCTCTTTTTACATTATTACTTTTCTCGTTGGATTCTATTTTAACATTGAATGGCTGATTTGAATTTATTTTTGAAAGCATCTGAAACAAAAGACAAGAGCATCTTCCTCGCGCTTCGATGTGGTCATCTAAGATTGTGTCCTTGTTTTTCTTGCCTTCCCCTGCGATATAAGTCAGGGCCGCGTAGGTATCTACCAAGTCCCGAATGCGCAGTCTCGCAGAGGAGCCATGAAATGTGAACAAGCTTCCAAGACAGAGACAAACTAAGAGAAACAAACGTTGGTGGACGTTTCGTGTATGTAGAAGCAGTTGGATTAGATGTGTTGACTTTGTTGAAGACAATAATTCAATGCTTGAGGCGAAAAGCTAGAGAGAAAAATAAGGATGGCAGTTAGGACTCCAATCAGGGGGTGGGAACATGGGGGGTATTGACTAAATCAACAGGTGACGAGGATGGATGGGATGGGAGAGGGATTGGTTAAGGATCAGATGTTGTCACAGGGCAACAGGAGTGGAAGCAAGTAAGAGGGTGCCACATATGGAGGACAATCAGAACAAGCAATTTCGTCGTCCAAGCACAAACAGGAAATTCAGCTAAGTCAATCAATCCAACATGGAAGGACATGTCAGATGTCACGTCCTGGGGCCGCCAAGCGTGCGGGGAATTAATTATGCTTGTTAATCAATGGTTGATTTTTATCTATCACTCCCTATAAATCACTTATATTGTATTTAATGTCTTATTTTCAAATTTACTCCTATTCATTTTTCACTTAAAAGAACGGGAAAAAAAGAGAGAGGTATAAGAATGATTTCTAAATATAGAGAGATGTGGTATATAGATACACTTTTAAAGTTTTATCAGTTTAATAGTATTTTTTATTCGAAATATAAAAATTAATTTGTAATGTAATTTATAGCATAAACTATTTTTTTATTTAGAAACCAAAGATAATGCGTATTTTTTGATTTCTCAAAACCCATTACTACTTCAATCCTTAATATAAATCTTATTCAACTTTCATTTTGATATTAAATATAAGATATTAGCTCCTTTGGTCTCTTACATTTATTTATTTATTTTAAGATTAATCCTTACAATAATAGTAATAGTAATAGTTTGAAGGCTTAACATGGAGATTGGGATTGGAGCCAATACTCTGTTCTATCCTAAATATAAGACCCATTTTGTAGTGTAAATTACATTACAAGATGGGTTATTTACACTACAAAATGGTCGACTTGTATTTAAGACCAGAGGAGTATCATATTAAGGATGTATTTTGAAGGGCTAAGCACGGAGATTGGGAAGGACAAAAGTCAATAAACAGATACTCTTCCGATCCTTAATATAACACCCAGTTAACTATTTTGATTAGATTAGGGAAGTTAGATAAACTAGTTAATTATAAAAAAAAATATAACATGTTTTTCTCAGAACAATACAATCATCTTTTTTAATATCATTTCTTTTTTTATTTGATTATAGTTGAAGGAGTCTTCATAGGAATAATTTAACAAAATTGATATATGTGATAAATATTTATTATATTTAAGACCAAAATTAACTCAATAACTAAGCTCTATATTAATTATATTAAGGATTGGAGGCGCATTTGTCAACACACAAAAAACGATGGTTAGACCGCACGTGAGGGGGTGGGGTCGTGTACCGTTGGGTCAACCTCACGATTGGTTCACGTGTGGGTTGATCAGCCACGCATTGCGGCGGACAGGCTGTTTTTTTTGTGATCGGGTTTCTGGAACACGGACCGCATGAAGTGACCACGCCGCTTCTCTCCCTGAATGACGTTTTCTTCTATCTCTTGGAGTTCGATTTCCGCCCTGAGAACAATTATTTCCTTTTCCAGTGGGAATTAGGGAGGCATGTTCAGATTTGTCATTTCGAGCGGCAAAATACGTGGGAAACGTAGAAGATCGCGGTGTTTCTACGGAGAAGAAGAAAGAGTAGTTCTTTGGAAGCGCAGAGGGTAGTAGTTTCCTGGGACGAGACATCTGGATTTGATTTTGGTTTGTGTGGGCTTGCGTGGATAGAAAACCGGAAGGATGCTAATGACGTGAAGAAACGAAAAAGGGCCACGAAACGAATGATGATTGGTGGGACTTGAAAAGGGGGGGGCCCGCGCTACTTCCATTGCATGATGATTTGACCTTCTTTAGTTTGCGCTTGCCACCACCTCTCTCTATTCCAGTATTAATTTGACCTTCTTTTTATTTTTCCCTGTGGATTGGATGTTTACTTGTTGTTGTTGCCATTAGGCAGTTCTCGTTGCTGCCCCCACGCCCTACCCTTAAGAGTAGCTCATACCAATCGCATCAATCATAAATGACTAGGGGCGTTATTTATTTTTGTTGGTAAACCTGCATTTACTTTCTTCCTCTTCTTAACCCCACCATCTCTCTCCACCTACTGATTATCATTTTCCTACTGCTCTACCCGCCTATACATGGCCTCAAAATATACTCTTCTGGTCCTATTTATAGGGTAGAGAGATAAAATATTTTTTGATCCTATTTATAAGGCACTGAGAGAAATTTTTTTTATATAGATATATAATTTTACCCTTCATTTATTATTATATTGATTTCGTTTATATGAAATATAATGTATGTTAAATAGGGATAAAGTTGAAAAGTTGTTCAATTTTAAATGAGAGTTAATCAAGTTTAAGGTTTTTTCTGGTCTGTGTGAAATATACTGAAAGTGACTTATAAATAGGTCCCTAGTATCTGAATAACGTAAACTTGAATTGATTTTCCTTCCCTTCCTACTGCGCCGTCCGCTGTTACTTGTTGGATGATTATGGAGTTTGGGCTTCAAAATTGCCTATGAGACCCACTCCATCATTATAAGCCCATAAATAAGAACCTTGAAACGAAATAAAAACATTTTAGTTAAAAAATGAGAAGGCTTTATGTTGTGGGTGAGCCCAGAGGGTGGAAACGAACAATTACAGGCCAGGCCTTGATTCCCGAGCGGTAGTGAGAATAAAATTGAAAAAGAAAGGACAGGAGGCAATTCGTGAGAGAGGGGAAGCATCTAGTGCCGACCTCTGATGTAGGAGCCTACATTGCCTATAACCCATTATTTAGATTTAAGCACACCACATCTGATTCTGTTGGTCGACCTCCACGTTCAGTTATATTCTCCCGCGTTCACCACACTTCCTCTTCCCTTTGTTACATAACAATTCCATTTACGTGGATGCTTCGTGCAGCAACAAGCCAGCATGCAAACCCAAACAAAACCGTGGGAACAAATCAGGCCGCTCCGCCCCTTGTTTCCTGATCCTTGACTTGTCAATGTTGTCCTCGCGTCAATGTTTCCCCATTATAAATTATAATATCCCATCCTTTATCTCTCCTCTTTCTCAACCTTTTTTTTATAAATAATATCCATATGCCATTCATGAGCTTTAAAGTCTTGCAGACCACGATTTCAGCTGCTCGGAAGCCATAGTTCTGTTTATTGACGAATAATCCAACACAGTGCAGATAGGATAAAAAATGAGAAAAAAGAAAGAAGGAAGGAAAAAGGCGAAAGCCGGGCCTGTTCCAACTATTTCATGAATTTTACTCACAGACATGTGTTGTAAGCCTGGCAGTGCCTTTCTCACCAGCGGTGTTACGTTAACCATCATGCCCATCCACTCCACCCCCATGTCTTTGTTTCTCATTAATATCCTCCCCGGCCCCTACTTCTTCATCGCTTACCACTGATTGGAATTGCCATCAAATCTCTCTCCCCCTCTCTCCCTCTCTATTCGTTTCATAATTTTTCATCACTGTCAAGCCAAAGAAACGAAGGGATAGGGATCGGACTCGAATTAAACATTAAATACTATTTAATTTGATAAACTGATTATAACAGCATACGATCTGGGCAGTCCTTATTGTAAAACTCTGGACAGCCATGCACCCAAAATTACGGAGGCTCCTCTCCTCAACAACGAGGGGGAAAAGAAAAGATCGCACGGCTACTCAATCAGAAGAACAGAAGAAAAATAAGAGGGTTTAAGCAGAACCTAAGGATATGGGATATAGGAAACAGAGGTAGCTAGCTAAGTAAGGTAACAGCCAAAACTCATGGAATAGAATCCGTGTATGTACGTTACTACTACGATCTAATGACTCTGATATGTCTTTAGATTTCCCTAATCTTCAAAACCAACTTTCTTCCAAATGGCATTTCTGACGCTGCGCAAGTCCCTGCCTTTGAGAGTCCTCCCAATCCCTTCTTGCACGGAGAAGGAAGCCCCTCTGGTCCTCGCTAGATACTCGTGCGGCGGTATTCTGATCTCTCCGCGGTCCTCAGCTTCATCGTCATTCTCTACACTCTCCCTCTCGCGATTGCCCTTTAAAATCTTGGGCCGGTCAGGTATGTTGACGGGCAACGACCCAGACGTCGCCGGTGATCTTCGCCTGCCACCTGCATCAACCTCCCTGCTGGCCTCTCTTACAGGGCTGGCGTTACTTGACGAGTTCCATAACTCAGCTTCATCGAATTCCGAAACGGCCTCTGTGGAATCTGGATGAAAATGGGTGTTCGAGGTGGTTGCAAAAATAGAACCTGGTTTCACGAGGAAGGCCTTCCTTGACGCCATCGATCAGCAGCTATATGGGCAACCCCTCCCCCTCTCCCTCCCTCGCTCTCTACTTCTCTTCTTTCCTTCTTAGTTTGGCCCCTGTATCGATTTTGCTATTTTGTTATGTTTTGGAATGGATAAAAGCTAGAGGGCATATACTTACATACCAATCGTGTTATTTTATATCGGCGTCGGTGTTGATAATGGGACGAGGTAGGATAGACAGAGGTTAGTTAGTTACACTGCTCGCAGGGGTTACTTTCCGTTTCTAGCCCACTACTGTCAGGGTTCTTTGAAATTAATAAGCGACTAGATTATTTTTATTGACCAGGAATTTATGGAAACGTGTTATTCTCGATGTCTGTGTCTCTCTTACATTATCAGGGTTGAGAAAGAGAGGCGGCTCATTTACTTAATTGAGCTTTTACGTAAGGATTGAATATCAATTATGCAATCTCCAGTAGTTTTAAAACTCGTCACCTGCAAAGATGTTACTCTACAGAACTTGTGCTCACACAATGTTAATGAAGGTACAGGATTTACGCGTGGGATGAGTTTTATTTCGTAAAACATGAACATAATTTTTCAAAGTAATGCCAAACACTCACTGAGTCAACCCACATCAAAACACAATACATGTATTATGAGTAAGTGTCTGGATTTAAATACCACAACCACAACAGTGAGCTCCGTGGGACCGTATTGAAACCTGTGTACTGTTTTAGCCCCCGCAGCCAAAAAAAAAAAAAAAAAATACACTGACAATTCAGTTACCTTGTGCAGGTATCTCACAATTTGGGGCCAAAATCTTCTAGCTCACCCCTCGTAACCTTATTGAAATTACGCTGCCTCCTCTTTTTAATATAAAAACTAAATAATTAATTTATAAATATTAAACAAACTAGTTAAGTTAATTATTTATAATATATTGATATTGTGTTTTTTAAAATATTCTTATGAATCATCCGCACACTATCTATCTCTTGATGAAGATCTCTTAATATAGGGGAGGTAGCATTTTAGTACTACCATTTGAGAGTTCGAAAAGGAAATTTAATTCTTTTTTCATGTGTCGAAAATTTACCGAGAACAGCGGCCATAAAATACAGCTGGCCCCGCATGCCAAAGAAGGGGTTGGACCTTCAGCCTGATCATTGGCCCTATCAATGAAGCCCACTATGAGAGACGGAGCCCAGGGACATTTTGGTGACCTTGATTCTGCCAGTAAAACCCATCTTTATAATCCAAAACGATGCCATCCGTTCCTTTCCCTTGCCTAAACCCGCACTACACTTTCAAAACCCTAGTTTATCCAAAACTGCTGTCGACTTCGCCGCTGCCGCCACAGAAATGCCGCCAAAGTTCGATCCTTCCCAGGTCGTGGACGTCTATGTCCGAGTGACGGGTGGTGAAGTGGGTGCAGCGAGTTCGCTGGCACCGAAGATCGGTCCGCTGGGTCTCTCCCCGAAGAAGATCGGTGAAGACATCGCCAAGGAGACCGCAAAAGATTGGAAGGGTTTGCGGGTCACCGTGAAGCTAACCGTTCAGAACCGGCAAGCCAAGGTGGCGGTGGTGCCGTCCGCCGCTGCGCTGGTTATAAAGGCCCTGAAGGAGCCCGAAAGGGACCGTAAGAAAACAAAGAACATCAAGCACAACGGTAACATCTCACTCGACGACGTCATTGAGATTGCCAAAATTATGCGGCCCAGGTCCATGGCCAAGGATTTGAGCGGAACCGTTAAGGAGATTCTTGGAACTTGTGTTTCTGTTGGATGTACTGTGGACGGCAAGGACCCTAAGGATCTGCAGCAAGAGATAACTGATGGAGACGTTGAAGTCCCTCTCGAATGATCCAATTCCAGTAATTTCACTTGAGCTTATGCTTTCTGGGCACTCATATTCCTTTTCTGAGAAGAAAATTTCACGTTTTCCTGAATATATTCCTGGATTTTTTTTTCTGTTTCTTGATCATCCTCTTTCCAGGGGTAAAAGACGAAAAAAATGCAATGCTGGTGAAGGAAAGGATGTAACATTTTAGTACCGAAAGCTTTATTTGTGGTGTTGAGGTTCTTTTTTAGTTGATGGTGTTGCATTATGGTGGAGAAATCCCCAGCTTTGCCAGTTCATTCTTTCATTCCAGTTCCAAAACGGAACGTGCGGTACTTGGAAATTTGGCCTTGCATCAGGGTTTACGAATTTTTTTTTCCCTAGTAAACTACCAAAAACAGTTTTTGATCATACATTGTTGATGGTTCGAATGTGTCATCTCACACCCACAAAAAATGTTAATTTAGATGAGAGACTATGTTTTATGATGACAGCACCATTAGTTCCCATCTGTATGGAGGCCCCTCCCACCCTCCCTGATAGGCTGATTGAAACCATATTCATCTCTTTTGGACGCTATGGCTGAAAATGCAAGTCAATGATTATACCTCTGTTACAGATTTCTGAGCCATTTTGCTTGATGCTCGGAATAATCTAGTTTACAATAACCACCTTGCGATGTGAATGTGAACTAGCAGCTGGCTAACACATTTCTAGAGATGAACAAAATGGGATTTCTTAACCTATGTTAATTATAGTTCGGGCATCATGAGTATTTGGTTGAACAAAATGGGATTTAAGGAATGAGATAAAACAAGGATGGAAATTACTAAATTAGAGCTTCATATTTATTCGTTTTTAGAGGAACTTTTTCATTGTGTTGTGTGCTCGTGACTATACCCATTACCCAATCTCTTCCGGTATTCCTAGAAATCTTCCCATCCCGTCGCCCTTTTATTTACTTTTTACTCCTGTCTTGTGCTTCTGGCGAGCTTCTTCGCTCAAATGGTTCGCCACTCGCTCCCTTTTGTGCAGCGTGGGGCACCTTGGTTATCTATAAAAGATAAAGAAAACAATACACCCGCATCGTCCAGTTAATTCAGAACTTTGAAATGCTATTTTATCTTAACAAGTTGTAAAAAATGCTATCCGGTCCTTAATATAATATAAGATTTTATTTGATTTGTTTTATCATAAATATAAAATCCTAATTTATTTTGTCTATTATATTTATCTATTTTTTTTTTTAAGATAATCCTTCTAATCGTGATTGTTTTGACAAGTAAATTTAATTAGTAAGGATATTTTAGAAAAAATAACATATATTTATTACAAATAACTGATTTAATTTTTTTTTAATCTACTCAAATTAGTCAGCTACTTTTTATATTTAGAACTGAAGGTAATATTCTTCCGGTCCTTAATATAAGATTCATTTAACTAATTTGATTAGATTAAGGAAGTTAGGTAAGTTAGTTAATTATAAGAAAAGTGACACATTTTTTCCAAAATACCATAATCATCATTCTTAATACCTCCTCTCCTTCTCCTTCTTCTACTTGACTATGGGTGAGAGAGTATCTATAAGGGTAATTTAGAGAAAATTGATAAATATGAGGAATGGGTCTTATATTTAGGACCAAAACCAACTCAAGAATTGGGTCTTATATTAAGGACCGGAGGAGTATCATTTATCTCAAGTTCCATGGAGTATAAGGCTCAATTTAATTTTCAAACTAAATATAATGAATATAAGAAGTCTCGTTGTTCAAAAATCATTGACATTTTATGCGTTAAAAAAATTATACAATCAGTTCAAAGTTTTTAAATTATGTTTATCTTCCATATTGGGAAATATATCCAATTTATAACGAGGTGATCGCAAACCCAAAGCACCCAGTGGATTTTGAGGAATATTTGGATAAAATCAAAATTATGGTTTTAAAAGTATTTTTACAGTATACAAAATAAATATATGTAAGAGTTTATCTCGATTTATGAAAAAACTTTTTAAAAAACACTTTTATGATTGCCGAACACCCTGAAAAAAATCAAGTGTGAAGCTTGAGTCACGTCCAGAAGGAAACTAGGAGTGGCGTATTTGGATTTGTAAAGGATCTTGCCTTTTGTGTTTTACAGCACGCTGGCAAGAATTAAAGCTGAGATTGGAGGCGAGCTATACTTTTATTGTTTTACTTGAATGCTGTTATGATGGGGAAAAAATATACTGTTATTGATGTAATGAATACAAATTCCCGACTAATTTTTTTCATACAATTTCCGACTAAATTTAGTACTATACATTAATACATATGCATGTGCGAGGATAAGGGGGTGTAAGCCTGTTCTATTCTAAGCCTTCCGCATTGATATGGGAACGTAAGAGTAATATATGGAAAAAGCAACGCACATAAACAGAGTTTCCCCAAAAAGAGTACAAGCAGTGAGAAGCTAATCACCTTTTTTTCTTGCATGGCGTATTTATTATCTTTATAACGATTTCTTGGGCGGCCAGGTGCGTGAGGGGATTATTGTATATAAATTTTCCTTATAATAAAATTTAAAAGCATATTAAGATAGTTAGGGTAGGCTTATTAGCCCAAAATGACTTGCTTCACACTTAAATATTCCTCCGGTTCTTAATATAAGACTCATTTAATTAATTTGATTAGATTAAGGAAGTTAGGTAAGTTAGTTAATTACTCCTCCGGTCCTTATTATAAGACCCAATTTGACTTTTTATTTGGTCCTAATTATAAGACCCAATCCATTTTGTCTCTTATATTTATGCATTTTTTTCCAAGATAATCCTTCTAATAATGATAGTTTTAGCCAATATACTTAATTAGCAAGGATATTTTAGGAATGACAACACTTATTTATTATAAATAACCAACTTAACTTACTTCCTTAATCTCCTCAAATAAGTCGATTGGGTCTTATAATTAGGACCGGAGGAGTATAAGAAAAATGACACATTTTTCTTAAAACACCATAATCATTTTTCTTAATACTCCCTATCTCTCTTCTACTTGATTATGGTTGAGGAAGTATCCATAGGGGTAATTTAGACAAAATTGATAAATATGAAAAATGGGTCTTATATTTAGAACCAAAACCAACTCAAGAATTGGGTTCTATATTAAGGACTAGAGGAGTACTACTCCTGATTCTTAATATAAGATTTAATTTAAATTATAAATTAGATTTTATATTAAAAATTGAAAGTAATATTTTTTTTGACCAGCAAAAATTGAAAGTAATATTAATTAGCATGAGTCCCAGTTATTATATAACATGAAAAATTGGCAATAACATTACGCGTAATGAATGTGACTTGTTATTCTTGGCAAAAAAAAAAAAAAACAGAGACCTGCATAATAATGTTCATTAAAAAAAAAAAAACTTCGGAGTAGTCTCTTTCTTGAGTTGAAAATAGATCAATGAGGTGTTGGCCCAGTTCTTGATAGACAGTAGTCAGCGAGTTTCCTCGATCTTTCTTCTGTCTTCTGCTTTGTCCGAATCAAGTCACTAACCAAATCACCATAGGTAAATTCGGATCTCTCGATTCTGTGTTCCGGTTACTTCTTTAGACCTTGTACTTTCCCCTCTATCTATCAGATCTGAGATTTCTACGGGGTTGTAACTGTCACTTGATTTTATCTTGTATCTTCCAGATTTGCGTAAATTTCGACTTTCTATGCTTTTGTCTCATAGATAACTCTGTGATGTAGTTATTTATTGACTTCCTTTTGATCCATTGTCTGCTCTCTGCCCGGTTTATCGGAGATTTGTTGAGTTGTACCGAAAACTAGTTTTGATCCCTCCTTTCCATCATTTTTTCGACCTCCTTTCCATCATTTTTTCGACCTCACTGCTTTCCCAGAATAAAAATCTCAGGGTATTTTTACGACTCGTAGAGAGGCTAATCTTTTATCACATTAGGAGTCAAATTGGATATTTTTTGTTCAATCAGGGTAATTAGACTTGCTTTCAAGAATTCCCCCGGTTTTGCGTAACGGCTTGCGGCCAAAAATCGAGGATAAAGAAAACATCAAGCCCAGAAACTTATGGGATCTCCCACTTAAATAACATGCTATTACCGGGAAGCGTCCTTGTTATTTTAGTACTAGAAGTTATACTCATTTTTCCCCCCTCTTTGATTAGTGCCATCATCTGAGCGCATAATCTTTTTATGTATTATCGAACTTGTCTGATTGTTATGAATACTATTGCTTATTACTGGCATATAATTAATTGGGTTGAATGAAAGCTGATCACGTCTACATATTTGGTCTGATTCTTGATCTTTTTTTCTTTGTCCCCCCCCCCCGGTTGCCTAGCGGATCTGCCTCTTTTTAACTGCTGGATTTCTATTTTGCCTTTAGCACTTAACTCGGAGCTATCTTATCTGTGTTGGGGTTAACTCAAATTTTTTTTCTCTCTATCAGAATATAATCTCTCTCATATTTGCAATTCTATTGGAAGGTCCTGCTTTCAGACTCTCAATAAATCCCTTCTTTGACTCTAGTTATCCTTTCTCTCAATTTCTTTTCGATGGTCCATGGAGAATCTTTTAAAGCTACGCTTTTTTTTGGCGGAAGTTATTTATTTCCCAGTATTTTCATAAATTGTCTGTGTTTTTGGATGAGTTAGATCCTACTCTTACTTTGGAAGGAGAAGGGTATAAAGTCGGTGATATTAGTCGAGTCTAATGTCTTGGTGCTAAAAATTATAGCTCTATGGTTTTAGATTCCTGGCCTGTACTATTTCCAGGTGTCAGTCAATGGAACCGTCGGCAAAAGATTACAATAATGTCCCTATTGCATGGCCTTGCTTTATGGCTACTTTCAATTAGTCTCATTAATCCAAATTTTAATGGTTAAAGAATCTTTCAATTGCAGAATGGCATCCAACAGAGGTCAGGGTGGAATTCAGCAGTTGTTGGCTGCAGAACAAGAAGCTCAACGGATTATAAATGCTGCCAGAAATGGTACTGTCTTTCGCTCTGAATTCATCCTCTTGTTATTATGATGATGCTGTATGTGTTTCTTGATTCATGTATCTATTTTGATCAATTTTATGTGACCGACTGTGTGATGATGCGTATGAATGTATTTTTTGTAGTTTATTCTATATTCAATATTCTTTTCATTGAGATAAAACAAGTTCCCGTATCAAGATTATTGCTACCATATACTAGCCTCCCCTCTCCTCCACCTTCTTGCCACGTATTAGGATCTGCACTCAATTTGCTTGCTCAACAGTTATAATCTGATGCTTTTGATTTTTACATTTAGAAAAAATGGCAAGGCTCAAACAAGCCAAAGAAGAGGCTGAAAAGGAAATTGCTGAGTATCGGGCTCAGGTGGAGTATGAATTCCAAAGGAAATTGGCAGAGGTATGTTTTTCATTATTATGGCCTCATGAGACTGTTCTTTAGTCGTCTTGTGAGTTATGAACCGACTATGTGCAACCTCTCTGATGAATGCAGAGTAGTGGAGATTCCGGTGCTAATGTGAAGCGGCTTGAGCAAGAGACTGAAGCAAAGATCCAGCACCTGAAAACAGAAGCATCAAGGATATCACAAGATGTTGTGGCCATGCTCCTCAAGCATGTGACAAGTGTGAAAAATTAGAGCCTTTTATGACATATTGGAGCAGAGAACTACTGAATAATGTTACTTCTCGTCGTGAGTTTGTTTTGCTTGAATTGATTGGCACGAATAAGGTTCTTGTTCTGGTCACTTGGTGCCCTGCTACGATATTTTGTTATTTATCTATAGACAATTCAGAAAACATAGGTATGCCTATTTGTATCATTTGCTATGGTCAAGTAAGTGCGGAAAGCAGGGCTTATTCTTTTGTAAACACAGCGAGTAATTTTATTCTGCTCTTCAGTGTTGCGTCTCTTATTGCGTCTTTAAACGGGATTCAGTGGCATGCTTCCTCGTCCATGCTGTCAAATATTATTGTGCTTACGGCAGCAAAACTTATCTTGCACAACAAATTCAATTGGAATACACGTCTTTTGGATGCTTTGTATTATGAGGAGTGAAGGACGGGACTCTTAGAGTTCCTTTCTCGGAAAACCTTGATCTTTTAATCGGGATAGGCCGTCCTTGTGATCGCGCTCTGTAGAGAAGAGATATAAATGCCTGAGTTTAAAGAGTTGCTGAAGTTACGGCACCTCAGCTTATACCTACCTAGCATAAGCCATGGCAAGCAGAACTCGTTAACGCGGGCTATAACACTAAAGAACCTCGCCATTTCCCCTTGAATGGCCCATCCAGAATTGTTTGATCGGGAATTGGGTTTAACCTTGTTAGAAAATGAGAAGAAATTCGTGAGTTGGAGTATTTACTGGCACTTTGTTGCATTTGCCAGAGGCTTCTCTGCCCTTTGACTTTATTTTTAGATTTTGTTATGAATGCTTGCATGATTTCTTTTAAAAAAATAAAAAATTGATTATACATGGAAGATTCTCTTTTTCGTTTTAATTTTGTTCTAAATGGAATGCGAAGTTTAGTATAATGAATATTTTAGAAGATTAAAAGCTTCGAGTAAGTTAGGCCATGTGACAAGGACACGTCCAGCATCACAGGTGGGTCTTGTGATTTATAATATGGTCGCGTGGATTTCTTGGTGGATGTTGAATCAGAGAACCAAGTTTCCACATCCAAATTCCCAAACACCAATCAAATGCGTGCGTTCAACAAGTTTTGGTACGGTTCTCTCTGCCTTTTCCTCGTCCTCATTTCCAACTTAGCGCGGCCCCCTCTTTCTCTTTCATAGAATCTTTGTCTCTTTAGGGGTCCCTCATCATTTCATAGTCCGCCATTCACCCACCCATTGAAATCCGTTGTTTCATTGAATCCCCATATCCCTTTTGGTTAAAATCCGTTGAAATATAATAAGAACAGTAAATTACACACATCTCTCTTACATTATGCGAAATTTGTGGGATCAACTGCAATATTCATTACTTATTAATAATATAATTCAATTCATGCTTGGACCATAAAATTATGTCGCATAGTACCCTTATTTTCTATCTCAATCATGTGATGTGTTTTATGTTGGTTCAACAAAGTTAAGGATCAAGTATTTCAAGAAAAACCCCACAAAATTTTGATGTCAACAAAATCTGTATCATAAAAAGGACAGTGCCAACAACAGTCAGGAAGAGATGGGTGGAAGCAGGAACTGAGCATCAGATTCATTTTTGCATTCCAAATATGGACACAAGCACATATTTTTAAAAAGCTGGAAGCTATTAATGAATGGGGTTCATGATCAAGATCAAGGTAATAAAATTGTCTTGCACCTTAATCGGTGGACATGAATCTTGTATTGCACGGTACAGTGCTCCAAACAGAAAAACCCTCTCCTTCATTTTAATTCTTATTTAAAATGTCTGATGCTGTTGCATGTCTCGCTCGCCTCCTGGCTCCTGCCTTGCCCAACGTCTGATTTGGTTTACTAATCGTGTCGCCCCCATTAAATATACTTTAAAAAAAACTAAACCTTTAAATATCAGTATTTGACCTCAGCCCTCACATCTGGTACACATGCCAAACTCTGACTCATCATTCACGTGCTCATCCCATCACCGTTTTAGAACTTCTAGGTCATTCTTACAACTTGCAACGCGCGCTCCCGCTTCACCGCGGAGAGAGAAAGATCTGAAAGAATAGATTTTGCGAGCTGAGGTAGATTTTGCTGGACATCCATAATCCATAGCTAGTATAAACGAATTAGATGAATATTTTTAATAGCCAGAAAGCTCTATTTACGGCCACCTAAGTCATACTAGTGCGGTAAACTCTTTTTCATTACATGCAAATTGGAAGAGAGGGGGATGTCCAAGAGGCATGATGGTTCAATATGATGATAGAAAGTTGCATATGATTATTCAGTTACACGGCTGAGTGTTATTTGTTGAATTTTATAAAAGATATGGGAGGGATCCTCATTCAAGGCACAAGTTGGGATATAAATAAATAGGGATATCCTTTTGAAAGTTGGCTGTCCTGTTCTGTTCTTAGTGGACACTCCCACCCTCCCCACGCCACTTTCTTCGCTTTCCTACTGCTTCCTGGGCCCATCTTCTTGCGTCCTAACAAAATCTCTTTTCATCTCAGTGCGTGAACATGCTCCTCAACCTATTCATTCTGCCAAAACCCCCCATTTTTAAAAAGATTTTGCGACGGAAAGTTTAAGTTTTTTTAAAGAATCGGTTTGGATCGACTCACTTTATAAAAATAATCCTGACAATAACAAAAAATTCACTCCGTAAACGGTTGAAATCTTCATGCCCTTATTAATATTTGATTTTTTTTCTGGCCTGAAATAAATGTGGTGAAAAGCTCAAGGTGGGAAATTAATGATAGACCCAATTGGCCTTTTAGTATAATAGTGGCAATTTGGTAAAGAAAGTTGACAGTGACTGTAACTCATTCTGTACTTCCAGGTTGAAACGTTACCACCAAGATTGTCAATATGGCGATCCGGACCACGTTCTTTCATCCTCCTCATCATCACTCTCACAACTCTGACTTCAGCAAACAACTATATCACGAGCAAAGAGCTGCATCATTCCGTTCCAAAGCCATCCTCCACCCTCGGCGGGACCATGCAAGTCCTCTGTGCGCATAGCTTTCGGGGGCTTTCTTCTTCTGTCTTTCTTCAGCTTCTGCTCTTCCTGTGCTCATCTTGCGCATATGGGTTTGGGACGATGGGGCCAATATCGGCCTCATTTGGTAAATATGAATTTTTCTGCGCCATCGATGCAAGTGGGAAGCAGGACGTCATTTGCTGGGGGAAGAACAACACATCATCGGCTCCACCTTCTTCTTCGTCCTCAGCCTCTGTTACTGACAGCTCTCCTATGGCAGCTTTATCCGGCGGCGAAGGTTTCATGTGTGGCATTCTAGCAAACACTTCGCAAGCATACTGCTGGAGTGCTACAAAACCAGCGATAGATCTTGTGCCTCCTGCATACCAATCCTATGCTTATTGGCAAATAGCAGCCGGCAAGAGTCATGTTTGTGCCATCAGGGGATCTTATTATTCTAATGAGGATTTCGGAATTGTTGATTGTTGGGAAATTGTGAGAACTGCGGACGACAGCTTGAAATGGAAACAGAGCGATTTGTATTACGATCAGTCAACTAGCAATCTCGCATTAAACAAGGTTGTAGCAGGTGAGGGATTCTCTTGTGGTGCGGTCAGAGACGGAGGGCTTGTCTGTTGGGGACCTACATCTGCGAGTTTAGGGGTATCGAATGTGTCCGAGAACTTCTCAGTCTTGGTCTCGGGAAGGAGTTCAATATGTGGGCTTTTGAATGTTTCGGGAGATTTGAAATGTTGGGGTGATGCAGATTCGTTTGCTGATCCACCTGATGGGGCCAGATTAATCTCTCTGTCAGCCGGGGCTCGCCATTACTGTGGTATTCGAGCAGATAATCATAGAGTGGAGTGTTGGGGGAGTTTCAACTCGTCTGTGGTTCCAAAAGGTTCTGGATTTATGGCAATTGCTTCTTCGGATTATTCAACTTGTGGCGTTAGAGAAGAAGATCTTCTGATTGATTGCTGGATGGTGAATGCGTCCACGGCCGAGTTTGATCCTCCATTGGAATTATCAAGTCCCGGTCTCTGCAGTTCCAGTTCATGCAGTCAAGGTGAGTTTGCTTTCAATGTTAGTATTCTGAATGAGCCAGGTTTAACAAGCCTTTGCGTTCGAAAAGATTTGAGAATCTGTTCGCCCTGTGGCTCAAATTGTTCAGAAGGCTTTTTCTTGTCCAGCCCATGCACTGAGAATTCCGATAGGGTATGCACTGCTTGTTCTCTTTGCCAAAATAGCTCCTGCTGGGATGTTTGTCGACTTGAGTCGTCTCCAGATGCTGTTCATAAGAAGAGCTGGCACCATTTGCGTCGATTATTAATCATAATTGGGTCAGCTACTTTGGGATTCTTGTTTATCATGACTTGTGGGTGTATTCTTCCATATTTGATCACTAAGAAAGAATCCAAATCTGGCACGGCCAAAGCAGAGCAACCGGTTGATCCTAATGTTGATCTTCACTCTTTTCCTTCTACAACTTCCTGTCCCGGGATGCCTCAGATTTTCCGACTCTCAGAGCTAAAGGATGCCACTAATGGGTTCAAGGAATTCAACGAGCTTGGCCGAGGAAGTTATGGCTTTGTATACAAAGCTGTATTAGCGGACGGCAGGGTGGTTGCAGTGAAGAGGGCCAATGCTGCCACAATCATCCACACCAACAATCGTGACTTTGAAATGGAACTGGAAATCCTCTGCAAAATCCGTCACTGTAATATCGTGAACTTGTTGGGCTACTGTGCAGAGATGGGGGAGAGGCTTCTTGTGTACGAGTATATGCCGCATAGCACACTTTATGATCACCTTCATGGTGGGCTTTCTCTACTGAGTTGGAGCCTCAGGCTAAAAATATCCATGCAAACTGCAAAAGGTCTTGAGTATCTGCAAAAGGAACTTGCGCCACCAATTGTGCATAAGGATCTCAAGAGTTCCAACATTCTCTTGGACTCCGAATGGGGAGCGAGAATTTCAGACTTTGGGCTCCTCACTTCCGGTGACAAAGATCAAATTGCGGATGTGCAGAACGATGTTTACAACTTTGGCATTGTATTGCTTGAGATTCTGAGTGGAAGAAAAGCTTATGATGGAGATTTTATGCCTCCAAACATAGCTGAGTGGGCAGTGCCTCTGATCAAACGGGGGAAAGCTGCGGCTATAATCGATCGCTCTGTGCCTCTTCCGAGGATCGTTGAGCCATTGCTGAAGCTGGCTGACATTGCAGAGCTGGCTGTGAGACACAATCCCAGCGAGCGTCCGCCTATGTCAGATATAGCATCTTGGTTGGAGCAGATTGTGAAGGACGGACTGATTTTATAGTGATGATCATTTTACCTTGAGAAGCCTCAGTTTTATCCCCTCTTCTGCAATTGAGTAACGATCTTCTGCAATTGTAAATTTTGTTGAGTCTGTGTTTATATTCTTTATGCTTTTGATTTATTTTTGGGCTTGTATCTCCGAATGAATCTTTACCAGGTGAAGTACATACCACTGGTTGCAGCAAAAGATGCATATACAGAATGAATTTTTGATTGCTTGTGGCTGTGAATGTAGATGTTGATCTGGAACTTTTTGGCCCCGGGAGATCATGCTTGATTGTGTATTATTGCGTTAAGAGTCATTTTCATGTATTACCGTGACAACAGAGAAAATAAGAAGTTTAATGATTCTGTGTGTTAAAAAGAATAGAGATTACGGGGTGGAGTCCTTTTGAGGAGGACAAACTTTTCAACCTATTATAGATCTTTCAGAAAGTATGACCTAAGCTGGTGATCCTTCCGCGTAAGATTTGTTGGAGTCTATTGTGGTCCGAGTAAGAAAAACACTCGCCTTCATAGGTGACCAGAGAATAGTTTGGTCCAATACTATTCCCTCCGTCTCTCCATCACTTTTTTTTTTTTTTTAAAAAAAAAGTAGTTTGATATTTAATAATATAATATTTTTTAAAAAAAATTATTAACGAACTTATTTTTGAAAAAATGTGGGTCAATCAGCGGTTAATGTCAAACGAAGGGCTTTTTTTCTTTGAAATTTTATCTCTTTTTGAAAAAAAAATTTAAAATTTGTAAATGTATGTAATGAAGTTCATTAATCTTCGCAATTTTCTCTAAAAATGTTATATAAATTGAAATGAAGGGAGTGTCGTGTTATTAGGCGGTGGTTCATATCCTCTGTATTCATGCAGTTTAAATAATAATAATAATAATAAAGATGTAATTATATATGAGATTTAACTTTCTTCTTCAATTTATGACTTTTCCCCCTCATCCTCTGCGCGCGCATATGTAAAGTTGAGAAGCTAATGAAGGGGTCATACAATGATTGTTGCAATGTACTTCCTGAGAGGAGAAAATATGAAGCATATGGTTTAAATATTTTTTTTTTTTGAGCAAAAATATGGTTTAAATATTTAAAAGGGAATTCTCAGTTGGGATGATGAGTAACATCAGAAAAAGGGCAAGTGCCTCAAAATTCAAGGGGTTCACATTGAAAAGAAGAGAAGAAAGTAGAATAAAAGCATATGATAAAGAAAGGGAAGCTAGAAGATGACAGATGGAGCAAGTGATGGAGTCCACTCCACTTCCACAAAGCCACATGCATGGCCTCACTTAAATATTCTGACCCTCTTCTACTGATCTCCTGCCTGGCCCAAAACCTGAAAAAAGAAAACCCAACTTGTTCTGTTTCCTTTCCCTCCCAAGTGAAATCTGTACGGACCCTCCTCGTCTTCCTTAATTCTCCCGCATTCATTATTGCCATCCTTCTCAACTAAATTAATCATCAATTCAGTTCCCTAGATCACTCTTTTACACAATCAAATAAGTTACATTACTTTTGGGTTCTTCTTCCATAGTGATATGCTCCTTGGTGACTTGAATCGCCCTGCCAAATGGTGTCCGTGGTCTTAGCAACAGTGGCTGTCTGTATGTGAATATGGAAGAGATAAAATGAGTCCATAATAAGTTGACTAACTAGTGGAGCTAATTTAAAATTCAAAATTGTGGGGTTTGGAATAATTTGACTGGGAAGAGCCAATTATGATTATTCTGATAAAGAAGGCATGTGCCCCAGCACCTGCTACTCACTGAACCAGAAACAAACAAGATCAGCAGAATATAGAATCTTTAATGGGAAGGCAACTTTGCCCTTCCAAACACATAGACGGTGCTGTATCTTTTGATTCCCTTGAACGAGGAAACGCCACTCACCATTTTTAATTCCTTCCAGTCATGTTAAACATGGAACAAAGCTCTCATCAGTTATTTGTTCCGATCCATTTCTACTTTTGAAAAACATTCATCTGGCGGTGAATCCTTTTCCACAAGAGTAGTCTTGAAATGGGAATCACTCTGCAATTTTTGATATCAACATGACTCTGAGTAAGCACAGGGGGATGTGCAGTGGGAAACAACAGAGTCAGGAGTGGCTGTTTGGCACGAAGAATTCAGCATCAAGCAGCGCTAGCTTGAGGAAATTTCACGGGGAATTGACAGATAAGTATAAAGTCACAAACTCTTTCACACTTGTCACCTCAGAAATTAATTCACGAAAGATCAAGGGTCATTTTATGAGGTTGATGTGTCAGCTCAGGTTCACATGGTAGACCGTGTCTCTGGATGTTAAGAATCTAGAGTTCTGCTAAAGTAAACATATGCAGAGTATTGTGGCGATTGTGGTCCTCGGTAAACAGCTAGACGGACAGACGAGAGAGAGAGAGAGAGCTTTGGGCAAATATATTTAGAAATGAATTGAAGCAAAGGTCTAGTGTCAACTGTCATGTGGCAGTCAGTACTAGTTACTTTGTAGACCACGTATTTCTTAATAACAAGAGCTAAAATTCAGCGAGAGTAACCAATTAAGAAGAGATCTTTGACTCCATATATTCATTATCTGAGCTGCTTTTTCATGGGGACTTTATTTATTTATTTATTTATTATTTTGGAGTTTCGGCTGGTTAATGGTTGCAGGAGTTTGTTGAAGGAAGGGGGAACAAAAGAATGGAAAACGAAGAAGAGGAAGAAGCCACCCTCAAGGTTGCTTAATGCTGCACTGCATACATGCATCATGTGTACCGAATGAAAAGGAAAAAAAGGAACAACACAAAGTATAAAAGGAAAAGGACAAGAAAGGGCAAGATCCTTGTTCTTTAGACAAGTCCAAATGTGGGGAAGGTAAGAATCTAAGGTGATCCAAACACTTGCAGACAAACCTATTAGGGAAAATAAAAAAGGACTCGCCCTTTATGTATGTGAAAAGAAGTTCAACACCGAAAGCATCAACCCTAGAGCTATAGCTCTTCTCAACCCTCTCTTTCTTCTTTTACCTCTCCTTCTTCCCCTCCCTCTCTTGAGTCCTACCCTCCAAAGGCCCTTATAAGTAGCTCTCTGAACAACAAGCTCAAATCCCTCCCCACTTCCTATCATCCGTGGTGTCCACAAATTAAAACCTGTTTGATTCAGCTCTGTGGCAGGGCTAAAGATTGCATGAAGGTAAGTGTGTAAAAGGCAAACCTGGTGTGCCTGGCTCCCCGTATGCCATTTGCAGAGCCCATCAGCAAAGTGATGGCCTTAACGAATGGCGTGCGAGGAGCCATGCATGCTGCGTAGTAAACTGTTCATCAACAGTAAATAAAGCTGATTCCCTTTGTACTCTTTCTACTACTGTTTCAATTTATTTTCCCCTTTTTTTTTTCCCTTTTGTTTTCTCGCCATTATTATCGTGAGAGAAGCTCTGTCCTCTGGTGTCCGCTAATTTAGGCTCAGCGTCAGGTGGTTGTCTAACGATCGAAGCTTGTAAGTCCAAATTATCATTGACTTTGTGTGGCCATTGGACAGGTAGGTTTTATTAGGTGTATAAAGGAATATATATTAAAGTAAATGCGTCCCATAATAATCAATTTACGGGTTAATTGACATCTGCTGTCTTCCATTCAGTAAAGATCACTATCACCTTATAGTTGACGGAGCCACCAATCGTTGTCACACTCGTATTGTATGGACATCCTTGTTGTTATCGAGCTTGACCTTCTTTTTTTTTTCTTTTGGTTTTTTTTTAAACATCACTTCCATTTGTTTTCTTTTGTATTCAAGGACAATTGAATCCAAAGGAGCTAAGCACCATTTTGGACTCCTTGAAAAGCAGCAGTACTGCAGAGGTGTAACCCTGAATGGAACGTCTCCCAAAAGTGCAGAAGTCTTACCAAAGCGATAAACTTGTGTAGAGCATATATTTCCTTTTGGTCCTTCGTAGCTTTACCCATAAATCACCAGGCAGGTGTCCAGATTCTGAATAAGCTCTTTTAGATGCTTCCCCTCATCCCCATCATCTTCTTGTCATTGCTATGAGCTGATGGTTTTCAGTTTCCAAATGCAGATGCGGTTCCCGTTTTGTGGCTAAAATCTTTTGCGGTTGGACCACTATCGTTTCATTAGCATTAGACTCGTTGTTTTCTGGAACAAAATAATTGCTAGACGTAGAGGGTAGCTTGTTTTGTCCACACAGATGGAAGGGGGAATTAAATAGAGAAAATGGGACATTTAAAGCCTCAGGTCTTTGTTCATGGGTAATGTTGACTTAATGGAAAAGACGTGCCTTTGGATCTTAGGCGCTCAATAATGCACATTGTGGTGACGTGACAGATTGAAGATGGGGGAAATGAAGATAGAGATAACAGAGAATTCAATCCAAAACAGGGGAAATGGTGTCAAGGCAGAGAGAGCATAGTGGGGGTCAAATGTGGCAGCCATGGTCGGCGTCCTTTTTTTTTTTTTTAATAACTAAGTTAATTAATAATAATCGTACAAATTAAATATGGCCATATATTTCCATGATAAATGACGTGAGCTCTTTTTTACGGACCTATGCTATGCAAAGATATTTCTATCAAAGAAATATTTTAAAGAAAATCACACACACAGTTGGGTTTCATGATATCCCTCTATTTTCAATTTTTCATCAATAAATAACATCAATTTACAATAAAAAATCATTTATTTGACAACGGTCTCCATCATCACATTGCCAATACACACAGTCAATAATGGAATTTCCTGATTGAAGTGAGCCCCCCCCCCCCAAAAAAAAATCAGTTCTCCGCGGCGTAGACTAGAAAATGGGCCTCTTACTCTGCCTCCCCAGTCCATACCGCAATAAATCAAGTTGAATGCAAACCCACAGAATACTTGACAAAAGAAAAAAGAACTAAAATTAAATTATAGTAACTAGTTAATCATCAATTAATTCTCGTTCTTGGGCATTAACTGGGGATGATCTGAAATTGAAGCGCAAGATTTTGGAATGTAATTAACGGCCAAGATTGGCCGAACTCCAAATGGAACTTGCATGGGTAGCAGCACGGGAGGTGGATGCCTCAGAATGGGGTGCGTTTTTAATTCTGATAGCCCTGAGATCAGGCACAAGCCCTGGTTTTGAAATACTCACACTTGCCATTTCAATATTATTGCTCAACATCTCCACCACTTCGGTCATTCGTGGCCTTAGCTTCGCTGTTTCTTGAACGCAAAGCAGCCCCACCTTCAGGAATCTGACGCTTTCTTCCTCTGGGAAGCTCTCCTTTAGCTCTTCATCCACCATTTTCGGTAAATCACCAGCTTCATAGGCCGCCCACGCCTGCAATTTCAAACGTTTTCGTTAAACTAGTCATGAATGGTGAATATGAGAGATATTGAACCCCCTTTTGTGTGTGTGTGTGTGTATTGAGAAATGAGATTCTCTGTGGCTCTGATTTTCCTACCTTCTCAACGAGGAAACGTTCTGTATCTTGGGAAGGATCAACCACAGGTAGGCCGCTCACAATTTCAAGGAGTAATATTCCGTAGCTGTAGACATCTGATTTTCTAGTCACCTTCCCAGAACTGGCATATTCCGGAGCAAGATAACCCCTTTGGGGATTTCACAAATGGATCAGCACGATTTTTCGTTTTTGAAAAGGAAAGAAGGAAAGAAGAGAAAACGAAACGGAACTAATTTCATTTAGGAAACGAGGGTACTCAGTACATACAATGTCCCTGCGACTTGGGTACTAACGTAGGACTTATCGTCTCTCAGTAACTTTGCCAGACCAAAGTCGGAAACTTTTGGCCTCAAACGTCGGTCAAGAAGTATATTTCTCGCTTTGATGTCCCTGTGCACGATATAGGGCTTAACTTCCTCGTGCAGATACGCAAGCCCTCGAGCCACTCCAATGGATACTTCCCTCCTTGATTCCCAGTCGAATCTCATTCTGCCCTCCTTTGAAACTATCCACCACAATTCACAATTAAAAGGTTTCCCAGCCTATAATTTCTCCTGGGTGCCCTTAATTTCCCTAATATGTCAGATTCAAAAGGCTTGGAAATTCCAAGTATCACTTACCTAAAAAGTACTGGCGAAGGCTGTTGTTTTCCATGAACTCGTAGACTAAGTATCTGTCAGTTCCTTCCACACAACAACCTCGAAGAGTGACTAGATTCTCGTGCTTGATATTGCCCAGAGTGCTCAGTTCTGCTACAAATTCCTTCTCTCCTCGCAGGGAATCCAGTTCAATCGAAAGCACCTTGACCGCCACGAATGTGCCATCCAGAAGCCGCCCCTTTTAAAAGTCAACCCCAGTCAATCTTCTATATCAGCATTAAGGTTGTACAATCGAAATTTGCAGGTTCTTATAACGCCACTTAACGACAATACCCCTCAGTAATCAAAAGGAACGAGTATAGTTAACCTTGTACACAGTGCCAAACCCGCCTTCTCCGATCTTGTTTGAGGAATCGAAACTCCTGGTCGCAGATTTCAATTCGCCGTACGTGAATACTCGAAATGCTCCTTCACTCTCTCTTCCTGAAACATTCGAATCACAAAGTAATTTGTAGCTGGACCAAGTTAACAGATTCAATATCAGAACGAGAAGACAGAGCGGAAATACCTTGCTTGGCGGTTTCGTCTTGGACCGACGGAGAGAAACAAGTAGACAACGAACAAAGAATCTTCATGCCTCAAGAACAGCTTTGAAGTTTGAAGCTTGCCTGGATCTCCGAGATTGAAGATAAAGAGAAAGAACATGGCACGGGAATACAGAAGGAAACACGGCACAGGGCATTCCTACGTAGTAGACTTCGACTTCGTTCGTGTTTAATTATCTTGGATCTTTCATCTTTGACACATTCCTTCCCTTCATGCAAGGGGACAAAAATGAAAAATAAATAAATAACAAAAATTTTCCCTCCCAGTTTGTCAATATTTTTTACTATCGCAAGCCAGGACTCTTTCTGTAGTTTCCTTCCCAGTTTGTCAATATTTTTTACCATCGCAAGCCAGGACTCTTTCTGTAGTTTGACTGGGGTCAATAAAGACTCTTTCTACATCGAAACACCTGTCTTGTTCAAAGGATAAGTTTGCACAAGACTGGGCTTTTTAAAGGAGCGAGTGAGATTATTTTTCAGGAGTAATTTGGTTTCTTAAAAAAGGGTATTTAGAAGAGCTCACTAAGAGAATAGTTAATTATAATAAAGCAAGTTAGTGAAGAAGCTGTTCGGCGAAAACCATAATGGAATGGGAACACCAAGGATACATGTTTTGACTTTAGGAGGCTGGAGTGATTGCAGTGTTGGAGCTTTGAATTTAAACACTGGAGGACCACTTGCTAAACCAATAGCCACTCCATGAAGAGCTTATATGAAATTACTAATAGTTTATGCAGGCCAAAAAACAAAGAATGAGCGGGGAAAAAAAAGAAGGAAATCATTAGTTTATCTCCAAACAATCTTCCGATGGTTTTGACCACTTTTTCCTTTGGAACAAAAAAAAATTGAGGATTCTGAGACGGCGCTGAAGTGCAAGAAGCCACCAGCATCTGTTGTACCGAGATTTCTTTCTTCTTCTTTTTTTTTAAGTAGAAATTCAACAGTCGCTGTCTGGACCACGTATCTTAGGATCTGTTTGAAATCACATATAAATACACTACCAGTAAACACGTTTTACATAAATTGGCATGAAATTTCTCTCACCTTTGTACTTTGTATTTCATAAAAATTACTCACAGGTCATTTCAAACAGGCTCTTAGACTGCAAGACTGGTGTATAGCTTCAAGTTTCTTTCCTTCCCTGTTTTTTGAGTCATGCAAGATATCTAGTTAATATCAATTAATATAATAACACGGCACACTGTGCAAAGGGATTATTGAAAAGAAAAACACCAGAAGTGGATTGTTTTTACTGCCTCCTGTACTAATTATAATTATAAGATTTTATTTATAATCTATAAATAAAATCTTACAATTAGAATCTGAAGGTAATATTGTTGGAAAAAAAGGAATCCACTTGCAATGATTTGATCGCTAACTAGAGAACAAATCTATTGGCCGAAAGAAGTCAAGTACAAATCTCCCCCTGCTTTCACTAATGGAGGCCACGCCGACAGCACCCGGTCCTGCTCCATTCTGGAAGCTTGGATGTTGCCAATATGCTTTTTCTGTTTTTCATTTTAATTTGTAAAATAGTCCTTCACGCCATCGTTTATAAGACTTTATATCTCTTTTAAATCAATTACGTGCCCCCGCCGTAATTTATAAATAACGTAATGTGGTATGCATTTTATATTTCTACTAGTGATATTATATTTTTTATGAATCATATTCGGCAACTGTCAATTCAGGCATTTGATTTTACATCCAAATTTCACTGAAGTGCGCCTCGTCTGTGATCGCATGAGTGAATTATTATTAATTTCCTAGTAATGTATTGCGTCTTTCAAATGACAATCTGATTTTTATTTTTTAAATTTGACTTGCTGCGTACAAACAAGGATTTCTATTTTCCTGCATTTTTACTTTTCAACTTATTTCTCCCATGTTACCATCTTTTGCCTCTAGAAGTTATATGTTTTCCTGGTCTCATAAATGTTTAATTATTTATACATAATGAAAAAATTATTAAAAAATCAATTATCTTTTTCCATACGCAATGAAAAAGTTACGGGTAGGATCGTACGGTGCTTGTTATGCGAATCAAACACAAAATTCTTATCACATGTTTGATTGATTGAAAAATTATATTTGAATTCGTTTGGAGTAGCTTATAAAATATTAAGTAAACATATGAAAAAAGTTTTATTTCAAATTTATATAAAATGTACTTATAAATATTTTTTAACGTGATTCCGAATTGGTTGCTGTCCGCCTTGTTGGCAAAAAAATAAGTGGGATAACATGAACAGGTAACATTACTGAGATGAGATGACCGCGTGGGGCGCGGGGACAGAGGATGTTTATTTTCATTTGATCCTATGAGACAAACTGAGGAAGAAAAATTAAGGAAATTTTGGTTAAAAGCGTCTGTTGGAAAACTTAACTAATTAAAAAGATCTACATTTGAGTGATTATTATAATAACTATACTGTGTGAGTGACTTTTTTCCTATTATGTGTAACACTACTTCCGATCCTAATTATAAAAGCCAGTTGACTAATTTGAGGAGATTAAGAAAGTAAATTAAATTAGTTATTTGTCTTAAATAGGTGTTGTCTTTTCTAAAATATCCTTGCTAATCAAATATATTGACTATAACTATCATTGTTAGAAGGGCTACTTTGAAAAAAATGTATAAATATGAGAAACAAAGTGGATTGAGGTCTTATATTTAGGACCAAAATAAAAGTCAAACAAAATCTTATATTAAAGACCGAAGGTAGTATATCATTAATAATGTGGAATAATTATTAATATGAAAATCGTTTATACACAAAATATTGTATTTACAAATCACAGTTGCACATATTCAAATTTATGTCTTTTTAGCCTAGCCAATTAAGTTTTTAAACAGAAATATTTTACCAAAATTTTGAAAAATTAACATGTTTAGATTTTGTTATTCCATAAATAAATAAATAAATAAATATGCATGATTAATTTTACACCATGTCTTATCCAAAATTATTAGCTGCCCGCCAACCATGCTCCCCGTAAAAAGCTTGCGGAAAACGACACCGGATGCGGACATTTATTTATACTTCCCAATCCCATCACAATTCGGCGGTGAACTCGGATCAATCTTCTAGATGAATAAAAAGTATTTGGATTTGTTTAAAAATACTTTTTGAAAATATTTTTCTGTAAATTAAGAATTTTTTTTACATATATTTACTTAGTATATCATAAAATTATTTTTGAAATTATGTTTGGTTCCACCTGAACATCTCTCAAAATCAACTTAATTTGATTTTAAATTTGAGGTAATAAATTGTAAAAAAGCATTAAAAATTCATTCTTAAGTACTTATTACGACTCACAATATGATTTCACTTTACAGAAAACTTAATTAATAAAATAAAAATAACAAAATAAAAAGCGGCTCCTTTTGGCCGAGCCGGAAGATGCCGTGCTATGGATCAATGATCAATGGTGGTGCTGAGTGGAACTTTACGCAATCCCATTATACCCGCCATCCCACCTCTCCTTCTTCCTTTTCCAGGTTTGTTTATGTCAATATTTCTTCCTCCTCCGATTTCTCCACGCATTGATCACAATTCTTGATTCTTCCCTCTCGTCCCTGATTTTTCTCCCGACACCCTTTGAGCTCATGATCCCTCCCTCAATCTGAATTTTTCCCCACCTTTTTTTCATGCCAACTCTTCTTCTCTTCCGCTATATTATCATACTCCGTTTTTCTTCTTCTTTGTGCTTCCTGGTTTTGATTTCTGGTGCCCACCAGGGAAAAGGAGAAACGAACCAAAATTTACCCGTCAAGGCCAGGGTGCCCTAGACTCCCTCGGATAATCAAGCGCAGGCAGTTTTGGTAAACTAGGGCTTTGGGTACTTCTCTACATAATTTTTAGCTGCCCAAGAAGTAGCCTCTCATTTCCATGGGTAACATAGGAAGTAGTGGCGGTAACAACAACCGCCGTAGGCACAGCGCAAGTGGCAGAAGGAGTCACCCGCCTCCCCCTCCTCCGGTGACCCCACAGCCGGAAATCACGGCCAATCGATTCATCTATCCCGCTGCTCCGCCCTACCCATCACAATACCCAAACTCGAATCCCCCGCCGTATTTCCAGTACCCAGGTTACTATCCCCCAGCGCCAACGACTATGCTGCATCCTCAGCCACCTCCTCATGATCACCATCATCGTATGGGTCCTCATCTACCTGTGGACCCGGCATGGATGGGCGGACGTTACCCTTGTGGCCCTCCGATGCCTGCCTATGTGGAGCATCAGAAGGCGGTTACGATAAGGAACGCTGTTAATGTCAAAAAGGAGACCCTGAGGATTGAGCCCGATGAGGAAAGGCCAGGGCAGTTCCTCGTGGCATTCACATTTGATGCCACTGTGGCTGGGAGGTACATTTTACTCTCTTTATTTGCTGATAACATGGACAGATGAAAAAGTTTTTAGTTGAGCAATTTGATATAATCACGTGAAGGGATTGCCCGGATTTCAGAATTTAAGTTCGGCTCCTGTTTTCTTTATCGCCCTTTAACTATGTGCGATTCGTTCTTCCGTGCAATTATCAATCTTGGACAGTTTGTTAGATGCGAAGTACCTTGATTTCTGGCTTCTTGTAGAGCCTTCTGTAGGCGCACCTGTTTGATATACTAAGGGATGCACTAATAGCTTAGGAGGTTTGTTCCTTCTGGTTTGCTTCAGGACTCAGGTTTTGAAAATTTACCCTCCTTACTTGTGCTACCTGCCAGTAACGCCTTTCAGACGAGTATTCAGTTTTCATGTATTTAGCTTTTTATACAAGAAGCATCTATATGTTTTTTCGCGGTTCATTGTGTTTTGATGTCTGAGGAGTACATTTTAACGGCAGAGTCAATTACATTTAAGGATTGTCAGGATGATAGGTAGTCTTTACGTGATAATTCGAGCTCTGATAACGGCAGATCCTGAAAATTCACCTTTTTTTCTTTTTTTTGGGCTTTTGGTCCGTGAGGTGGTTTGGAGTAAGTTGCCTTGTTTCTTATTTGATATTTCTAGCCACCTGGTAGACAAGGAGATATCACGTTCTCATATATTGTGAGAATGTGAGAGGCCAAGCGTCTTTTGTCTGTTGCATTACCCTTCCAGATTGAAAGTTAAGCTAATTCAGTATTTTAGACTTTAGACTAAACCCATTTCGTCTTTTGTATGTTGCATTACCACACACTACTAATCGTTTTAAGAAAAGGGAATTGTTTATAGAACTTCAGACTTCTTATACTGATTAACATTATTTAAGCAGCATTGGTATCTGAGATGAGGTTGACCTACTATATATGCAATCGTCCTGTTTACTTCAGTATTTCTTATGTTGGCACCGTTAAATATCTGAAATTTGGTGATTCTGATGAGTCCTGGGTGTGGACAGTATAGTGGGATCCTTTCTTTGTTCTAATGTTACTGTTTCCTCTTGTGTCTGTGACAGCATCACGATACTTTTCTTTGCAAAAGAAGGTGATGGCTGCATTCTTATGCCAACAAAGGAAAACCTTCTAGCACCTGTAACTGTGCACTTTGAGCAAGGTCTTGGCCAGGAGTTTAGACAGCCAGCTGGAACTGGTATTGACTTTTCAATGTTTGAAGAATCTGAGCTATTAAGAAGTGACATGAATGTCTACCCTCTAGCAGTGAAGGCAGATGCCTGCTCTGGTAATCATGAAGGATCAAATGAAACTCTCACACCTGGTGGCACTGACTCTCAGATTACTCAAGCAGTCTTTGAGAAAGAGAAAGGAGAATTCCGGGTGAGGGTAGTTAAACAGATCTTGTGGGTGAATCGAGAGAGATATGAGTTGCAGGAGATATATGGTATTGGAAACTCAGTGGAGAATGACTTGGATGGAAATGACCCAGGAAAAGAGTGTGTCATCTGCTTATCGGAACCTCGGGATACAACTGTTCTTCCCTGTCGGCACATGGTATTTACCATTTCCCTTTTTTGATTGTTTTCTAAGATTAGATGATGTGACAATGCTTAATTGCTTATTTTAGTTGCAAATATGGTGAGTTCTATTCTGCCGTAAATTAATATTTGATGTTTGCTGCTGCCAAATTTCGTCAACCGGAGGATATATTTTTGTTATTTTCCACTCCAACCACTTACATTATTCTGCCACTTGTCAATCTTAGGCCTTGCAAACTGATGATGTTTCATTACTTAAAACTTCAACTGCTGTGTACAAAATCAGTTCTTTAGTTGTCTTTTCTTGTGGCAGTGCATGTGTAGCGGATGTGCAAAGGTTCTGAGGTTCCAGACACACAGGTGCCCAATTTGCAGGCAGCCAGTTGAGAGGCTTTTGGAGATAAAAGTCAACAACGGGCGTGAAGATACAACAACACAAGTGTCTCAAGATCCCTGTACAGTATAGCCCAACTGTTATAAATGCTTCTCCTCCATCCTTTTGTTATGATTTTCGCCCTCCGTCTTTTGGCTTAACAATAATTGAAATCAAAATGATGTGCGGTTTAACACAGACCAAGAGGATGGTATTGCGCATGGCCTGTATTATACAAGACAAGGCCTCCGCCATGATTGTTTTGGCTTTGCTTCCAAATGTTTTCCCGTGGCAATTAATAATAAATTGTGTTTTCCTTAGTGTTTCCTGAAGTGTTGATATTCTAGTTTGATTTCGTCATTGCTGTACTCGAATATTTGCGATGATTGCGAGAGACTGGGGCTGAGCGCTGTGGAGGGGTGGCGCCTATGCCCGAATGCCTTTTACGGCTTGGCGCACCCAATTTGTTGAAACCAGAATCTTTCGTTCCGGGTCGTTTTTTATTATTTATCTTCAGTTTCCCATTTGGTAAAATAACTCGTCACATGAAATATTATGAAATTAACTATACTTTTTTTCAAAATTTTTTTTAACTTAATACTCCCTCCGTTCCTTATTATAAGAGACATTTGATGCTTATGGCATGTTTTCATATATAAGACACTTAAAAGTTGTCTTTATTTTTCGTATTAATTTTCTATTTTACCCTTATTTATTTTGTCTTCAACTCATACTCTCTCCCCCTCTCACTTCTCTTTCTTTTAATAATTTAATTGTTCTCTCTCATACTCTCTCCTTATTAATGGGGGCATCGTTGAAAAAAAAATTCTACTTTTTACACATTAATTGTCCTCAACTAATTTTAACTGTTTTTTTGATTAACGTAATTTGGTTATTTGTCTCTTATAATAAGGAACGGAGGGAGTATCTATTTGGAGTTACTTATAATTTTCCTTAGTTTTTAATTTAGTATCTATGTTTTCTCTGTATTTGGGTTCAGTTGTTTTAACTGTCTTCGTCCAGAGTTAATAGTATTAACAAAACAAAGTTACACGGGTGCTAATAAAGTAAAATTTTACCCCAAAAAAGTAAAATTAAAGAATTTAATTAAGATATATATGGGCATCAAATTAAAAAATTGAGGAAAAAAAGAGTATCTGCAAAATGATTTTCCCTTATAATAACGTGAAAGACGATATAAGCCGCGTCATTGTCAAGGTCCAGCAGTTTACTCTGCCCATTAGGAACTATCTCCAAAAGCATTTAAAAAAGCAAGAAAGAAACTATCTCCAAAACGACTCCAACTCATGAAACTCATTCAGAGCTATCCTATTTACTCAAATTAGTAGTCAATTAGATGAATTATGCGAGTTACACAAGCAGTGACGGGTCATCTGTCGCAAAATAAGCACTAATTTTTTGTCAAATTTAACTCGCATGGGCACCATACGGGAAACGAGTTGATGACTACGCTTAAATGCCTACTCCTTTTAGAATCATCGAATGCGGGCACAACAACTTCGTTTCACCCAAGGGCGCAAAACGCAAAAGTGGGAAACTTTCAAAGATGCTAAAACATTTACGTTATGTTTGGTACGGGATTTTCGGAAGGGATGGGAGTAAAGTTACTCCCTTCTTCTTGTTTAGCTGGTATAATTTTTTAGAAGGAGAGGGGAGCTCCTCCCCTCCCCTCGTTTGGTTAATATGTTTTTTAAAGAGGGGAGGGGTTTTTCTCCCCTCCCCTTCCCTTCTAGCCTCCCCTCTAAAAGTGCGGTTTTTTTGGAAGGGAGACGAGAGATGATATTTTAATTTCTTATATGTCTTTTTGATTTGTTAACCTCTAATCAGTCATAAACATTTCTACATCAGAGAGTTCTTTTGAGCATCTAATAAGAGGTTATTAAAATAATTATTTCCAAAATTAGTGAGCATTTGTAAACTTTTTTTCTCTTCTTCTAATTCTAAGAGACCGTTAATATTTTCTTTCACCTTCAAGGTCTTTTCTCTGATTGAAATCTATCACTTGTGAGTTTTTGTCTTGATATTCTATAAGTATGTGACTGTATCTTGTAAATCAAAATTAGTGAATTGTATTATATATATATATATAGTTATATCTTAACAAAATAAAAAGTGAGAAAATTCATTTAAATTTTATGAGACTAAAATAGTCAATTTTTTATTAGAACAAAATAAGATATTATTAAAATTGCTCCCTCCCCTCCCCTCCCCTCCAATCAATTCAAACAAGAGATCATTAAAATCCCTCCCCCTCCCTCCCCTCCCCTTTGTAGCTACCCTCTCCTTTCCTCCCCTCCCCTTCCCTCGGTCGAACCAAACATTACTGACGCATGAGAAGGGATCTAGGTTCCTCCACCAAACAGCGGAAACCATCCTTCAGAATTTGTACTGTGTTTTTCTCCCATTCACTCACCCAAAGCGAGAAGAGGATGGATATGATCACACACTGATTTCATTAATAAAACACGATGACGACAATGGTTGTTTATTTAGTTTTTAAGCGCCCAACCACAAAGCACTTGGATGTTCATAGCACCCAACACACACAGACAACGAGCACAATAGCAACATCCCATGGCCGGACCATAGTCCAGTTACACCAAACACAAACTTCGACAATGATCGAACATAAAAATAGGACCTTAATGCGGCTCAGCTTCCCCACCATTGGTGGACATAGACGCCGCTGCTCCTAAGACCCTTGTAGATGTCCATGCAGCTTTCCTTTGCCTTCATGTTTTTACCATTCTCACTGCGTGGGCAGCCCAGGAACATCTCATCAACGAAGCATATGACCCCACTTTCAAGTATATCCGAGAGGAACTTCCGTTCAACTTCTCCTGCATTCATCTTCAGCACCACAAAATCTGCAAATTGCACAGTTTCCTTGAACCAGGCGACGAAATCAAATTCTTCCTCTCCGACATAAGGATCCACTTCGCTGTCCATACTGAGCTTGGCTGCCGCGTCTCCTGCCAATCCTGGATGATAAACAAAAGTGATACCAGGTCGTTTCACGTACGATAACAGGATGGAAGTGTTGTAGTGAACAAAATAGACATTGAAAGCTTTCTGATCGATGGGATATGATGGGAGGAACCAGTCAGTGATATTTGCGTTCAGCGGCTTCCCTACCCCAATATCAATATACACCATTCGCTTTCTAGTTGAGACATCCATAAACCTGGGCAAATATGATATCCGTTCTGCAAACTCTGGAGGGGGCCTTTCCTCTACCAGAGGTTCCAACAGCTCCATCAGAGGCTTGTTGAGGGTAAAATTTGGACAGTCCACTGGAAGACTGTAATTATTAGAAGAGCTGGTATTGTCGAATCTTTTCTTGAAAACCACGAGATTAAGTTGATTGATGTGACCAACATGCACAACACTTGAAGATCTCAGTAATGACGATACCGGCGTGGCAGACTTTATCAAGTCATTTGGGTTCGAACGACTAGCACCCACAAGCAGGGCACCAATTCCGCCAGGCTTAAGAACGCGCTCCACCTCGAGCACGAGTAATGCAGGGACTGAAACCTTATCCAGATCCCTAGAAAACACGAAATCGAATGAAGAGTCTTGGAAATGGAGCTCGTACACGATTTTTTTCTGTTTGAGTGAGAAAAAGCGGTGTTTGTGAACACCATTGACGCTGGAGAATCCCAACTGTTGCATTGCCAACGCGGCCTTTGAGGCTCCTTCTCCAATACAGAGACTTTTGGCATTACAGTCCAAAAACTGTTTGCCCATCAACTCCTTGACCACAGTGACAGTCAAATTGACATCTTGCTTGCAATTCATAGAGTCGAATGAACCCCAAAAGGTGTTCAGCACCCGACTCGGAAACAGGTAGGAGCTCTGAGTCAAAGTGACAATAGTAGAATCGGAATCCGCGATACAGTCATTATAAGTAATCGGAGCCAACGCTCCCAAATTTAAGTTTGATGGGACGCGGACCAAAGATACAACGGAAAGAGCAGAGGCCAGTAAGAATGCTCGAAAAAGCACGCGCCTCGCTACAGACCCTTTAAGGATCTGAAATGTCAAGGTCCTGGCATCCATAATTTTTCAAATGGATGCCCAGAAAAGTTCACGAGAGCTAGATCACCGAGAAGAAGCAAAATTCGAAGAGGCGGTTTTGATTTGTCTGAAAATTCAGAGAGAAATGAAAGCCGGAATGGAGAGGCGGGAGAGGAATTAGCGAGTGCAAAACCTGGAGGAGGTGTGATTTCCACCCACGAGGACACCCATCGGTTTTTGGAAGTTTAACCAGACCCTCATCGGAACCCTCTTCGACATTGGCTTGTCCCAGCCACCTCCCATCTTGGATGGATTGTCTCCTATCTCCGCATTGATCCCAGAAAAATCAACTCATTCTGAAAGTTTCGTATTCAATGAGTGAATGAATTTTGCAGAAAACCCTAAACCCGAAGAACTGCGGGGCGAGCAAAGACGAAGCCACAAGCCTTGTTGAGCTCCGGAGTTGAGTGTGCAGGCGCAGGGGTGCGCAGATCTGATAAGATATAGACAGAACCGGGCCAGGAGCAGCCCATGCGAGGCGCAGTGCGTGAATGTGTACGGTGACCATGGTCCGAATCATGCTTACGTGGCTAGACAGTGGGACCCATGCCTCTCTATTGAATTCGCCTGATGCCGTTTTTAATTTATGAATTAACTAATTAACTGTTACAAATAGTTATAAAATTTTATCATAAAATTTAAGTGATTCTTAATACTATTGTCATTAACTATACTAAATTTTATTATGACATTAGTTTTTACTTTTTCTCACAACTCCTATTGATAGGAAGGACATATATATATATATAAAATATTCAATACCAATTAAAACTAGTAAAAAGTCGTATAAGATGGATTAAAAAATAATTTTTCAGAAAACTTAAAGGAGTATGAGGTAATTCCCCTTAAAATTTTAGCACATGGTTGTAGCTGTGATCAGATACGCCAAGATATGATTGCCTGCATGTTGACGTGGGGCGCCGACACTAAATCCCCAAAGGTGTAGGTGGCAGATTTTAGGAGATGGCCCGAATCGCGAATCTGGAGTTGGCATTAAATAATATAAGATTTTTTTTATATACTACATAAAAAGAATATTAAATTTAAGATTGGAGGAGTGTTACGTCTGATTTTAATTATAAAATTTTATTTAAAAATTATAAACAAAATTTTATAATTCGGAGATGGTATTTTTTTTTCCCATCTGAAGTTTTTTTAAATATATATGCTACCTCTAGTCTTATTTATAAGATATTATTTATAGATTACAAATAACGTCTTATAATTAGGATCAGAAGTGATATTTGCCAAGGATTTTTTTTGGTAGCAGAGTTTTTTCTAATTATATACAGCAAATAATCCTTGATTACTTTTTATCAAATTTGAACATCTTTCAATAAACTAAAAATAAACTGAGAAGCTCCTGTTTGTGTAATTAATACGCTTAGCATCTCATTAAATGATTAAATAGAGCTGCGAGCAGGCCCCTACTCAAAGGAAGCTTCCTCTTCCTCGATAAGCAGACCCATACTCAACGGCGATATTCCATTGTTTTAATCTTGGCTGAACCTGAAACAATGGGAGTAATAATCTGACACTGCTATTTGCTGGCCATACGCGCACTCTCTCTCTCTCTGGTCTTTATTATTGAAGCTCTTTTAAGAAATTTTTTTTAATTTTTTTGTAAGATCTTTGATAGATTTAATGAGTATTAAATATTTTGTCTATATAGTGAAAAACTAAAAATTAACATGATATTACAACTTAATGCAGGTAATAAGAATAATATTAATAGCAAAAAATAAAATTAATATTAAGAATCGCTCCCATTTTATAATAAATTTAATACTTTTAATTAATTCTTAGATAATATTTTTAACTATTTTTATTAATACACATAAATAAGTTAGAAATTATTTATGATAACCATCATTGTCTTAGGGAAACCGTGAATACTGAATAGGTGTTGGGTCCCAACAATGCATACGGATTGCCAACTGTAAAGGGCCCCACCCCCCACATGCTCTTCCATCTTTCCACACGGCCACGCCCCGCCCAACCCCCGGCTCACTCTCGCGTTCTCGCTCATATGATGATTTATTCAGCATTTAATTAAAATAATCTGGAGAGACTTTTATTATTCGATCCAATAAATCCAATTCAGTCATTTCGTTTTATAGCGAATTTTCAGAATTTTATCGCTCTGCTTTGAGTTAAAATGGCCAGTGGTTTTATAATGAAATTCTTCCAAAAATTTGGATTACCATTTTTAAAATGTATCATTTCTTTTTTAAATTAAATTTATTTTTACACAACCAGGAAATAATAACACGGGTATTAATAAAATTTTCATCTTTTAATTACTCAAACTAAATTTGGTAACACTTCTCCAAAATTAATATTTATTTTAGTTCTTAACATAATTTGTACTTTTAAAGTTATTCAGTAGAGAAATCAAATGATTAAATAAATTAATAAAAAGCAAATAACCAATTAGTCAGTGGGTCTTAGGGAGTGTTTGAAAATATATAAAAATATTTTAAAAAATATTTTTTATAAAACAAGACAAATTTTTTATATTTATTTTACATACCATAAAAATATTTTTAAAATTATAATTTGATTTTTATTTTTCACCGCTCAGGCAGGCAATGAGTAAAAAGATTTTGAGGCCCAACGTTATCTAATCGAATGACTAACCCTATAAGCGGCAATTTTAATCTCTACAATGAGATTATTGTAGCATGGAAGAACAAAAATGACTGTAATCCACAAATGATATGAATAGGACATCTTTTCTACTTTTTTTTTTTTTTTAATTTACAAAGACACGCATTATCAGTGGAATAAAGCTCAGGATCTCCCGCTTTCAAGTGGCTTTTCTTGACATTATTGGCATACAAATAAAACATCTATAACACGTACGTAACATTCGTAGTTTTTCCGTTGGCCGGAAAACAATAACATCCGTAGTTTTTCCTGAAAATTATCGAGACCAGCTCTTTCCAATTTGAATCATGCAGATAAATACATGGATCAATGTAGCCTCCTTGGAAATTAAATGGAGTGAATTAATAATGAAGCAGGGAAGCTGCGCTAGTGCTTAGCTATAAAAAGTGCCCAAATAACGTCAAAAATCCAAAGGAGGAATGCCAAGCAGTTGAAAATCTCTCAAGGTTATATGAAAGTGCAACAAATAAGAATTTCAGATTATTCCTGTCGTTAGGAATGTCCTAAAGAGGGGAAAACGAAAAAAGCCGTTTTGTAATTACAGAGGAGGAGGAGGAAGAAAAATCTCCTACCCATCCTCAATGCCGTCAATGGCATTCTCATCCCTGGATATACAATAGAACCACTTTGGTTCATCTTACTAGTATAAACACCTTAAATTATGAAACCAATCGGATTAAAACATAAACAACCATATCAAGAAAAGGAAAAAGAAGAAGGAAGCTAAAATTCCCTTTAGATTGGCAACATCTAGTCATTGCTTGTAACTAGAATTACCAGCCTTGCTTGACAGTGTAGATTTCTCTCTGTGGCTGCTAGATAACAATGTTTCGGTGTTGTTTGATTGGCTGTCGGCAACCCCAGGTCTCATCCAGATTTTTATGTGCCCCTCCCTGCAGGCAGTAAGTACAGATTCCTGAGTAAATATCACGCTTGATAGTGGTTCAGTATGCACACGGTGAGCGACCAGTGGTGAGATTTTAGGCACATCCTGCATGCTTGGAGCAGGTTGCAGCGTGCCCAATGGGACGACATTGTCCCAATGGGATGACTGGCTTCCGGTACTGTACGTCGGAGATCCACCAGGAGGACGTCTTAATGGTACTACTATCTCATCCATTTCCAAGTCCCACAGAAGCAATTGAGCATCCTGACCATCAAAACATTTAAATGCCAGAATTTATGTAATCGAAGAGCTAGAGTAATGCAAAAATGTGATGAACAATAATTTATATCAGCAGTATTAATCACAAAGTGAACGACGATCACACAGACCAAAGGCCAATAAAGTTCTGACAGCATCACATGCCCCTAGAAGTACATTTCTCCAAATCGCAGCACATTTCCTCAGATTTTCAATATGTTATTGATGCAGCTGGAGTTCATCTCCAACTTGTGTAGAGTAAAATAAAATGTGATACAGGTTTATATATAATTTATACTGCCAACAAAAATATCTCCCTTCCTACCAGCATTCTGCTACATGTTTCCAATTAATTAACTTTCCTTTGGCGGATCACAGTGAAATATGACAGCAGCTGAACCCAGCATTCTGGATAATTAATTGGATAATTAGCATTTTCTAAATGAAATATGACAGCAGCTGAACCCAGCATTCATCAATACAGGAATAAGCTACGACCATATATTAGTCTTTCTCATATATTTATTTTGTTGTTTCAGCTTTTGCAGCATCTTTAACTAATCAGCACACTATTTCCTATAGGCCAGCCGCAGAACTCATAATTGGCACCCATGACTGAAAATTTTTCATAATGATACTCACCAGATTTGAAAGTTGAAAACCAAAAGCCCCATAATAATCCGTCAACTCCACCATAAGCAGGCAAATGGTTTGTTTTTAACAAAACTTCAAAAATAACCGGGCTAAAAACTTTGACCAGAATTTTTTTTTTTTTCCGTAAGCTAAGAGCCATAACCACAAGAATAAATGAAATTATTTGTCTAAGTACCTGGCCTACAGAACCAAAGCTAATACATGAAATCAAGAGCCACAACCACAAGAATACATGAAATTATTATTCTGAGTACCTGGCCAACAGAACCAAACCTATACATAACACTCTCTGCATTGTCATTTGAATTTGGTGAGGACCAATATGAATCAAAAGCCACTCCACTGACCTGGTAGGCAGCATTTGACAGAAATTAATGCTATGACAGAATACAAGCTTCCAACTAGAGTTAAGCAACTTACCCATGAGTTGTGCCCCTCACCCCATGCCACAACCTTGCGATCTTCCATGCTCCAAACTTGAACTAAATCATCTTCTCCTCCAGTCAAGATATATTTTCCATCCATGCTAATAGTAGAATTACATAAGGGTATTTAGACTATGAAACCAGGGGTATACCAAGCACTATTTTGAACAAGTTAGGTATATTATATTTGAAATTGAAACCTTAGAGACGAAGATATAAGCAAATAATTAATCACAGATGATAATCAACTAATAAAATGACTTTAACTAAACATGTCTCACCTCCAAGCACAACATAATAAAGCACCATAATAACTTTTGCCCCCACATATAAGTTGTTCTTTCGAGTAATCAAACACTCGTAAATAACCTGAATACAAGTTATCAGATGAAATGATTAAGTTGTTCGTACCAGAAAAATAAAATCAGATGCACAACTACCACGCAACGCTGACAGCATTGAATAAATATGTACCATCTCTTCCAACAGTTGCTAAGTATACCCCATCTGGCGAGAAAGACATGCTATTGATTGACCCCTGGCATGTGTGCCATCTGGCTATTGGATTACTCTGCAAAGATTATATCCCAAAAACAAATTAACTGATAAATGTCAATTGTTATGCAATAAGTAAAACTTGTGTGCAGCCATAAGGTTATCTGTTATTGTCATGTCAAGAAAGAATCATAGCATACGACATGAGTAATAAATCACAAAGAAAATGGAGATGAATAAACAAATGGCGTTCAGATGACTATAATTAACAGAAACTAAAAAATTATGAGAAAGCAGCATGCCAATAGAGCGACGCGTCGGCAATATAATGAGTAAAAGAGAGAATTTACGATGTTAAAACATAATTGGCATATATACAGGTGTCAACCTTTGCCTAGTAGTCTAAATTAAAATTTCACAGTTAAACAGCATCACTAAATGAATGGTAAAATATATAGTTCTAAATTTGTGATGCAGATAAACACCATGTCTAATTAGTAATCATACTGATGCAATTACCCTCAATTTTGGAAACAATTAAGTCCATAGAAACACATGTAAAATGCAGTTAACAATATTATATTTGACTTCTTGGGCCAAAAAAAGAAAAACCGTAGTTTGCTTAAAAGTGGCGCAGGCAGGAACTTAATACCTTACTATAACGTGCATGTGCAACAGAAAATTGTGTTTGATCTTTGATAACTGGGAATGATGAATCACCAGCACCGTCTTTGCTCTGAAATTAGATAGGAAATGCAAATATACTCAAATCATTGTAAAAGAACTCATAATTGACAAATTATAAGATTTGCATCTCTTTTGAGATCAAGGCTTGCCTTTTCATATACGTACAAATTCCCATCAGCATGAGCTACAACAAAAGCACCATCACCTCCCGGTGCCCAAGCTATACAAGTGCATCGACTGCTCAGAGCAACATGCCTCAATCAAGCTAGATTCCAAATATAGTTTCTCAACACCATTTCAACACGCATGGAAGTTCATGAAGGCTTCTTAAACAATTTCAATAACTAAAATTAAGAGAGATGGCTTCCAATCTCTCTGCCACTCAAAGCCAAGAAATTAAGACCGCTGTATTTCACTTGAAACTAGTTTGAATACATTACTTGGTATAAGTAGAATTCATTAGACCAATTTGCCACTGGCCAGAAATTCCTTCATAAGCTCATAGAAAGATATATGACTCCATCAAATACAAGTCATCCCAGAAGCGCATTATCCTTGTATGGGACTTAAACAGGATGTAAACAAAGATCACAAGGATTATTGCATCAAACCTGTGATATGAACAGGAAGAGAAAATATGCTCATAATGCCAGAGACAAGCCACATAATAGCGTAGGCCATAACATTTCCAGATTTCTATGCCTCATGACTAATGCTGAAAAAGGAAGACCTTATTATGAACAAGAAACAAGCAATGTCAACTTTTAAAATATCAAATTTCCTTCTTCGAATAAATGAACACTTGCATTCATCTTTCCATGGAAGGAATCTTTTGAACAACTAAATTACCCGTACTTGATCAAATTTTCCCTTCAATTCCAAATTCAGAAGTAATATTTTCTGCCACTTAGTTAAATGCTAAAGAGAATAGAGCATATGGATGTAAATATGTTAATCTGGCACATCATATGGCAAGACCTGTGAATACAACACAAGTTGCATTACAGAAGCATGAATGTGAATACAGGGTTCTCAGCACCCTATAATGCTAAATTAGCAAGATATGTTCACGCCTGGAGAATAACAAAATGTTTAAAAAGGAATAAAATCTCAGCAGGCATCATTTTCATCAAAAGCAAACACACAAAGTTTAGTGCCTACAGAGTAAACAGATCTAACTGTTAATGTCAAGATTTATAGCTCCTTATGCCAAATCCCCACATCTCAACCACCTGACCTAGTGTCTGTCTACCGGTCTAAACCATATATGAAAAATGGGTTGAACAGAAAACAAGATAGGCAACTGAAACTCAGCATCGAAGGCACTAAAACAGCCATCTTCATGCATTTGTAGCCAGCTAGCCACGGGGATATGGATTATAGATCAGTAACTAGCTTAAACGTTTTTCTTGAATTAACAGATAGTACAATCTGTCTCTGGCTAAATCATGAATTTGGGTAGGCAACACTCAATGAAATTTGGGCACCTTTCACATAGTGAATATCAAATTCAGGACTTCTGAGCATAAGATCCTCCAGCTTGTTTTTCTTGGAAATTTATCATAAAAGCTCACAATCGACTTGAACAACAAAAGGGAAGTTCACAAAGAAGGTGGTTTGTTGCTTTGAAGAACCCTTTGAAACAGAATTTGTTGTAATGATTAAATCTTGCCTGTTATTGATGGAACCATCTTTGTTGTAATGATGAGCTCCAACAAGCTTTTTGCCAGCATCCTGTAACTGCTGTCTAAGTGACACTGAGTAGACTACAATAATAAACACAGGGCCAATAAATTTATAAAATTCCAATTTTCATTATAGAAACGAAAATGGAGTCTTGTGAACATTTATTACCATCACCGTTGTTCAAACCAATAAGTAAATCATGCCCATCCTTAGCATCCGGATCAAATGCATGGCACACAGGATTGGAATTACTGAAGTGAATAGACTTAACGGGGTCCTACATTAAATGGAAAGCCTCTCACAAACCAAAACCCAAAGTACTTCAAATCCATCAAAATTCAAACAGTATACCTTGTCCTGAGAATTCAGATCGCTTATGAAAATTGCATCACCAACATTAAAGATCAAGTAAGTTCCTTTTCCATCGAAATTTGAAATAAGCATCGAATTACTTGTGCTTGAGGCTCCAAGGGAACCAATTCTACTGTTTACTCCAGCATTCTTGCTGCTACCATTCCCTCCAACAAAACTAAGTGCTCGGCTTCCGTTGCTTCCTCCCAACAATTTAGCTGCTGCAGACCTTACCCCGCTAGTGGCGCTGAAACTTGAAGATGTACCAGTTGGTGTTGAAGGCGTTGGCTTGTCCTTGAGATGTGCCAAAGTTACCTGATAATGCCATCAAATCAACACCACGATTGCACATGGAGACAACAGTAATGGGAGGAACACGCAATCGACAATAAAAAGCAATTCATCAGGTGGGAAAGCCACGATATTAGAAAGATTCAAGCCGTCTCTGACATTGATTCTACAGAAGTAGCCGACAGAAAATAGAATAACTGGTGGAACTAACAGAGGTATAATAACCAAATTAACTTCCAAATGCCTAAATACCAATACGTAGGACCAATACCAACCAGAGTACCGGCATTTCTGACAATCGTCTTTTGTTAAATTTAGAATATAAAGACACCCTTGATATGAGAAACATGATTTAACTTCGAATTGATAGTATGATGTAAGACGAATTCATCATGAAGAAAAACCCTAGAGGCGAACACTAATATTGACAAGGAGAATGTTAGCTGATAGATTGTACTAAATGGGCGTCATGAGAAGTACCCACCTCCCGGAAGAGAGAAAAAAATAATGGCAAAACAAATTGGAAGAAAACAAAATAGAGAGAGCTAACCTGAGTGACGGTTTTACCATGAGCGTAGTGAAGGAGACCGGAAGGATGACTCTTCTCATATTGAACCTTATAACGACCTTCTGGAGTCTTAAAATAAGTCTTGAGGCCAGGGGCTTGTGCGTTGGCCGACGAAGATGGGGACATGGTACCGTTGGCGGTGTTGATCATGGTGGCGATTAAGATAGGAACGATAACATATGATCATGACAATAAGTACTTAAAACATTGAATCGAATGCTCCTTCGCGCTTTGGCAGGTCTCGCCTACGGCTCTATACTAAGAGTATGTCGTGCTCAACGGCTTCTCAGATCAAACGCATTTCGGCTGATTGAAACGCTGCTGCCAAGTGAGAGTAGAGTGTATTCATGAAAAAGGCGAAAGATTTGACATCAACGCCCTCCTCCACAGTCAACGAAACGGGCGGCAACCATTCGTAGTGGGATCTGTCTATAGGGGGGAACCTTGTTTGCAAGCACTTCAACGGCACATGGGCTCCATTGAGACCCATTCACCATTTCGTGCTGTTCTGCAGTCAAATGATCAATCTCCGCACTTTTGGACACATCACACTTCTTTAGCCTAATCCATTTCATAAAAGATTCCATCCGTTCGGGGCTCAGGTGCATCTCATGATGCCTCCTCTTCCGTTTTCTGTCCTTTCTTCCCCGGGCTTTTCACCTTTTGGTTTGGGCTTTTGCTATTGGAGATTGATGGGCCTGATTATAAGAATTGATCCTCAAACTACTCGTTTGTGAGGCGCAATAGCCCACAAAAAACCCTACTATTATTTTATGTTACAAATAATAGTACGATGAGAAGATGAAATAAACAGGAGGATAGTTGAAGCAGTTCGACGAGTACTTCAAATTTTGCCGGAACAGGAAATCCTCGGTTCAGTTACTTTTCAATGTTTGATGGAGCTCATGCTTGGAAAAAGCTAGAACAAGTCAAACTAAGAGTGTTTGGACTCAAAAGTGCTTATCAGAAGCATTTTTTCACAAAATGGACAAACTACATATTTACTTGTAACTGTAAAAACACTCTAAAACCTAGTCAAAATACTTCTTAAGATTTGTAGCAGTACGTGGAACATAGTGTAAAACGGCATTTACGTGAGAAGGAAGGTGGGTATTACACCAAGCCCATTGGCGGGAGAACAACGGAATATCATAAATGTTTTGAGTCTGTGCCCGAACTGGTTAACATCTGATATGTTTATGGCCGAAAAGGAACAACCGCTTAGAATTAGGCATTCCTTAAATGCGGCTAACCACGTAGCTGGAGTAACGACACTGACAACTATTAACCGACTTACTGAGAAAAGCCGAGAGATAAACTTCAATTGATTCGCATGTCATTTCTCTAAATGAAAAGTGAGAGACTGATGTCACCGAACCAGGATGCTGTATTTTTTCACAGATGAAAACAAACTTTTCTACATATTTATTTTATATACTGTAAAGTCACTTTTAAAGTTATAGTTTGGATTTCCATTTAAATACCCTCTAATTTATATTCTGTGAATGTCGCTGATATGCAAAATGTATATACACATTCAAGATTTAAATACAGTCTAAAATATGGCTAAGAAAATGGACAATCAGCATAGACGAGTTTCTTTGCTAATTCTGTTAATAAAAGTAAAGAGTTGGCAAAATGAACAAATAAGAAATACTATTTTTAGTTCTTGATATAAGAACTAGTTGGCTGATTTAAATAAATTAAAAGAATTTTTTAAGTTAGTTACTTATAATAAATATGTCTTATCTTCTCTAAAATATTTTTATTAATAATGTGTATTAGTTAGAACTATTATTTGATGAAAATCTAATGTGCAGTTACCACAAAAACTATAAATAATAATAAAAAAATAAAATGAATTAAGATATTATATTTAGAAACTAAGTTTTATATTAAAGTCAAGAAGTCGCAGAACATGTAATCCCTTTACGGCAATAATTGTCGCTACTTATTAGTGATAAGTAGCAGCATTGTTGAGTAAATTGAAACAGAAGCAAAAGGTAGAAACATCATTTCGCCCACCCCACTGACATTTCAATCCCATATCAATTGCCGATCTGATTGTTTTTCCTGCATCCTAAAGCTACTCTCCTTTCCCGTAATGTTTTGCCTTTGCACAGAAAAGTCCACGCTTGAGATTCTCTTGCCACCTTCTATGAATCACAACTCTCCACCTCATTTCTTATCACTCACTTCTCTTTCACTCTCCTTATATATCCATGCAAAATCCCATCCCTTCACTTGTGACAAATCCTAGTCTTGTTGATTTTTTCCCAGAATGGCCAAGCCAAGCCTCTGTTTTCCATTAACGTCTTCTAGTTGCCGCAGTCAGTTTCTACGCAAACACCAGCACTGGCTCCAGCACCAGCTAGCCCCACCAAGATTACCCAGATCTTCCAAAAGGCAGGCCAATTCACTACCTTCATCAGGATAGTCAAAGACACCTAGGTCGCCGATGCCATTAATACTAGGCTCAACAACTCGAACGAAGGCCTCACCGTCTTCGCACCCACTGATAATGCCTGGAACCAGGCACTCTCCATCAATTCCCTGGAACAACTTCAGCTGGCCCAGTTCCACGTTCTTTACAATCTGTACACCATGTCTCAGTTTTAAAATGCCAGCAATCCCTTGCACACGGAGGCTGGAAACGGCGATGATGAAGAGTTTCCTCTGAATGTGACCACCTCAAGGAACCACGTAAACATAATAAGGGGGGTGGTAAATGCAACGGAGGATAATACTATATACACTAAGAAGCAGCTTGCGGTGTATCAAGTAGATCAAGCGATCCTTCCTCCAGCACTTTTTGGCCCTCCGCCAACAGCAGCACCAGCTCCGGCCCCGGCCCCGACCAAGTCGGAGAAAAATGTTCAAGCATCGGATGCCCCATCTGGCTCTTCAGATACCGCGATTGACACTCATGTGTAATCGGTCTTAAGTCTTGACAACCGTGCCGCAGAAAGTATCTCCGTCATTATTGCGGTTATTACCATGGCTGCTTCCTGTCTGTGGCTATAATTCTTGGGGTCCCTCGTTTTCTTGCAATTTTTCCGCCTTAAAGTGAGCCTTCAGCTCTTTGGGAATGGAGATCTTGTGGATTAGAATTGATCTTTATTTAAATTAACATTAACAATGAGTAGTGAATATGTAATTGAGATTTTATCAGATTTCATATCTTATAGATAGCAACAAAGCCGTCCAAGCTATGCATGTCATCGGCGTAAACAAAATTGAAGTTTCGATCCTTTTCAAGGGGCCACACTTCGGGTGAAAATCACGCTCAAAATCCAGAAAGATAAAAACGTGCAATAGAAACTTGTTGAAGGAATTCTGGAGTTGGCTTGGAGTAGAAGTAACGCATCACATGGTGTAGTGGTGTTAACAGTAGAAAGTGGGATAATCTTCCACCGCACTGACAGGCAACATAAAAATTAACAGAGGAACAAAAAGTCGGATCCCCGCTACAAAAAAATGGTAACCATTTTTGGGTTCCCCTGCTAATAACAATTATCCATGATCAGAAAATCATGAGAAACTTTCATTCACATTCTACCCTGCATCACTACCGTAGCTGTCTGTCACGCTAGGACGCAGTAACTCGAAGAGTAATCCAAGAACTCTACCATCCAGCAGGTAGGTATTTATATAAGGGCGTGATTTTCTTTTTTAAATTTAATGGTAAGGTAAAGAAATAAAATATTTCAATCCAAATGTATAATTCTGGTAAAAAAAAAAAAAAAGCAAATGTATAATGACTGCCAGGCCCCTCACTTCCTGCATAGGCTAAAGCAGATCCAAACAAAATTTTCTACAAACATCATCTCTAAAGTCATTTCTTATCTTACAACTTACAAGCCTATGCAGATGGCCTACCCATTTATCCCAACAGCCGTTAGAAATTAGTCATATCATTTGTGAGCTCCTCAATAAAAGTCGCAACTTTCCATGATCATCAATCAAAAATGAAACTCAAAGCCGCCGCCGCCGCCGCCAGGAAAGCCCCCAAATCCACCAGGGAAGCCTCCCTCAAAAGTAAAGGTAAACTGCTGGCCCCCGCCACCAAAGGGGTTGAAACCTCCGCCTCCCCCACCCATTCCCATGTCTTCAAGGTCTTCCCCTCTGTCATATCTGGTTCGTTTATCTTCGTCACTCAGAACCTATAATTCATTGTAACAATCAGTAATAAACAAACTAATCACATCCCAATCACAGCAAGTTTCTCTTAAATCCCTCAATCACATCTACCAACAAGAGATTGGAGTAGACGAGCATGGTAAGATTGAAGAAACACTAATATTAATGCAGAGTAAGTCATTATATTCATGATTAAGACCTCATATGCAGCAGCAATTTCTCGGAATTTAGCCTCTGCTTCTTCCCTGTTGTCCACGTTCTTATCAGGGTGCCACTGCAAAGCAAGTTTCTTGTAGGCACGTTTTATCTCAGACATAGAAGACGTTTTTGAAATCCCCAGAATCTTGTAGTAATCTTTGCGCTTGCTTATCTTTAAAGCTTTTTCAGCCCTCATCAAAGCTTCACGAATATTCATATCCTGCAATGATAGACAAAACATATAAGTACTACATATATAAAAAAAATAAAAAATAACATGATGATGATGATGATGATGATAAAAAACAAACATTCCCTGCATAACAAGCAGCTGAAAAGGTTGCAAGGCAGAGTTCTTTAAAGCAGAGGTCTCAAATTAAAATAATTAACACAAACACTAATAAGACAATACTCCCAACTCTTGACTTTCACCTCTCACACTATCTGTCAATAAATAGGAGTTATGAATAACAAATGCGGCTTCAATTTTAAATCAAATAGTCAAATCGATTTCTCCTCTGGAGAACAGCATAGAAAAACAGTCACAAATTAATTGACCCAAAAGAACATATTTGATGGCAATGAAAAAAGGGGAAGCAGAAGAATAACGCCAACCCAGAGGAAAAATAAAAGAACACAACTTTAAAGCAGTGTGCTTCACCTAAACTCTGTAGCCCAAGAAACAAAATTACTCACAGAATCTCCAGTTCCAGCAAATTTACCGGTGATTATAATTTGAAACTCTAAGACAAACCTGAGGAGATTTTTGAGTGGCTGATTTCAGATCTTGAACAGCTCCCTCCCAATCCTCTGTTAGAAGTTTAGCTTCTCCCCTCTGAGATATATAACAACCAGATAAGTAATTCTAAGTCAGCCCACACAATATGTAACTGGAAATAAGGTAATGCGTTCTACATTCCATATACGAGAGAACAAGACAAAACAAGACGACATCAAGGAGAAGCACAATGGCACAAAAGCGAACCTGAACAAGAGCTTCAACGAGATCTTCATTGATCTTAAGAACTTCATCACAACTGTTCAAAGCATCTTTTCCCCTACCAAGTCTAACCAAAACTTTACACAAGCCAAGATGCAGATGTACATTATGTGCAAGATGCTTAGGATCAACTGCCAGTGCAGTTTTGAATTCCTCCACGGCCACCCGCAGTTTACCCTTACTGACATTATCTTCAGCCTGCAGGAAGCAAACAAAAACCAGCAATGGCTCTTGAGCACCACAAAGTAGGGAAAAAAGAAAAAGAATCATACATAAGTAAAAACATTCAGGGAAAAAAAAAAAGGATGCATGCTTACACTTTTACTCTTTTTCAGTAGATTTTTCAATCCGAAATATGCTTTTTTCAGTTCACTATGCTCAGGATCTAGGCGGAGACCTTTCTGGTAATGCCTGAACATGTCCACAAACACAATACATTATACCCAAAACGACAAAGGCATTATGAGAATTTAATAGTGTTTGCTACATCACAAACCTCACGGCAACATCATGATCAGCCAAATAATAGTATGCACGCCCTCGAAGCAACAATGCCTCTAAATTATTCTCATCTTCCTTAAGAATGAATCCAGACTCCGCAATGGCCTCTTCATAGTCTTTATCAGCAATCAACAGCTTTACTTTTAGAAGCTTAGCCTGTAGCAGACAATTCCTATTGAGTTAACATGCTGGTTCCACCCAACACTTCAGACCAATTACTTCCAGAATATAAAATGCAACTATTGATACATGGAAACGATGCTTAAAATATGAAAAAGTGCAAAGCTGTACCTTTGAGCATTCAGGAGAAAAAACAAGCACTATTTTATTGATGTATTCCAAGGATTTTGAGAAGTTGCCCGAATCAAAGAATGATTGAGCCGTTTCTAGAGCACTTTGGGCCTGCAACAACTGAGAGAGTTCCTTTTCTGCTGCTGAATTTCCAGGTTTCATCTCCAAAAACTTTCTGTAGCTCCCCTCAGATTCCTTGTATCTACATTAGCCAAAAAGCACCTGAATCATATAACTTTATAATTAGGAGTTTGAGAGAGAGATGGGGAGGGGGAGGAATTGCATGGTGAACACTGTGGAACCAAGGGGCTTCCATGTATCATTCTGTAATTTTTCAATCTTAAACAAATTTTAGGAAAGGTTGATGGGAAAAAACTTTCAAATGTAACAACCCTCATTCCTGAGAAAAAATGATTGGCAATTTGATCCCACCATCTGCGGTTAGTGACTCAATAACACTCTAGTATTAGATTGTATAAAGAATTACTCCATAAAAAATATACTTGATATTTGTAAAAGTTTTTTAGTGGCATTGTTCTCAAGAAGCAGAACAGGGATGCGTCAACGATAGACATTGAAGTTACTAGGAAGGAATGGGAGAGATAACGAAGTGAATATTTTCCTCTCTGGATATTCCTTCATTTAGCTCAAGGTGGAATCTAGGTACAACATTAAAAACTCATATATCCTTTCTATATATATATATATATATATATATATATATATATTATACATAACTTCCAGGAGATAACTTCCCAACATCAAACAACAAATATTTCTAAGCTTGAAGAAGCCAAGGAAGGTAATAAAACACTTGCAAATAAAGCACACCTGCATATCTGGCGAAGAAGTGATGCCCGGCGTAGGTATGCTTCTGAAAGGGTGGGATCTGCTTCAATGGCAGCATTTAAATCATCAAGCGCCTCCGTATAACGCTTCACTTTTATACTGTGTGACACCCTCTCAAATAACTCAGCAGCATTTCCAGATTTTCCCTCTATTCAGATACAATTAAAAAATTTCAGACTGTTTAAGCAAGAGACAATAATTGGACATCAAGCATTAAAATATATATATATATATATATATATATATATATAAGCGGATAAAATACAGAATACTACTTATCCCCACCCTCTGCTTCTTGAGCTCTCAGTTCTTTTTTGACCAGTTTTATGAGCTCTTACTTGGGTATCTACATGGTTCAGATTGGGTAACCATAAAATGTTACTATCAGTAACCTTTTTATCATCAACGGGTAAATGTCTAGAAAACACTACAGAAGAAAGGTAAAAAATGAAAACCATCAAAACAAGAATACCTCTATTCTTCGTGAGAAACAAACGTATCTTAGAAGAATAACCCCAAAAGAAGAAGGATGTTAAGATAATCCAGTCAGACATTTGCTATAAGGACATAAATTTAGCCAAGAGACTCCACTTTGTGATAAAGAAGAAGAAGGATGTTTGGGTTTGCTTAAAAGTGCTTTCCAAAAGCATTTTTCTGCAAATCGAGACCAACTCCTCCACATATTTACTTCACATACCGTAAAATCACTTTTGAAACCGTGGTTTGGTTTCCATCCAAACATCCCCTAAGAAGCGTATCAATGTGACTACTGATTAAGTGGTCATAGAGTTCTTATCTATTGTTGTGCCAGTAAATCCAAACTGAAACTTGATAATACACCTTCCCGTTATAATGGTCACGACTTGGTCAAGCAGAAAATATCAAGACTTAGCTGTACGTCAGATTATTTAATAGCATGCAATTAGCGATGAAAATTAGCTTGACATAGGTTGGAGCATGAGAACTTGACGCTGTAAACGGATGCTCTTTCAATAAACATTGTCGGTTAAAACAAACATCTTCGTAAGATTAACCCTTCAAATATCCTAGAAGGTTTGCGGTAGATTTACCACTTCCCTGTAGTGCATAACCCAACGGGGAGAAATGATATCTTTAGAAAAACGAGTCTTTTTGTAGATAGTAGTGCATTTTGTCAAATGCATTTCAATTTTTAATGACCAAATTCGCATTATGAGTATGGCAATTGCTGCCACTTCTGTTTAGCTAAATGTATATTTTTTATACCATGATCAAGGATTTCTCCAAAAGCATGCAGACGTCACCTTTGTTGCTTCTGTTTAGGGATCAGCTCTGATTTACGCATACAAGTTTCATACTACATCTCCCCGACAAGGTCCGGAAATTTAAACAAGAAGAGCTTAAAGTAACAAGAAAATCACAAAAACGCAAGACCAGCAGGAGCCCGCGAACACGAAACGGGACTGGATGACATCATTAAAATTTTGACATTGGAAGGAGAAAACGGAAAATGAACTTGGAAACTGTGGTGGGAAAATCAACCATTGCTTTTTAATCGGTTGAGAGTGACATCCCAGGAAACCATAGAAGAATAGAGAGATCAGAGTATCAGATTACTTACCCGAAGAGGAGACCAGAGGTTGAAGGAGAACGAGCTGGCAGACCAAAACAAAATTAAGAATGGAGATTGCGTAGAGCAGTCCTCTCCACCCTACGGCATCCATGGCGGGTGATAAACCCAGAAGATTAAGCATTGGGATATTTCTCTTTTAGTCTCAAACCCGGATAGCTACACACATAAAGAATAAATAGATGACTGGGAGCAATTCGCAGGGTACAGATGATCTGAAGTCGAAGAGGCTGGTCCGAGGGGATGCCGATGACAGGCTCGCGAGAAGAAAAGCCCGGATGATAAATAAAAAGGGAAATTAATCGGAATCGAAGCCTACACTGATACGACGACGCAGCATGTCATCCCACGTAGCTTCCGCCAATGACACATCTACGCGTGGATCATAAGACTAACTCTTGGCATTTCCTCTTTCAGCCACTGTGGCAGCTCCCAAAAGTATCCAATTAAAACCCGCCATGTCATAAGTGCCTTCTCTTACCATTCCATGTCACCATTGTCATTTTTAGATGTAAATATTAAGTTAAACTCGATTTAAAAACAAAAGTAAAAATGAGCTAAATTTAAACAATTGCGTGTTCTTAAAGTAACGCGTCGTCTATATTATTTTTATGAAAAATACCACCTGCTGCATATGGGAGTAATACTAGATATACTGAATAAAATGTTGATGGGAATTTATGATGAAAAAAAATGTAAGCAACTACCTTATTCAAAGGCTTCGTAGTCCATCAAGTAACAGAGCTGTTTAAAAATTTGTAACAACGAGATAGTTTTTAATTATGACAAATTAAATGTCATTTGTGCATCGATGACCCAACAATCGAGACCAAAAACATTATATTGGCCATAGAAATAAGGAAAGAAAATAAAATAAGAAAGGCGGGATTATTTAAACATTGTTGAAGGATATTTTCATTTTAATGTGCCCTCGTGTTTTGCCAAAAAAAAAAAAGGGGTTATTGGTGTTGCTAAGCTGGGCACATTTTTTGTCTTCCCCGCCGCCCACAGCAGTGAATTCAAACAATTTCAGAGGAAACTGAATTTGATAAATTTTTAAAACAGTGGTGCACAATTTTGCTGTTTATCAAAATCACCGATTCAGTATGATTAAAAGGTAAATTTTAGAGAGAAGCTCTTGTTAACACTTGTAGCAGTAAGTGCACCCTGCTTCCAATTGGTTGGTCGGGGCTCACAACGCGTGTGATTCAAAATCCGAGATGAGAAGCTAGGGGCTGGGAAGGATTAGAACTGAGGAGGCCCACTAATTGTTGGGCTTTCAGTAGTCCAACTAATTGTTGGGCTTTAAATGCACCGAATGCTTGTTGGGCTTTCAATGGCCCAAAATTATACAAAGAGACTGGGCCATACTTGCGGCTCCGCTTCGTCCGCCAGAAGAATCACCGCGTGGCACTTGCCCACCACAACCTCCATAGTAGAGACAGGAGAACCCCCAAAGTTTTTGAATAATTAGCTTTTTTATAATTTATTTAAAAAAATGAACTTATTATGAACTTTATATTTTATGCTGCTGATTCTAATATTGATATTGATATTGATGACCTTTTTCTTTTATGAAACCCCAGACAAAGGCTGACCAAGGAGATTTAGGTTTTGCTTCATTGTTAGTATGTGAGAAAATACAATTGCTACATATTTCAGGACCATATACATAGCTTCACCTATGTTTGAAATTTAACATCAATAACAAAACGCATGTAAAGGAGAATTATTCACTAGTCACGGACCATGGGTTCCTCTTTGGTTTCAGTGCTTTTAGATTATGTTAATTGGGATATGTCTGTGAAACGGCACACTTGGCAGTTGCTATGCAGAGAAGCAACACAGAACTGGATGCGAAATTAAACTAGTACCTATGCTGCGAGTCAAATGTGGAAGTTTGACCCAACGCCCCTATCTTAATTGATTTTAATTAATCACTGACACGTGTTAGCAATTAGCCAGTTAGCTAGCACACTTGACAAATTTAAAGCCTCCTCATTCTTCTAAATCATGGATTCATTAGAAAAGGTCCACTACCCTCAGCTACTTGACACATCCTTATTATTAACAGAATATGAAATGAAAATACCACCACTATATCTCTCCTTTTGCATGCATTGGGCCATTTTGATTAATAACTCTTTTGCTATGTTTATAAAGACCTAAAATGGCATTATATTTTTTTTGGTTTTTCAATTACATGCACTGGGCTCTGAGCAGCTTTTTCCTGTATTGTCGATGGAAATCATTATCTTTTTTGTTTAGTGTAATTAAAATGTCATTTTCCCTGGATAACCGCCGAAAACGCTGGGAGACGTACGAAGTTCTATTTCCCAAGATTAATCGCCTCCCTCTCATGTATCAGTAAAAGCTGAAAGTTGATAAATACGGGAACGTAGGCAAGTTAGCTAGGTTGGATGGGTCAGGACTAACAATAACATTCTATATTCCTAACCCCTCGTCACAACGGGCGGTCAACGGGATATGGTACGTGGCTTTCTGTGTGCTTTTTGGTCGAAATATTCCAAGATTATTTTATGCACTGCAGACTATATTAGTTTTGATCGAAGAAAGAGAAGGCGAACAAGATAAGATAAGAAGGCTAAGACGGAAGACAAAAAACAAGAAAGCAGGAACAAGAACAACAACTACAATTAGGAGAACATGCATGAGTCTGAGTCTCGGAGATCGCTGCTCCTAGCTAGGGTCACCTCAGACATGCAGTGGGCCCCCCACACACAAGCTGGGTCACATTGGTGGAATCTTCAACTACCCAATGAAACTTCAAATTTGCCTTGTTTTTACTTACACAAGGAGGGCCTGCGTTGCCTAGCTGGCTGCCTAATCTATCCAATCAGTAAAAACATAGAAACGACTTCAATGGTTGGCAGTAAATTGGGTTAAACCCATGGGGGAACCAATGGACGCAAACTTTGCCAGCTCTTGTGGTAAAAACGGGGGAGGAGGCCCAGCTCCTCCGGCACCACCGCCACCACCCATGCCGAGAAAATCTCTCGTTAAATTGTGTTCGGATGAAACACCTGGGTAAAGCTTCAATTGCACTTGTTGTTCACTTTGCTTTGCACTGGTCTGCATCAAGAGCTGGTCAAGATTAGTACTGTTCGATGCATGTGTGAACGAGCTAAAGTTGTTATCTGCTAGCACTGGCTCAGCACTGCTAGTTGAACTAAAGTTCTGGGGGTTGTTGGTGTTGTTGTTATCGTTGAGATTAGTGGTCGCGTGGGAATTAGAAGACGAGGACATCACTCCCAAAGTGCCACTGAAAATAGAGGGATTGTTGTTGTTGTTGCTGCTGCTTCTGGTGGAACCCATCTGAGCTGCTTTCTGAAGTAAAGCAGTCGCTGACATGGGAGAAGCTGGCTTTGACATAGCTTCGCTCCTTTTCCCACTTGATAGTAAAAGACCTGCGTTTGTTGAATTTGAAGAAGGCATTCCGAAATTGCAAGACCCAAAAGCATTGTTATTAGCTTGGGTAGTCATTTGTGCCATACGGTCACCCAAACCTGAAGAACAACTTGAAGACCCGTACAGCCCTCCAACGTCAAGGCCGTTATTATTTCCCTGGTTCAACCACATTGATAAGCTTGCTCTTTGCTGGTCCGTACCCATTCCTCCATTAAAATCTGCACGAAATCCATGCGAGCCAAATTGAGAGATTACCTCTGCGTTGTTTTCAAGTCCCAGGCTAGGTTGTGAGCTCATCGCATTCCCTTCGTTCTTGAAATTCAGGTTTGTTGTGGCAACCGAGGTGAGTCTCGCACTCTCTTCTGCTAAGGCGTCGCAGAAAGCTCTGTGTGTAATGAAGCTGTCCTTTCTGTTCATGTTCAACATTCAGTGAAAGGAACCACTCATTAAAAACTAATCATTTCCCAATTTAATGCCATGAAACAGGGGACTGAAGCATTTAATTAGCTTTTTTCCTTCGACAAACAGAGACAGCACGAAAACTTGATATCATATTCACATGTCATCCGTCTGAGTCTCACGATTAAAGTGACAAGCCCGATTGAATTATATGAGGAAGACAAAAATATGTACCTGGAGAATAGGTTCCCACAATCGCACTTGTATTCTCTTGTTCCACAAGTCTTGGTGTGAGCTTTCCAGTCAGATTGGACCGCGTATTTCTTGGAACACTTGTCACACTTCCATTTCTTCTCTCCATGTTTTCTGCTAAAATGCTTCTTTATGCCCGTGAGGTCGCCCAGAGCTCTGGATGGGTCATGGTGGACGCACGTCTTCTCCGGGCAGATGTAGACCTTCTTTCGAACTTCTTTATTGGACCTTTGTCGTAACTTCCATGGCAAGTTGTGACCCCTCCGGTGAAGCTGAAGGTTCTGATCTCTCTGAAACCCTTTGTTGCATATTTCGCAAATGAACCTGTTGGTGGCCATGAGAGTTTTCGGTGAGAGCGCGATGACCTCCGCATCTGGATCTGTTCTCAAAATTCCAGTTCCATTTAAAAAGAAACACAATGGTATGCGAAATTAAAAGAAAAGAAGAATGATGTGATCAGTACCTGGTGTTCCCGGGAGATTCCTTTTCTTCTTGGGATTAGGTTTAGGGTTAGGGTTTGGGTTCGGGTTTTGTTGTGGAGCAAAACCTCCGATGGAAGTGGATAAGGAGAAAGGGTCGCCAGACATCATTTGGATATATTGGAAGGGTTATAGCCAGCTACACGTAGCGACGCAGTGAGAACTGAAGACCAGAAGCAAACAGCTATCTTTCAAAGGGTTTCAGACAGTACAAGGAAGAAAACAAAGGGATTGGAGGAGTAAAATCCAAATTAACATAAATGGCTTTGGATGGTACCCAAATCTGCAAAGAGTTGGCCGGCTTTGATTCTGCCAAAGTCAAGAAAAAGCCATAGACGAAACTCGGAAGGAAAACTATATACTAATGCAGAGAACTGCGGACTCTTCCAGATAGTGATCTGGTTTCTTATTTGTTTGATTTCATATCTATAGAATAAAACCAAACACTATATCTCGCTGCAATAGATAATATCCGAGCTCTCTTTCTAGCTTCTCTCTCTCTTAGCTCACTCCCTTAATATGCCTTTGAGGTTCCTGTATGCATAGTCTCTATCTCATCTCATTTACTTACTGCCATTCCTCAAACAAGGTCAGCCATAGATTTTGATGGGTCACCCCACGCACCTCTCTCTCTCTCTCTCTCTCTGTGACACGCAGACACACACAAACAGACACGACACCCGCGCAGCGCACATCTGTGGAAGAGCGTGTGTGAGGGAGTGAAAAACTATGCCCTTGCCTTTTGCATAGTAAACCAGAATATGGAGTACATTAATTTGGTGCACAAACTCCAAATGGTTTTGCTTAAAAAGCCATCGTTATTTTTTTATTCTGGTGAAAAAGGCTCGGCTCGCATAATTAGGTAAGCCTTTTTGGCAGAAATGAATAAAATAACACTCCATGGTCCAGATGCCCATATAATATGTTGTGCTGCCTAGTTGGGGATTGTGGGACCCCGTGCATGGACAGAAGAAAAAGATCAAAGGTTAAAATGATGGTGGGGTTGACAGAAAAAGGAAGTTACCTTTATAAGAGCTTTTACCTGGTATAGAATGATTAAGCCATAATTACAGTGAAGGCTCCTTTTTTAGCATGCGATGAGAGATTAGGGCAGGGGCAGAGGGGTCAGCGAAACATTCACAAACAAACACATGCACAGGGAGAGGGGGAGAGAGAGAGTATTCTGTGGTTGTGGGGCCGTCGTAAGGGCGGGGGTGGGATACTGAGATGTGAGGGGATGTGTATCTCTTTTCCCGATGCAAGGTGATAGGACCGTCCGTGATACCATTGTCCGTCTCGTCGTCATCGGGTGGGGCCCCGGCACCGCCCATCGTCCCAAAAGTGGGAGTGAACCTGTGTGTTACACAGACGCTGGGCGTTCCCATTGGGGTGCAGGAGCACTGGAACAGGAGCAAGTCAAATAAAAGTCACACCTCTTTTGTTCATTGTCGTGGCGATCACGTACGTATACACCGGGACACATTACGTTAGAACTGCATCAGACATGTCCCACCGACATCATCTTGGTGTTCGTTCGCCACCACGACATTTCATTTCCTCATATGTAGATACCTTGTACGCTTTTCCTAACTCTGTGTATATATACATGTTTTTGTGTACATGCATGTACGCATTTTGTGATCCTCGCGGCAAGGAAAGGCAGTTAAATTAAAGTACTAGTATTTGAGAATAATTAATTTGCCTTCTTTATTTAAATGTCTGATCAGATGGAAAGTTGTTTGTAACGAGTGGGTATTTTTTGTTCCCTCGTTCCTAGACATGCACGCTTGCTATATATATACATATATATATATCGAACAAACTGATGAACGAACGTTGATTACTCAGTTCATGCAAGAATTTTTGAAATCGATCCCTTCATCATTCGTTCAATGAGTTGATGATAATTTGGGTAGGGTAGGTCTGTCACATTCATTGGACGGCGGGAGCCACTAGTGATAATTTGGCGGATTTTCTTAAAGTCGAATATACTGACACGTAACTACATTGCTTGCAATTAATAATTTAGCATTATCGGTTGAATCGTCGTCATTACAAATTAATAATTGACATATTAATTTCTCCTTCCCAATATCGTGAGGGACACTATAATTTATTTGGGAGGATTTGTCTTCCTAGCTCTACACACATGCGTTGATGTTGGCAATACGTACATAGACATATCTACGCGCTGATGTAAGATACTATCTGAATTTTTCATGCGGTAATTTGAGAACAAAGTTTTCTTCCCACCAGTATAAATCAATCTGTTATATATATTTCTCTGATTTTAAATATAAAACCTATTTTGGAAGATAAAATTAGTCTTATATTTTACACATATTGAAGTGAAAATTTCCCAACCACAGACACGGGCTTAACAATGGATCTGAGGATTACTTAACTGATTAAGACACCTCACCATACGCCCCCATAATTCATGAAAGTTGGATATATGATCACCACGCCAAGGAGGCAATGAAATGACTTAAATCATTGACCCATGTGATTTTCGGATTTTCTTTTTTCTGAAATATATTTGTGAGTCTCAAAATCTATTTTCGCCTCTTAATTCTTTATTTTAACTGTTTCAGTTTTGCCTTCGTCCCTTAATTCTATCCCATTTTAGCTTTTATTCTTAGCTTTAACCTAAAATGCCGTTAAATTAGCTTGAAACAATTTATTTCACGTTTATTTGTTGATTAAGCAATCCATTTACCGTAGCTTGAAGGAAGAAAAAGTATTGGAAAGTCTCTCTCCACGCAAGAAGCACATCTATACTCAGATAACAAATTGAAGTCTCTATATATAGTTACTGTGATGAGTTGACTAACTGCTAAACACAACATGATTCCACGTGATTGGAAGCCATTCAGATTTTGAAAATCAAGTAACCTATGATTCATCGGAGTACCTTTTTCCTGTCTGTTTCAAACAACTGCATTTATGTGTCTCATAAGAACAACTTTTTCCATCTGAAGCAACCACAACCACAACAACAGTACTATTTGCTTTTCCCTCCCTCGACTCAACAAATTAAATTAGTCCCTACCGAACTAAACACATACCCAGTTAATTAGGGTTGTAATTATCACTATTTCACAGCATAAAATTATTATAAGTTCTCACATCAACTGCAAGTCCATTCGTTTCGTGATAACCACCATGAACAAGTGCCTAAGGACCCGTTTGGTATGAGAGATATGGATGGGAGAGAAGAAAAGGAGAAGAAAAAATTTAACGAGTTCAATTTTAAAAAATTAAAAAAGTGGGGTTAGAAGCTCTTTTATATTACTTTTTTTAATTAAAATTTTAAAATCTCACTTTTTCAGTTTTTTAAATGAAGCTTATTAAAGTTTTATTTCCCTTTCTGTTCCATCCATTTCCTCCATGCTAAACAGTATCTAAAATGACAACAGTAATTAACGACGCATTTAATTTCCCTCCCTCTTTAAACGGTAATTAACAAGTTGGAATTTCAGTTTTCTTGTTATAGTAACCTGTTAAAGATGCAGAGGGACTTCACATCTGGAGCAAGTTGGTCCTTATATGTATAGACCAGTATTGACTTTCAGTGCAACGGAGGTAGGCAGGGAGGTTGAGGTGGAGCCTTTACTGTGTCCTGAAATGCACAAATCCACGTGGTTACGCAACTAATAGCAGAACCTTCCTTCCTCGTTCATACTCCTTTTCCAATCCATACACCCAAAAGATATATATATATATGTATGTATGTACATTTATAGCTCTCTCTATAGCTAGCCTAGCCATTAGATTTCCAATTAAACTATACATATTCTGATCTCATTTAATTTGGTCTAGATTATATTAGAGTGTAAATATAGCAATGGGTTTGAAAAGGGAAGGCCACTTCATCTGTGACTCCTCTCTAAACTGTCACTTTTTATACCAAACTCGTGATATGTGTGTTTATCAAAAGTAAGAATGGGGCATTTTACCTTAAGTACAAAGAAAAAGCTAGCCCCCGACACTGTTTAGTTACAACGACATTGTATTTTAGTATTATCCTACATTATCATCATCTCTCGACATGACTGATTTTGATAAATATAATACAACGACAAGTGATTAAGACTGCATTTGGGGCCCTGTGTTAGATCATATATGGTGGAATTGGTGGATACAGGAGATTAGGTGAGAATTACCAATCAGCGCCTGAAATTAAGAATAATGAAAGAGAGTTAATTAGGAGTAAATTGTATAAAATAAAGAAGGGAGGGCCAACCTGTTTGACAATATTGTATTCATGAACCGAATGATCAGGCCTGGGGTTACATCCATCTTATAATATTGTAGTTTGATGGAACCCAATATAAAAATATAACTAAAATGACCGAGAGAAGGCAAACTGACGTGTTGTGAATGATATTATATGTGATAAAATACGACTAATTTTGACTTGAAGCATCGGGAGCTTCTTCCCTTTCAATCCACATTAGTTGTGTTCCCTCCTCCCCATTCCAGCATCCTATGCTTTCTAATTTACCCCCCCCCCCACACACACACACACAAACACAATCGAGTGCTAATTAATTACTGAGGGAGCACTTATTAATGGACTCGTCAAATAATAATAAACGGATTTTTTCATTTTCCAGCCTGACCCACTTATGAAATGGAATGAAGCTCACAAGGCATTATTTGCTCTGGTTGTTCATAATAATATACATATATATGTCCGACCAGATAACGACATCCCTCCATTCATGTATTTCATAAGAGGCCCCGCATATGATCATCTTGTACATATAATCAGTCCCGATATTTCTATCTGAAAGTGATTTTTCCTGATGTTCATATTCCTATAGTCGTATTGTGACTGATACGTATATGTACCGACTCATCATATATAGGTTTGCAGCTTCTGGGCTGTTAGTTGGGTGTGAAGAGAAGCGTCGTTGCCCAGTTTGGATTGTGTTATTAGTAGGGTTTTGCTTTGACTGACAGTTCTGCAAGTGCTTCGTTTGGTTATTACATTGGTAGAGATGAGGGATGAAATAGTAGATCAGCTCTTTGATAGACCCGAAAGCAACTTTTCAGAGTCTTTTCATCAAATTGTTTTACTGCTACATATACGTGAATTTGAGATAGTGCGGTTAAAAATAAGGAGCAGATGGATAGCAGATCATTAGGTACTGTGCAGGATCTTTTGTTATGATCGATATTTCGTCCTTGCTCACTTTTTTCTCTTTCAAAAAGGGAATCAAAAGCCATTAAGAAAAGCAGCGCCAAGCGCGGAGCCATGAAGCAATAATTGTACAAAGTGTGCAGTAACGTTGATATGTAACTCAGAGAAGTAGTAGCGTACCACGACAAAATAAGAGATTAAAGCTGCCATGCTTTCAAACACAAACACATGATCTTCTCACAGATTTTAAGAGTCCAGACATTTATTCCATACTTAAATAAGGAGATGCCTGCTCAAGATGGCATTTTTATCATTTCATGAGAGACTTTCACGTGTTCCTAGTTCCAATAAGTTAAGTTTTATGTTTCTCAGATTCTGTTCTTTCTCAGCTTCCGAT